AAAAAAAAAACAAACAAACAAACAAGCCCCCAATATCAATATCTCAGCCACCCACCACGCAGCACACAGCACGTGCACAAGCCCACCCAAGCCAAGCCAAACGCCCACGTGCACCAGCCACCCGCCACCACAATGACGACAGGAACGCCATTGTCGCTGCTACTGCTACTGTCTCTCCTACAATTCTTTCTTTGTCCACAAAGCCCCAACCACACACATGGAAGCCACCAGCCACAAACCCGCCATGCAGAAAATGGTTTCAGCCACCCATCCACCCAACCACCAACCACCAAACCCAAGTAAGCAGAAAGAGAGTATCCCGGCATCTTAATAAAAGATTCTATGTGTCATGCGTCAGCAACAGAGGCTAAGATTCCGGTATAGGATTTCAGTGTTGGAATCGAAATCATGGTTCCGCGATGGTGGTCAGCAATGAAGTGAAGTAAAGTAAAGACGAGGATAAGGGGATATTTGGGCGCAGAGATGAATGGTTGGGATTAGCGAGCACGAGCAAGACGTGCAAGGGGAAGAGAGTTTTCTGGGAAGGCCGCTTGTGGGCGAACGAGTAAAAGCTTAGTTGGGACGAATTCTGTAGTGTGGAACAATAATGCTTTAGGGAAACAATGCCTTGTTTGCTTTGGCTGTGCTCCATTGGCAGTATGGTCACGCCAGGGGAGAAACATGCATGCAACTTAAAGGAACTAAACTGTAGGGAGACAGGTGTTGATTAGGGATGAAAGACTGAGCAACATGCTATGACTAAGACTGGTCCCACTCGGACCGTCCTTCCTAGCAATAGTGCTCCAACGCATTCCTTCTAGCTTTTGAGCCCTTCGATCAAACCATCTCCGTTTGCCTCCTCAAGTCCTTCTCAACCACACCCTTTGCTTCAACCAACCATCTGAATCATTAGACTTTCCGGCTAGACTGCAGATGCAAGTAGCGGCAAACTTCTCTTACTCGGCCGCGGGTTCGTGGAAAGTGATCATGCGAGTTGATGGCATGAAATTTTAAACGGAGCTTGTAACCGTCGCAACACCAGCTGTGACGGTCGCAACTCCAGATGACACCACGACAGTGCTAGTGGACCGTGACGATGGCGTGACTCTTGAAATAGACGCCAAGGCGGTGCTAGTAGACCGTGACGACGGCGTGACTGTCGTAATAGACGCCCGTATAGTGCTTGTGGATTTTGGCGGAGGAATTGGCGAAAGAGTGACAGCACTGACGTTTGAGGGGATTGATGAGGCCGCGTGGTGCACCTCCTTGGTCTTGGTGACAGTTTTGGTGATTTCAAAGGTGACTGTAGTATCAAATCGCTTTTGCCTCAGAAGGCTCTCGTCTCTTTCTTCCGATGACCGGTGCACCGCAACCGTAGAGCAGGTTGGGCACGTTTGCCCCATTATTGTCATCGTGATCGTCTCCAGAGACTCAGTTTCGACACCGTCCTCGGTATGGACGTCCATGGGAAATGGCTTAACGCCTATTGGAGTGGCGAATACTGAGAAATGGACAGAGACAGACTCCGTGATCGTGTTCGTGTGCGAAACAGTGATGGTCCTAGACGGTGTTGGGTGCACTCCGAAGTTCAGGACATAACCAGACTTGGAAAGAACAAGTGTGCCGTCGTCCCGCACCGCAAGACTGGTTGGGCTTCTCTTGGGTTTCGAAGTGCTGTTGCTCCGCGGGTATTTGGTCCACGAGACACTCATAATGCTCGAACGTTGGGAGCCAGTAAAGAAGGTAGAAGATCCCGTCCAAACTTCTGACTTGCCGGTTCCATTGCCCGAAGCAATGATCGTGCCTTTCTTATTTGTGCTCAAGCTAAGCAGTGGCTCACGGGGAGGCGCCGTCGGAGCATTGGTACTAGGTACCCAAGTCGCCGAGGTTGTTTCGAGGATGGTTCCGTTTTTGTTTTGGATCAAGAGTACCGACTCATAAGAACCTAGGATATCGATGCCATTGGCAGATCGCGATGTCGGCTGCCCACAGGGATCCCTTCCAGTTATGGTGAATTTTGGGTCCTCCATCCACGTGATAGAAGAACAAGAAGTGGTAGAAGTCGTGGAAGTGGTGGATTTGGCAACAACCGACTTGGCAAAGACAGCAGCCTTCGTACTGACGAATTCAGTAGTAGGCTTAACATCGGCGCGAGCGGCAAAGATGGTCGGCATGTTGGGTTGTTTGGCTGCCGGCATCTGAGACTTAAGCGTAATGGTGGTGGGCCCAGTAGTGGCGGTGGTCCCAGTAGCGGTGGTAGGCCTGGCAGTCTTGACATAATGTACGATACAACTCAATGCTGCAGCTGCGTGGTCCGGTGGACTCATGGGCGGGTCAAGACTGATGAGATCATCCCAACTGAGTTTCGAGCTGCATTCTTTTGCCTCCGTCGAAGCCTCGTAAGAATCGACAAGCTTGCACAGGACTTCCTGTGGGACCTCCCTAGAGAAAAATGTGAGATGATTGCATCAAAAGAATTCGGGAAAAGCTCTTACGCTCCGTCGATCTCGAGTTTTGGGCCCGCAATGCACACATTGTCACCAGTAGGTGGACCAACTGCCCTGCGGCTGACTTTCGCGTTAGGGTCGGTCTCGTCAGTCTTGTCGGTCTTGTGCTTGCGCCACCTGGCAAACACATAGTCCCTGAAACAGTCGAGAAGTTCTATTCCCAACTTCCTGTTCACGTCGGTGCCATTTGTTGCGGAGACGATACTTCTGGCCCAGGTGTTGCAAGTGATCCTGGCATAGTGGCTGTTCTTGAATTCTTTCTCGAGCTTTTGATATTTGATAGCTGCCACCCTCCTAAAATATTATAAGTATCTTGGAAGACAATAAGATCATGTCGTTCACTTACCTATACTTGCCCTTCTTCTTGTACGACATGTCGGTGTCCGGGTTAACGGAGAAAGTGTCCGCAAAATAGGCCGTGGCGAATCTTCCATATTCGAAGCTCCTGACTAGTCCATTACGAATTGGATTTGTTTCCAAGATATCGCCCGAGGAGGAGAAAGTATTGAACGGGTTTGGCGTGGAGACAGCAACAACTCTCGCAGACAAGATTGATTGAGGCATCCGTGGCGGCTCTGTAATCGGTCCGGAATGGGAGCCGTAGCCATCGGTGACACTCGCCTGTCTGCGTTGTACGATACCAGAAGTGCAGCCACAGGTCGGCGTACAGCTGCAGACGGGAGTGCAGGTGCAGGATCGAATGGGAGTGCCGCTGGAGAATGAGGTAGTCGTGCCGAAGGTTTGGATATAAGACTTGTCTTGCATTCCGGAAGTGGGCTTGTTGCATCTGGAACTACCAAGAACCTCAATGGCGATATCGCCACAGACGCGAAGCGAGGCGGTGCTTGGTGTGTTGAAGGTATATTTGGGCGTCTCGCTGTGTCCGAAACCTCCCCGGCTCATGGTTGGAGTAAAAGCACAGAAGTCGGTTGGCGTGCTGGGAATGAGATCGTGACTATCAGTCTGATAATAACCCGTGATGAGCCTGGAAGCACCGCTGGAAGGCGAGGTTCTCGTGCCGAATTGCTTCCGGTCCGAGGTCTTGTTTGATAAGCCTAAGCCAATTGTGAGCGTCTTGTGCTGGGAAACTCCATGGGTCTCAGAGATTGCAGAATGGTGGGTGAAGATTCCAGAGTTCGAGGGCGATGTAACAAGACTTGGCCGTTTTGGTGTACCGGAGAGGAGTCCGAGTGTTCTGTTGTGCTGGGGACTTCCATGGACTTCAGGGACTGCAGAGTGGTTGGTGAAGATGCCAGGTATTGGAGGTGATGTGACAAGGCTTGGCCGCCTGGTCTTAGTCCAAGTGATTCTGGCCGAAGACGGGACTGTGGTTGTTTGTACCAAGAATGTTGATCGACCTGGGCTCTGGTAAGGATGTTCATGGCTGCTCCCAGAAATGGAGTACTGCGATTCCAAACTGCCCGAATCTCGAGTGACCGAAAACTCCAGTTCCAGGTCGCCCGAGACTGGATCATCTTCAGAGTCTGAGTCCAGAATGTCCTCAAAGTCCAACTCTACAATGTCCTCCAAGTCCGGAACTGAAGTGTTCGAAAGGTCCAGATTCAGAATGCCCGAAACTTTGGTGGCCGAGAAGTTCCAAGTGGCCGATTCTCCTACGAAGACTGAGGCTCCTTCATGGGCCGACTCTCCTTCGTCGTCATCGTAATAGCTCGTTTGCGTCCTAGTAAAGATGTTAGGCCAGGATAGCGTGACAACTGACCATCACTTACCGGGTCAGAGTCGAGCTATAGCGCGGAGCTGGAGTGACAGCTTTGACAGCCCTGGTATCGATGGCTTTGGAAATGGCGAGACCAGCGAAGGCCAGAAGTGGTGCAGTGGTGTAATGCATGATAAGGAATTGATGCAGAAACCAAGCAACGATGCGTGAGAGTTGAGCAAGTGGACAGACGCCGAGTGGTAAGAGTGGGATGGAGGAGAAATGGATGGGAGAGAAGGCAAGAAAGGTTTATAAACACTGAGAAGAGAGAAGGAAACCATCAACGGGCACATTGATGAGAAAGTGCGGCTGTCGGTTTTGGGAGGAAGGCGTTCGACGCAACCCGAGAGACGGCTGCCTACCGACTCAAAAAGGGAGGTTCTTTCCACGACCAGCATCCTTGCTCTTGTATTTCTCTAGGTAGGTTGTCTTCCATCGCAGCTGACTTGCAATGGAGGAAGGTGCACTGGTGTCGCGTCTGCGGAGAAGATCTTCGGCCGCATGCATCTTGGGCCTTACCAAGTAGCGGGCGACAGCTCAGCTGGATTTCAGGCTTGTAGGTACATCATTCCATGGCTTTATAGAAAAAGGGACAATGTCCAAGCGCACATGTTGTTTTCCGCACGTTGTTGTTGTTGAGTTTTCGTCTCGCTGCACGTGAAGACATGTTGATGTTCTCGTCGTCATCGCGACGACGATCAGCGGGAGAATCGTAAACAACCTCTACAGCATGGGGACTGAGGTTTCGCAGCAAGTCAAAGGTGCAACTCGCTACTCCTTGGGCGCGCTCTGATAGCACTAACGACTCACAGCTTCGCTGCATCCCGTCGCATCTCCAGATGGTGCCTATGTTGCAGCGCTCAATGGCAGCAGGTTGCAGGTCCGCGCGGCTGCTTCTCTCACCCTAGTCCGCAGCATACCTTTGCCCGCCGAATACACGCTCAAGACCCTTCCAGCTCTACGCTGGTCACCGATTTCAAGCGCTGATCGGCAAACGCGACGGATTCTCCTCGCCGACGACTCCAATGTCCGGGTCTGGGATCTCCATGACGCACAGTGGACGGCGCTGATCAACAATGGTAGCGGAGGCATGGGCAAGGTAGTCAACGCTGAGTTTGGGAATAGTGCCGATGAAGCCCTGGTCTTCTCCGACTTTGGGGCTAGGGTTACTGCGTGGTCTTTGACCACTGGACGGAGCGTCGAGATAAGGGATCCCAAATTCTACAAGGACGCAAGAGGAATTGGTTTCGGACCAGGCAACGGAATATTTGCGCTGCTGTCAAGGCCTGCAGCCCAGGACATGATCACGCTACATGCGCGAGTTACTTTTTCCTTGCTCAAGACGGTCATACTGGCAAGCAGCGATGCGCAAGGCTTCAAGTGGAGCCCTGACGGAAGGTGGTTTGTTGTTTGGGATGCTCCGAGTACAGGTTATAGATTATACGTGTACACTGCGGATGGCCATCTCTACAGAACTTACAGCGGCGACGAGGATGTGGAAGTCCGTGGGCTGGGCATCAAGAGCATAGAATGGAGTTCTCGCGGGGACTTTCTGGCAGTTGGGGGGTTCGACGAGAGGGTTACTCTACTCTCCACGCGCACAGTAAGTTTGGAAGTGGTGTTTGGGCACGATGCAGCCATTGACGATGAAATAGTTTTCTCCTACAGTCTTCCTCGATCACACGTCAGTTGTCCAACTGTCGGCTGGGGAAGTCTGGCAAGAGCAAATCTCCGCAACGTCAGGTCATTCATACACCAGGGTACCGCAGCCAGTTTCGCCGCCCTTGGCGCCACAAGCCGCAAACGAACCTGTTCCGAAAAGCGGCATTTCAGTTGTGGCTTTCAATGCGGACGGGAGCCTCATAGCGACCAGGGATGATTCAATGCCGACGTCCGTCTGGTTGTGGGACTTGTCACGCCTTGCAGCCCGGACTGTGCTAATTCAGCACTCACCCGTCAAAAGCCTGCAATGGCACCCCAGCATACCCAACTTGGTCTTGATACATTGCGCGCAAGAAGAGCCCATAGTCTACTTCTGGGACGCCAGCACCAACGAGCCACGAGCGGTGCACATTCCGCTAGAAAAGGCGGCGCCGAGAACAAGCAGCAAACTGGAGGCACGTTGGCTCGCAGACGGGTCTGAGCGCAAGCCATCACTTATATTTAGCGACGTCCACGGCTTCCTGACCGTGTGGCCGGAGGGCAAAGAGACGATACTAAGGTTCGACGGGTCGAGAGGCAGCAGGCCGGGGACGCCTGGCAGCACCAACGAAAGCGAGGACTCGCTGTACAACATCCTGACGGGGCGCACGCCGGTGCCGGGGCAGGAAGACACGACGAGCTATGACGTGGACGATTCGGGGGACAGCGTGATGCTGGAGGACACGTTCCATGGCAAGGGGAGACACCTGCAGGGCTCGCTGAGGGACTCGGAGTGCTTTTAGATGTAGATAGACACAGTTGTCTGGTGATGGTGCGAAGGAAGGGCGCCAAGCCCAGGTGCCCCGCCACGCTTCTCCGCCCCCACCGGCGAAAAAGGCCCAAAGGCCCAACTTCGTCGCAAGCCGCAGCAGAGGAGAAAGAAGGATTTCCTCATCAAACCTTACGGGCATTGTCCTCTTTGTCTGCGTGATCGAGCGCCTTCATCAACACGACACCCGGGCCAGCTCTTGGCGGGCCCCAAGGCTGACTTCCGCTAGGCTAAGCACCAGCTTGTCGCTCAGCCGCAGCACCGTAGCAACCTAATACCTCGTCGCTGCCTGCTTGCCTGTCTGCCTGCCTGTCTCGCCGCCTCCATCTCACGCCCGCGCGCTTCGTAATTCCCCACCAACCCGCTCCCTTTCCTCTCTTTCCTCCGATTCTTCTTCTTCCCTCTTCTTCTTTCCTCCCCCACCTTCCCCCCCTCCCTCTGCCTTCTCATGTCGGCCTTTAATGCTCGCTTCAAAAACCTAGTAGGCGGCTCGAGACGCAGATCCTCCAACAACGTTGCGGCCCAAAACACCACGACCCCGCCCCCGGGAAGCGCCAGCTCGTTATCCCCGCCCTCCAACGCCAGCTCGTCCACCACCTCGCTCCCGCAAGCTCCTCCCATGAATCCAAACAATCCGCTCGGCCGCCCGCCCTCGTACACCTACGCTTCTCCCGCCGCCGGCAACCTGGCTGCCCCGCCGCCGCATGGTCGCTCCAACAGCCCCATGCCGCCTCCGCCTATAAACACTGCCCCGGGCCACGGATACCCTCCGCAAGGTCAGATGTACGGTCAGGCGCCCCCGGTGGGCCCTCCAGGGTACCCGCCGCAACCCCAACAGCCTGCATACGGCGGTTACGGGAATCCGCCTGCGGGACCGCAAGCATACAGCCGACCGGCGGCAGTCGAGGTCGAGGGCGCGGGACGGAGCAAGGCGCAGCTGATCGTCGGCATAGATTTCGTGAGTTGCCCATGCCGAGCTCGCAGACGACGCAGCTAACAATGCGATGGCAGGGTACCACTTTCTCCGGCGTCGCGTTTGCGTTTGCAACAAACACCGAGGCGAAGGAGGACATCATCACGGAGTGGCCAGGCGCAGGAAACCAGACCAAACAAAAGGTGCGATTAGCGCTGGGATTTTATTGTCAGGCCTCCCACTAACGCCACGATAGATTCCCACCGTATTGTACTACGACCAATACCAGAAGGTTGTCGGATGGGGTCCAGATATCGCGGACGCTTTGGCCCCCACGGGTTACCCCAAGCCGGGCGTGCAGAAGGTGGAGTGGTTCAAGCTGCAGTTGATGCTCTCTGGAAATACATACATCGACCCCATCAACCTGCCGCCTCTCCCTCCGGGAAAATCCGAGATTGATGTCGCTGCCGACTACCTCTTCCACCTGCGCCAAGCGATGCGGAATCAGCTACAAAAGACGCTGGGAGAAGTGTTCAACCGCGAGGAGCGTAACATCCGATACTATCTTACGGTGCCTGCTATTTGGAACGATGCCGGAAAGGCTGCGACAAGAGCAGCAGCGATTCAGGCTGGATTCTTGCGTGATGAAAATGACAACCGGTTGACACTCGTCACGGAGCCAGAAGCAGCAGCAATGTTCTGTTCCAAAACCGGATTGTTGAACCTCAAGGTCCACGACGCCGTGCTTATTGTCGACTGTGGTGGTGGCACGGTCGATTTGATCGCCTATGAAGTCGAAGAGGAGCAGCCTTTCTCCGTCGCAGAATGCACAGCTGGTTCCGGTGACTCCTGTGGTTCGACAGCGCTCAACCGCAACTTTAGCAACATTCTGCGCGCCAAGATCCGTAAGATGAAGTTGCCAGACGGTTCCAGGACAGCAGGAAAGGTGTACGCCAAGTGCATCATGGACTTTGAGAACCGCATTAAGGCAGACTTCCGGAACAACGGCCAGAAGTGGGCGGTCGACGTCGGAATCGAGGCGGAGTACCCTGAGGCCGGCATCGAGGAAGGTTACATGACTTTCACCAACGAGGAGATTCTACAGTGTTTCGAGCCGGTGGTGAACCGGATTTTGGAACTTGTCAGAAATCAAATCATCGCCATCCAGGCGCAGAACAGGTCATTACAGGTAAGTTGGCCGAAGCCATCGTAATCTCTCAGCACAAGCTCACATGACACCACCAGAACGTGCTCGTCGTCGGCGGATTCGGCGCGTCAGAATACCTCTTCCAACAGATCAAGCTGCACGTGCCGCCACAGTTCCAATCCAAGGTGGTGCGGCCGATGGACTCGGTCGCTGCCATCGTCAAAGGCGCGGTGACGGCGGGCATCACGGAGCGCATCGTGACACACCGAGTGGCGCGGCGACACTACCTGATGGCGACGCTGCAACCGTTCAAGGAGGGCCACCACCCGGAGCAGTACCGAGTGCCGTCGTTGGACGGCAAGGACCGATGCAAGTTTACGCGGCAGATCTTCGTGCAGAAGGGCCAGCGGGTCAAGATCGGCGAGCCGGTCAAGGTCTCGTTTTTCCGGCAGGTCGCGCCGGGTGCGACGCTCATGTACGAGGACATCTTGTACGCCTGCGACGACGATGTGTGTCCCGAGTACACAAAGGATCCACGTAAGTTCTCCCCCTGTTTCTCATTCCTTGCTCTAAACAATCACCAATACCACCATTACCACCACCGACCGACCGACTACGTCGGGTTATGCAACATGCATGCCCTTGAGCGCGCCACATACACCGGATTAAGCAGATACTGACAATGACGTAGGCATAAAAGAGGTGGTGACGCTGACGTCGGACCTGTCGCGCAAGAACCTGGAGAAGGACTTCGAGCGGATGGACACGCCGCAGGGCACCTTCTACCGCGTCTACTTCGACATCTACCTCACGCTCGACGGGTCCGAGTTCAACGCCGAGCTTGTCTGCCAGGGTGAGGTCATGGGCCGCTGCTCTGCACGCTTCAGGTAGAGAGCAAGCGAGCGCAGACGTATGGTATGGTGCGAGCGTGTGGCGGTGCTGAAGAAATGACGGGGCCGGAGAGTTATATTATTGTCGTTGTTGTGGTGGTGCGAAGGAGGCGAAAAAAAAAAAAAAAAAACGCGAGGACGGACGGACGGACGATGCATGCTGATGCTGCCAGGGAGGATGATGAGATGGACGGAGCTGGCGTGCAACGAACCTAAGCAACGAACGACGATATCGGATGGACGATGGTGATGATGATGATGACGGGCCTTTTTTGGCTGCTGGGGAGTAGTACTGGAGGAGAGAGGAGCGGTTGAGCGCAGTGCATACAGTTATCACAGCATGCACTCCGCTTCGCTCTAGCTCTCTTGCTCGCTCATGATATTGTTCTTGCCCGGCTCTCGCAGGGGGCTCACGATTCTCTTGTCTTTAATACTTTTTTATTTTTCTCTCTTCCTCTTCTCTTCTTCTGCTTCTGGTCCTCGCTTTATAGTTTTTTGCTGTCTCTTTCCTTCTTACGGCCAGAGCTTGCTTTGCCGGCATGCTTGCCTGCTTGCCTACTTGTTGGCTTGTCTCGCTTGCTCCCTAGCTTACTTGCAGCGCTGCTCACAAGGGATCACTTGGGCATGCAGCGCAGAGTGAGCGGTGAGCGTCAGACCAGTCAGAGCAAGGCCGGGCAGGGCAAGGCAGGGCAAGGCAGGTGCTCGCAGATGACATTGACATACCCCCGAGAAATTCTAAATGTGACGTTCAGCTTGCTTTTAGATTGCTTGTTTGCTTGCATGCACCATGCTACCTACGCGCTGCTGCTCAACCTACTTACCTGCTGCACACGCACATACATCTCACCACTTGCCACCGCGGCAGGAACTGCACCACCTCCCTACCCTACCTGCCTACCCTACCCCTGTCAGCGCGTTCCTAGTGGCTGCGGTTGCGCGCGAGGCGCTGCTGGGCGACTCTGGGCGCTGACTCGGCTCGTCTCGGCTTGCCGCGGGCTGCGGGGACGGATCGTGTGGCCCGATGTGGCCGTGCGTGCTGCTGGGGTTCGGGCGTGGTGTGGTTGGGTGTGGCTGCGGTTTTGGCCCCAATTCCGGCCGGGGTCTGTCTGCGTGCTGCGGATAGGTAGGCAGGGTGCGGACATAGTGGGCGGGTGGGCGGGTGGGTGGGGTGTCGCGCTTGCCGCGCGTGTACGCACTTTAAGAGGTAGAGCGTGCTGCGTGCAGCCTTGTGGGAAAAGGGGATTATAGAGGGGAATAGGAGTTGGAGTGCGGGACGCGGTTGATCGTGGAGTGATTGTTGTGTGTCGGCAACGCATCCAAGTCGACACATTGTGCTCGGTGTGGGCGGGCGGTCAAGGGGGCGTATGTAAGTGGTTGCAAATGATTGGGCTAGGACGACTGGTGGGTGAGCGGCCAGGCGGGTGGTTCCGCGGGCTAGTTGGGGAGAATGGCGGTGCGATTGGCACTACCGTAGTACACTCCCCGTATAGACGCCTAATTCGCGGTGGCGGAGCATATTTGTGGGGCAGGGTTTTCTAACTTTATAGCCAGAGGATGGCGGTTCGAAGCTCTGGATTGCTCGAAGGTGGCGGTTTGTACGTACACACGGGTTCCACGAGTCGGAAAGGCAAAGTGCTTCATCCATCCAAGAAAAACTAAAGACCAAGTTGACGGAGAAGAGCCCGCGGACTCGACAGTTCCATGATGACAGCGCCGTGGTCGGAACATCATTGATACAGCGCTGAAAAGGCGGACAGCTCCAACGTAGCAGTTCTCCTCAGACACTGTAACACCAGCAGACGTCTAGCCACCAAGCGTAGGTCTTGTGAGGAGGACCGAGGTAGGCAATGGCCCGAAGATGCGCGAATTTCGGCGGCAACGAGCTCAGCGCTGTTGGGCAAAATGGGGGCCAGTAGCCGCGGAGCCCATATGTCTGGGCGACGACGCGTTGGTGCAGCTCAAGGCTACGTTCGAGCTTTGTGGAGGGGCAGCACCGTAGAATTACCCTTTTGGGCCATGGGGCCACGTGACCCGACGATTTGCCGACATATCGTCTTTCAGACATGCAAGTGGACGAGACGCCTTGCCAGCTCAGAAGCCGAAGCGGGGGCGTTTAATTAATTTTGCGATTTTCGTCCTCTTCAGTCATACGGGTGACAGCAAGCACAGCGATCTTCTTTTCATCTCGCTGACTCGTTTTCAGTTAGTTGATGCTCGAGCGGCGCTTTGATTCGACTCGCCATCAGAGGCTGAACGACGGTTGCTGGGGTTGTGGGTGTCGGTGAGAAACAAAGAAGCGCAAATTTAAGCATGGATCGTCAGATCGGAGTACCGCAACCGAGATCGGTGTTCAGGCAGGAAAAAAAAAGACGGATGCGTGGCGTGCTGTAAAAATCGGGGCACCCGCACCCACCCAGGTGCAGAGCAAGCAGGACGTCCAATCCCACAAAGGCCTCTCCACAAAAGATATCCAGAGTCCAGACACGGTTCCGAAATCGAATTTATACCCTGCTCTCTCCATCGAGGGCCGATTCACCTTCTTTTCATGATGGCGAGATGTCAAAGGGAGGATGAAGCGTCCTCCAACCCGCCGTAGCCCAATTCGGCAATAACAAAGAGCAAGCGGCATCGTCATCCCACTCACTCACCCCCCCCCCCCCCCCCCCCCCCCCCCCCAAAAGCCCACCTAGTACCTATCCCTCCTCCACTTTGCATTAAGCTTGCCAACTCTTGGCTCCGCATCCCACCAACCACCCCCCGGCCGCCGCACGCGCAGCCGCGATCCACGCACGTTTTTCGCACACCCCGACCGGCCGCCTGTGCGTCTCCTTGGTTCAAGGTAGACCCCTCCAACGCACACGCACGCACTCGGCACGCCCACCCCCTCAGGCCTCAGCCATGGCCCCCGACCTGTCCAAAGAAGGGCTACACAAGGCCGCGTCCTGGATCCGTGACAGCCTGGATCCGCGCATCGCCCGCGGGGGCCCGGACGTCATTTCCTCGGACGAGGTCCTCGCCCTGCACGAGCTGTTCGTCGGGCTGCGTGCCGTCGACCTGCACGTCTCCGTCCTGCGCTACTCCCGCATCCATGCCGCTATCCTCGAGGTTGCTGGCCGTGCTACCCGCTGGCCGAGCCGCCTCGTCGAGGAGTGTGATAGGGTCATCGATCTTTGGGAGTCAAAGTATGGAAAACTCAGTGATGTGCGGCCCAGGCTTTTTGCCCCGGATGGCCGTTTGCACGGCGCTTGCACGGGCAAGGAACTGACCAGAGATGTGGGTACTGCGGATCTTAGCGTGCGCGTTTGGACGGTTTGCTGACCTGGTGCAAAGGCCCTTTTGAGGTACTGGCAAGAGCATGATCCGGCTGTCATGGACGAGAGCAGACCACGCCAACATGGCGACCTTGGCTTCCGCCCTGGAGAGTAAGTCCTCTTGCCTTTTCCGTATACCCCAGACAAGGGGACTGCCGAAAAGCTGACACTCTTATGTTCAGTTGGTGGATAAATGGCATGTTTGCTTTCCATGCCGGAATCATTGACCTGAAGTCCACCGATGGCGGCATCGTTGCCGACAAGTATTGTGCCTATGCGCTCGTTCTGAAAGACACCGATGAGGTATACAGCGAGACGCCCGACAAATTCCAATATCGATGTAGACCGGGTGATCGGGGTCGATATCGAATGACCTCAGCCGACTTTAAGTCGCGGTACCCAATTCGCGTCCTAAGATCCCATAACCTCGCATCCCTTTGGGCGCCAAGGAGTGGGATACGATACGAGGGCTTGTGAGTCGAGCCCTTTTGAGGCTCTTTGCTTCTTTTTCGCCTCTCTGCTTATCCCATACAGATACAAAGTAACAGGCTGGACGGTCAGACCGGCCTCTGCTGCCGAGAACAAAGGAGAGAGCATCGTGTGGCTCATCAATCTTGAGCGCGACACGGAGTCACACACCGATGATGAATGGACCGCAGTCTTGAACCACCCGTCTGCAGAAGAGACGGACGACTACGTGGAATACAAGCGAATCAGGAAGGAAGTCCGGGACGGCCTGAGAGACGACCTCACCCAGAACATCCCCCCTACTCCCGAGCCGGAGAGTCCTCTCGAAGTCGACTTGATGCTGTCGCCCATGTCGGAGGCTCCCAACTTCTGGGACGGCAGACAGAGTCCACCGAAGCCGACCATGCCGCCCATGCCGCCCATGCCACCAATGCCGGCCATACTAACCCCAGAGCAGTCCCCACCGCCCTTACTGCCCAACAAACCGCCATTTGTGTTTACTCCCCCGAGGGATATAACAGCAAGCCCTGCGTCTCGGCCCAACAAGTTAGAAGAAGCCGTGATGCAACAATCACGGACAATGGCCGTCGCCAAGGCGCTTCGGAAGACGATGGGCGAACCAAGAGCAAGAAAATCCGACACAATGGGGGTAAGAAAATCAAGAAGCGGTAGCCAGGCGGATTTGAAAGGATTTTCAATCTCTCGCCATGGATCTTTGCGGAGTAGACTTACCAAGCCGGTGGCGAAGATGTTGGACGGCCAGTTTGACCGCGACCAGACCGACTCTCCGCCCAGTGACGAGGGTCAGGAAGAAGAACTTCCATCTCCTTCCAACGATTCTCAGCTGAACGAGCTCGACACGTTGCTTGAAGCACATCTCGACTCGCTTCTGAAACAAGACAAGCCGCGATTAGATTTTCGGGCATCAAAATGGGAGCGGCGACGCGGAAAAGATGCACGAAGCCTCGAGATGACGAAACTCCCGATCGACACGCTGCGCGACCGCGTGCATTTCGAGACGCTCGAGCGGCAAGAAGACACGGAGGCACGCCAACGTCTCGAAGCCCTGAAAGAGGTGTGGGCCGACTGCGCCTCCCCCGGCTACCCCGACATGGTGCTCGAAGGCGTGAACCTGGACAGCCTGCCGCCCCCGCGCTCGAGCAGCGGCTTCCTCTCGCTGTCGTCGGTGAAGTCATCAGTGAAGTCAGTGAGGACGGAGGCTATGGGTCCTCCCCCGCGAAAGTCGCCAGAGCCGACGGCAGTGCGGCGCAACGCACCGTCGCACTCCAGGAGCAAGTCGGCTTCGGCGTCCGAGTCGGTCAAGTTGGCCGATTTCACCCCGCCGGATCGCAAGCGCTCGAGCGTTGCGAGCCGGCTTAGTGCGAGCAGCATTTCTGATATTCTTGGAGTTGAGGGCTCGGGCAAGGCGAAGAGACCTGGCGTTACTCGGGCGTTTTCGGCGTTGTTGAAACATCAGACGTAGGGGAAGGAGGAGTTGGTTGGTGGTCTTCTTGGCGTCATGACTGTATAGATGTAAAGGACAGTGTTATTGTTACGACTTGTTGGCTGCTTTCGACAGGCGCCCCCACGGAGGTATGCTAGATATTGTTTCTTCAACGAGCGGATAAAATACCTTATGGAATTCTGTAATTTGGTCAGCAGTTTTAGAAGACGCGTCGGTCCCAGGCATAAGCAAAGCAAAGCAAAGCAAAGCATTGAACATAGAACTTCGAAACAAGGGAATTTGTAAGGAGCAGAATGGATTCTTCAAGCTATCATTGCATCGCGGTTTTGTCTCGACAGATAAATTACGAGTTCGCCGCTGGACTAGTTCCGGCGCGCCCGTACTCAAAGATCGTCGGTGTTGCTCTCGTCTCTTACAGCAGGATTGTAAACCCTGTGCATCCAGCTCAAGATCTTCAGGTGAGTGGCTAGAAGACCGAGCGAGGCATGAGACATGGTGGTAGTGGTGACTGGTCGATATCTTCTGGAATGAAGACTGTCGCCGAAGATGGAGATCAATGACCGATTAAGCAAATCTCGAGATTCGGGCAATGCCTCTCAAAGATGCCTGTCACTACAGTTTCCTCCACTACAGTGCTCTCGTCGGTTTTGAGATCAAGAAGATCCAGATGTATGTGCACTAGCTTGTTGAGACACATCGCAATCTCTTCATAAATGGCTTCTGTAAAGCCTTCCTGGGAGAACGCGGATGGACCATCATTATCTTTCGTAACGACCAAGACTTCTAGTTTCTGGCAACCGTTGACGAGGCTGGCCAGAGAGGAGCCCTCGATTGTCGACCATTTGTAGTTTTCGTTGTCGAGATCAGTGTCGTAAAATCCCTCCTCTACTTCTAGCGTCTGTACCTCTTTGCAAACGGAAAGCAACCTAAGGGCTGCATTGATGATTCGGCAATCGGCATCTCTCACAAGGGAAATACTTAATTTGGTGAGACGATCCAGACAAGGGACGAGTGAGCAGAGCGTCTCGTATTTAGCTGTGATTTCAAGTTCTTGCAGGTCCTTGAATGGCGTATCACTCATCATTGTGAGGTCTTCTGGAAGCGGCAGTAGTACCCCTTTGATTGTCGAAAGGAATCGCAGATGCGGTCGATTGACGACATGAAGCACAAATTCGTCGCTGAAGTAACGTTCAGGACGGTAAGCGATTTCGGCTGAAATGAAGCCAAGCCATATTTCCGTTATTGACGGAAGTTGGCACAGGAAGTCTAGGATGCTTTCCAAGCAATATCGGGACGCGTCACCTCGGAAGGGAACTTTTCGAAGCCTGGGACATCGTGACTAATTTTCCGGTTTAGTATAGTCAAGTTTGGATGAATGTACGCCAAGCAATGATCTTGGTGAGCATCTTGCTCGTAGCGGGACAACACCAAGGTACAATGCAAGACAGTACCTACTGAGATTGCGCGCAATGTGAGTGAAATGGTCTGCTTCAATACTCCAGCACCTTGCTCATAAGGGCTGTCAAAACTGATTGACCTGACAGACTCGCTCAAGACTGGAAGGACACACTTCAACTCCGCATTGCATCGATAGTCAAGCTTGACATCGATCAAATGTGGAAATCTCAAGCTTGCCAGAAACAGGGTGGCAGGAGTCCACCGCAGGTTAAGCCGAAGATAAAGTGCCTTGGCCTTGTTGGCGTAGCATTGACAACGCCGCGGCTTGACATGTGCGAAGTAATCCGTAATGTCCCTGTTGCATGGCTTGTTTCAAAGCAGTGAAGTCGCTTCATCTGCCCAAAGCTTGTTGACTCGAGCTGCATTACTTAGCTACTGCAGCTCGTGTACGTCGTCCAGATTTTGCAGTACAAGGTGGAGGATTTCAGGAATACCCAGAGCCCGGGACGAGGCGGTATCCATTGTCAGTTGAAGTACTTCGTCATCTGGCTGTGCTTGTTGTGTAATCAGACCGAAGGACGGCAGTGGGCGTTGAGTGCAAAGACAAAGGGCTGATGAGAGAGAAGATGTGGTCGGGTGGTTGGTTGTTTGGTGTTTGGACGCAGGTCGCGTCTCGCAGAAAACTGATGTCGGCTGTGGGCACGCGCACTTCTGCCGAGACTTAGCCGCTGCCACTACCATCCCTGCTGGGCTTCACTTCGTACAACAACATATCATTGGCATAGGATTGGCTATATACTATAGAGGGTATTCCAGGTGACCAGCTTTCACCACTAATAAGCCACGCTATCAACTATCAGCTTACACACATTCCAGCCAGCCGCATTACTTAGACAGCAGCATGTACCCATCATACGAAGACTATGAGGATCGGATAGGAATTTAAAAGACATAAGAAAACAAAGAGAATAATCGCATACAATCACTTTTGAGGAACAGGAATAGTGCGTCCCTCTCACAACACCATCAATATACAAACCCAAATTTCGACTTGTTGACACAATGTTAGCTTTACATGAAATAGCCTCACTCCTATTCCATCCCGATCCCTTACCACTTAACTGACCTCAGAGGTGACCTCATCATGAGACGCGGTCGAGAGAAAAAGATAGAACAAGGGTGAGGCAGTCTGTGCCATGCCCAGCAAGCGATACAGTACAGTACGATATCAGATCCATGCTGCCGTCCTCCAACGATCAAGGCGTTCACATACGCCTTTGCAGCGAAGCATCACCCTCTTCAAGCGTCGAGATATCCTCCCAAGTAGATAGGCAGATTGTCAAACAATCAAACGCTTGCCGCCCGTACCAGCGATGGCATGCAATGCACAAACGAAACAAAATGCAAGGAAACGATGAGTAGAGAACGCCTGTTTTCACCAATGCCCCCCTCTCTCCAGACCAGTGACGCAATGAAAAAGGCAAAGTGAGCGAAAAGGAAAAAGGGAAAGGAAAAAGACCAGACGAGCGCGCAAGAGGTATACACAAAGGATGGATCGATCAGCGGTAGTCATCACGAGGTAGTAAAAAGGAAAAATTTGTGGTCGTGTCATGAGCGCGAGCTGCTGCCGCGGGTATCACTCCTTCCTCTCCTCTCCGCCTCCGAGTCCGCCACCGCAGCCGCATAAGTGGGTATAGGCGGCTCATGCTCCCTCCTCTCCCCTGCGTTCCTCAGCAACGGCCTGCGCTCCTCGCCCGACGGTCTTCCACTGGTACGTTCGTCGAGACTTGGCGCTGGAGAGCGGTATTCCGGAGGTGCTTCGGCAATGGCCAGGCCTTGCGGGATCTGGCTGTAGTGGTTGGCCTCGGCCGCCGCAGTGTTGCTGGTGCCTTCGCCAACATCCCCTTCATTAGAATCGACAAGACTGAGTTGCGCAAGAGAGATGTCCGTCGGGGAGCGCTGCGGGCCGGGGCTTGTTGGCTGATTTCTGCCCAGGCGCATCTGCTGGCTGCTGCTCCTTCCATGTGCATAGCCGGCGCTGATGTAACCCATTCCTTCGCGCACACCTTCCCGTCCGCCCTCGAGCAGGATACTGCCCTGCTCACTGCCGTAGGGAGGCGGCGGCGCCAGCGAACCGGTCATGGGCGCCAGACCCCATTTCTTGACGTTTGCCTCAATGAAAACGAAACCCATCTGGCCAAAGTTGACGTGCACTTGAGCCGGGCCGTTCGCGCCAACCGTGGGGAAGAAGTTTTGCGACTTCAAACCGTGTGCAACGTCCTCGAGCTTCTTGCCGTTCCGAGTAAAGAAGACTGTGCCGGTGCGCGGCCTGTAACCAATGCCGACGACGTCGCCTTGCACATAAGATGGTCCATAGGGGGTTGGGATGAACGGCTGGTTGTGGCGTCGAGAGCCGTATGAGGTGTATGCGATCGAGTGCTTGTGATAGCCTGGGCTCGTTAGATTCCCGTAGACAGCCGGGGAAGCATACAACTTACCGGGCAAACGGAAGAGCGGATAGGGCTTGGTGGTCAAGCCAATGCTTATGGTCGTGTTTTCGGGCTTTTCGTAGATCTTGGCCTCCCAATAGTAAACTTCGTTTTGCTTCGGAATTGGCAGGTTGCTTTGAACGCTGCACTCCATGTCAAAAAACTCGACCTCGGTCCGGCCCTCGACGAAACAGTTGGCAATCTCCAGTTCCGGTTCAAACTCCCATGCTGAAACTCCTTTCTCCTGTATCGCTAAGAACTGAGACAATGAAATATCGGTTTGAACGGACTCTGGCGGATTTGCTTGGATGAATGCTAAAATCCAGTCAGCATTTCTGCGCCGGTCGACATTGAGGAGGCGCACTGACCTTTCGCTCGTAAGTATTCCACGCGCTGCAGGTCATCCATTTCCTCCAGCGCCTCGGCCTCCTCCTTTATGAAAGCCTGCTCGTCATCGTATTCACCGGGCCTGCCTATGCGGTCCAAGAAGATCCTGCCTCTTTGGGTGTATCGGAAAAAGTAGATGATAGCGGCCAGGATGGCGACAAAGGCGGCCGAACCAAAGGCGGAGAGCATGCCCACCAGGATGCCTTTGCCGGTGGAGCTCATCTGGGAGGCGTCCATCTGCATGTCTCCAAGGTCGGGCATGTCCATGGCCTGGGGTCGCGACGCGAGGAACAGCGGGGACGCGGTGTGCGTGGGAAGGGACGTGGCTAGGGTGGTGGGTTGCATGTTGGCGAACATGTCGGCGTCGGGCAATCGCATCTTGGCGGGGTCTCGTCCAACGAGGGACGGCGTCAATGATATGGGCGTCTTAGGCGCGGACGGTGGCTGTGCTGGTGGTGGATTGACTGCGTGCGGTGCTGTGCCTTAAGGCCCCCGCTGCGCTGAATGGGGTCCAAGAGTGACGTCTACAGCCCTACTGCTTGGCGGCAGCGACGGGAGAGCGAGATAGCGAGTGGCGCGACGATCGAGGGGGAAGAGGTCGTCAAGGACTTTGGGGGATCGAGAGGCACGGAAGACGGGGAGGGGTTTAAGGGACGTGTGTGGTCGCAGACGGTTCTGTCGCATGAGCTGGCTGCTGGTCCACTACTGTACTGAAGCGAGAAGCGCCCGTTTGGCGTCGAGACGAGACTTGACCTCGCCACTCCTCCGCTCCACCCGCCAACGCAGTTATCAACCAACCACAGCCGCTCGGATGTACCGGGACAGACTCTGACCGGTCACGTGTAGCGGTTCTCAAGTGCTTCATGTCCGTGAGTTCGTGACATTTATAGACGCGACACGCGCCCGTCGCCCTCGCATTCCCCAGCCGCCATGACTCGCTTCCCATGGAATGAGCGTAGCTAAGAGCCGGATGCGGAGGAGGCAGCTAGTATCGATATCCCCCCCATAATGCCCAGCGGAACAGAGGCTGAGACCAGATCCTGTGCCTTTCATCGCTCGTAAGGCATGAGCTGCGACCATCTGCGTCGCCGTTCAGTTCGCTTCCGGGTCCCAGCCCGACGTGTCTGCCATGTCTCATCATCATTACCGCCGAAGCCCCTGTCGCATTCCATTTGATGACTTGCTGAGATGAACCTTTGTTCGTCAGCTTCTTCTTGGCGCGCGCGAGCCCATGTCCGCTTTTGGCCGACACTCATGGGCATACAACGCGAGCCAAACAGAGATTAAATGACGACGACATGAGGATTATATCAACTCCTCGTTGTTCCGGCTATGTACATACGCTCGGGGGGGGGGGCTGTGTGCCACACGCAAACCGGTCAAGATTAATTCGACCGCGCCTCCGCGTATCAAGACTGGCGGCGGCGTCAAACTTCCCCCGAGATGGCTCCTGGAAACAACAGTCAGGCACCACTAACCACGCGCTCCTTTGCCATGGTGGTTTAGCCACGGTACATGGCCTTCCGGCTTATAAGGTGCCTTCGGCTAAGACGCACGACGTTATCAGCGCAATCGCGCCTAATTTGGAAGAACCATGTGGACAATCTTCACAAAATTGCATACCACAAGCCCAGGAACCTTTGTGTGCCGTGCTCGAGCAGCCACCCTTCGAGGAGACATCCCGTGAGTATGCCACATGTGTAACGACAGGCTGACGGTGCATCTTTCCTGCCATTGACGGTAGGCCGCGCGGCGGGAACGACGAGCTGTCAAAATAGCAGCTGTCGAGCAAAGTCAAACGCAAGACTCGACTGCCTATTCTTGGGCGGGGCAGACAGTTTGACGATTGCGTCTGCCTCTGAGCCCCGGGTGCTCTTGAGAGAATCGGCCAACGACATTAGTACGACGGTGGCCGAGGAGTTGCTCGCGTGGACAGGCTCGAGACGGCGGGTGTTTGCATAAGGGTTGCCGTGCACTTCGACGTCCCGATGAAAAAAGCACGTGAAGCAGTGCGTGTTAGGTAGCTGTGAGGTGAAGACGGCGGCATCGGGTGGGATGAGGGGGGGCTTGTGCCACGACAAAACTCTGGAGTAAGCGCGTCACGCACCCGCAATGAGAGTGCGAGGCAAACGGTTGGCAATTTTAGAATAATTCTGTGGGCGGTCAAACAGCGCTGGGCTTGGGTTGTTCTCGCGTCCAGCTGCCCGGTGCTCGAAATTTCTTGCACCGCCCTCTCAAGCCTCCCTTGGTCGCCCGCCTTGGCAGCCTCTGTCGAACAACCCGATTCTACACAGCTGTTCCACCCCCACCGTCCAGCTTTGCCCAGCCCAGCGCGCAAGAGCCTCGCCCACCTCTCTCGCACGCTGCCCGTTACACAGCGCTCCTAGTCCCCCTCTACCTCGTGCTTCGACGAGCTCGCCGTTCCTGCATCTAGCCGCCGCCTGAGCCCTTTGATCGGTCAAACGGCAGTTCGGCGTGGATTTGAAAAGTTGGGACTATTATTATTATTATTCTCCAAGGGAAGATGGTTGTCGCACACCTCGACTGAAAAGGTACGCGTGCTGCGCCATGGCCCACGACCGACGTCGCTTGTCGCTCGTCTTTTGCCCACTGCTCAACCGTCTTGCTGATGATACCTTACGCTTCACAGAAGCTGCCCCGTTCAGTCACAGCGCCCAAAGCTTGAGCCACTATATCATCTCGACCCTTGACCGCTCTCCGCCAACTTTGACCTTGTACCTACCTACCCCTCCATCCCTTCTGTTCAACCGATCCGCACCGACCCTCGCACCCCACAATGTCCTGGCAACCTCAGGAAGAGCCTTTGCGGCAGCTCGCCCAGGCTCTCAAGGACTCGCTGAGCGGCCATGACCCGGCAGTGCAGAAGAACGCCGAGCTTGTGAGTAGCCTCACCCATGCTGACGCTTCCTTTGCTGACCCGCCCTAGATGCTCAAGCAAGCCAAAAGTGCGCCCGAGATAAACAATTATCTGGCCTTCCTCTTCACGAGCAGCCAGCCCCCGGCCTCGCTAGATATCTCGCAACCAAACTACCATGCGGCACGGAGCGCGGCGGCGATTATGCTGAAGAACGACGTCAAGATGTCCTACAAGTCCATTCCGGAGGATAGCAAGGCCTACATTCGCTCAATTGTGCTCAATGCGCTGCAGGACCCCAATGCGCAAATGCGCAACTACGCCGGGAACGTCATCACCGAGGTTGTACGACAGGGCGGTATCCTTGGTTGGCCTTCCATCTTGATGGAGCTCATCTCATTGGTCAGCAACGACGGCGGCTCAGTCCCTGAGCAGGCGCAAGACGGCGCAATGGGTGCTTTGTGTAAGATTTGCGAGGATAACCGGCGCGCGTTGGACAAGGAGTACTCCGGCCAACGGCCGCTTGATTTCCTCTTTCCGAAATTCATCGAATTCACTAGCCACTCGATACCCAAGGTGCGCGCTAATGCCCTAGCGGCCATGAACGTTTTCATCCCGGACAAGCCTGCTGCAGTGCTCACAAACTTGGATCCTCTCCTCCTGAGCCTTTTCCGTCTGGCGGGGGACAGCAACAGCGAGGTCCGCAAGCATGTCTGCCGCGCTTTCATCCACGTCGCAGAGATCAGTCCGGAGAAGATCATCCCACACATGGACGGCTTGGTGGATTACATGGTCACCCAGCAGCGCTCGGTGGATGACACGGAGCTTGCGCTCGATGCCGCAGAGTTTTGGCTTTGCGTGGGAGAAGACGACAATCTGCGTGGCTCGCTTGGTCCTTACCTTCCCAAGATTGTGCCAGTGCTCCTTGAAAGTATGGTCTACAGCGAGGATGACATTTTAAGGTTAGAAGGGGAGAAGGAAGATGCCGAACAGGAGGATAGGGAGCAAGACATCAGGCCTACTTTTGCAAGCGCAAAAGCCACCAGAGGTGGCACTACGAACGGCGATGTGTCCGAAGCCGACAAGCATCTGGCAGCGGATGATGATCTCAGCGAGGGCGAAATTGACGACTGGGATGATGATGATGATGACTATGGTGGAGATCCAGAGGAGCAGTGGAATCTGCGGAAGTGCTCGGCAGCCGCTCTCGACGTTTTGGCAAGCGTCTTCCACCAACCGGTCTTCGAAGTCACCCTTCCCTACCTCAAGGAGAACCTTGTCCACGCCGAATGGCCGAACCGCGAAGCGGCGGTACTTGCCCTCGGAGCTGTTGCGGATGGTTGCATGGACGATGTCCAACCTCATCTTCCTGAACTCACCCGGTATCTGATTTCGTTGCTTAACGACAAGGAGCCCGTGGTGCGGCAAATTACTTGCTGGTCATTAGGGAGGTATTCTTCCTGGGCGTCGCACCTTGACCGTGCGGGCCAGCAAGAATTCTTCGAGCCCATGATGGATGGTATCCTGAAACGCATGCTTGATGGTAACAAGCGTGTTCAAGAAGCTGCCGCTTCCGCTTTTGCCAACCTGGAGGAGAAGGCCAACGCCCAACTCACACCCTACTGCTCGGTTATTGTTCGGCAATTCGTGGAGTGCTTCGCCAGATACAAGGATCGAAACATGTTCATCCTGTACGACTGCGTGCAAACCCTGGCGGAACATGTCGGGCCAGCGCTAGCGAACCCTGAGCTTGTGCAAACTCTCATGCCCGCACTGGTTCAGCGGTGGAACAAGGTCTCGGATCAATCCAGGGAAATGTTTCCATTGCTTGAGTGCTTGTCCTATGTTGCAACTGCCTTGGGCGATACCTTTGCGGCGTTTGCTCAGCCAATCTTCGCTAGGTGCATCAAGATTGTCCATCAGAACCTCGAGGAATGTTTCGTCGCAAATAACAATCCAGGTTTCGACGAGCCGGAAAAGGATTTTCTGGTCACCAGTCTCGACCTTCTGAGTGCCATTATCCAAGCTCTGGATGACCAAAAGGGCACCGAACTGGTGGCAACTTCGCAACCAAATGTCTTCGAAATGCTCGCCTACTGTATGAAGGACCCCAACAATGATGTCCGGCAATCAGCATACGCTTTGCTTGGAGATTGCGCGATATACGTCTTCCCCCAACTTCAACCCTTCCTTCCCTCCATTCTGGAAATCCTTATCGCTCAACTCGAACTGGACCCCAGTATTACTGACGTAGAGGATAATGGATTCTCTGTCATCAACAACGCTTGCTGGTCAGTGGGCGAAATTGCGATGCGTCAAAGAGAGGGCATGGCACCATACGTCGAGAGATTGCTCCAGAAGCTGGCCACGATACTCTTCAACGCCAAGGTTCCCATGTCTCTCAACGAGAATGCCGCCATTGCTCTTGGCAGGCTCGGAATTGGCTCGGCGCAAGCACTTGCCCCGCACCTGGCAACTTTCGCTCCATACTTCCTCCAGGCCATCAAGAACGTCGATTGGACGGACGAGAAGGGCCATGCACTCAACGGATTCATCAAAATCGTATTATGCAATCCGCAGGCAATGGAGCAATGCCTGCTTGACTTCTTTGCCGAGATGGCATCGGCACCGAATGCGTTTGTCCAGGGACCCGGCATAGTCGACGGCCCCATGGAACCTTTCCAACAAGTGAGTAGCGAGGATGTGTCTAAAGAATTCTTTCTAAATGTCGGCCAGGCGCTTGTTCAATACAAGAACATGATCCCGGATTTCGATTCCTTCCTGCACCACTTGCCGCCGGTCAAGGAGCAGGCACTCCGGAGCACTTACCACCTGTGAATATTCTGACAGTTTTTTTATTTTCGGCGACGGCAACGGTTTCTTTGGCGGTGGCGATGGCGACACGGGGGTTTAGTATGTAGGAAAGCAGCATTGGGCAAGACGGTTTATGGCGCAGTAACGACAGCATATGATCTGGACTGGCAATCTACGGTGGAAAGGGTGCTGACACCGTTGCCTTTTCCGCCAGTAGAGCGACAATGAACCGGCCGCGGAGAGTCGGAACGGCGGCGGCGGCATTATATAGACATGTTTTTTTCTTGTGGTTTTCTGAGCGTTCTTCGGATATACTCCTTTTTGCATTGTCGGCGTGGCGGGCCGACAGCTTTCGATTCTCACTTATTTTTTCCCGCTCTCGGCATCGCCACCATCACCACATCCAGGGACAAGCAAAAGACAGGAAATGAGAGCGGGGGCGGCGCCGTAACAGCAGCAGACAGGACAGACGGATCGATGGAAGCGGGAAGACGAAAACCATCACCATAGCAATGGCGTTGCGTTGCGTGCTTCCATTGTTGCTTTCCGTTTCCTCCCAACACGGTCCAGTTCCTTTTCTCTTCACCGTCGATTAGCGAGCGTTTTTCCTTGGCCCCCATCTTTCCTTTTTCCTTCCTCCCGTTTCTTTCCCTTCCTCGCCCGTTCCAGAGGTAGCGTAGCTAGCTTAGATAGCTTTTAGGTAGCATATAGCTTGTTGTCTGCGTGGCTTGTGATGCCTGCTTTGGCTTGGCTTGGCTTGACTGTGGTGGGGCGCACTGAGCGGGCGGCTGAGCAGGCGAATAAGCAAGCGAAAAAAGAAAGGCAGGCAAACAATAAGATAAAAAATTATGTAGCGAGCGAGTTCCTTCGGCTTTGTTTGGTGGTTGTGTGTGTTGTGTCGTAGTATATAGAGTTGGTAGGATGGATATGCTGTAAATGAGTTGGTGAGGAGTATGGTTGTGTGGTTGGAGAGGTAGATAGTGTTTTTCATATCCCTACTGTGAGCGTGTAGTTATATAGAATATAGAAGCAAAAGTGCCATGTCGATCTGAATCTAGGTATTGAAGACGTTGGACTCTTACCTACATGCTCCTACGTGTAGGTCAAAATACTCTATAAAGTCCGTTGCCGTCAAGCGGTATCCTCCGTCTAATGAGATAGAGAAGGATACAGATAGTCCTACGAAACCCATTTTGTCTGCATAAAAGCCTAAGTCCTGGGTTTGCGTGAAAGGGTCTTAGAACGTACACGAACTATAAAATCCTAACTGATTTTCTTTTTCTACTCTGTACAAGCGTTATTATTTCGTTAGACAGTGAATCTTACCTGGTGGTGACGGACGTTATAAGCTTCGTCTTAGCCATAGCTGAGTGAAACATTTTATAAAGGGGTTTAAATATAACGGTTTTTATCCTATTAACATTATAAGCGTGCAGTCAAGCGTTGTTATTGTTGTTGTTCATAGAAAGATCGAAAATATCTGTTTTGAGAAAATGTACGAAAACTCTTATATTATAGCTAATTATATGCATGTTCTAGCCATTACCATCACAGCCTTATTATTTCATTATTGTCTACAAGTCGTTAAACGTTCCAAATCGTCTTTGTTGACGGCGGTTCGCCATCTCTCTCCAATTTTCCTGTACTTTCTGCCCGTTTCTTCCAGGCTCTTCCACGGAGGATTTGCTGCACAGCTGAGGCTTGGAGGTGGATGGTCATAGAAGACCCATTAAGGAAGATGATGTTCTAGTGAATGACTGAATTATGGGATGGCGACAAAGAATGATCAGTGACAATCGGTGGCGGATTATTGAGTAAAACATCCGTTTCCCTCACTCTGGCAGCCTCCTTGGAGCCTAGGCTTTCATTTGAATTTGCCATAGCTCCCTCAAGGCCCTCAGAAGGCACTCGTAACTTCGGATGGTGAGGATCCGTGAGATCAAGGACGGCCAGTTTCTCCCCACTACGCGTAACAGGGATGCCATCGGCGGCACCGGACCAAGTGCCTAGGCCGAGCTCTTCATGCGCGAGTCGCTGCAACTGCAAGGTATCATTGGTATTCCATTCCAGACGCGTATAACAGTCGAGACTGCGGCGTCTCTGGATGCAGCCGAGGATTGGCGCAATGCTGTATTGAATGATGATGACGAGGATTCCGAGGATGAAGATGAAGTAGAGCCAGAAGAGGCTGAAAGATGCGTGTTCGGTGCTGAGCATTTTCTGCGCGAAGTTGTTAGCAGGAGAACTGTAGATCAAGAGCATGTAGGGATGAAAAACGCAGATATAAAACCAAGGAAAGCATAAGTAGATACTAACCTGACTCTTGCATAAACGCTTCTCGATCGCGTTTGCTGGCCTGTCCAAAAACTCGAACAACCGCTCATCTGTTGGCCCAGATGCTTTGTGGAGATACCCATCCTGAAGATGCGCCAATGTCGAGGCATGCCAATGCTCGACATCCAGTTGCCATTGGTTCTCGGATATGGGCCCTTGGATGCCATGGCGGAAGTTATACCTAGAAGCTAGGGCTTGTTGCCCCATAATGTTTACAACCTCACTGATTGTCATAGCCGATGCAGAAACTGGTGACACCCAAATGAAACCATCTTGGTCTTTCCTTTTCTGATGCATGTAGCCCGCATCAAGGCCCGCATCAATGTTGGAGCTGAGAGCAGTGCATCTGTTCTCTTTGGAGAGACTTGGAAAGCAGTACTGCTGCCTAGTAACGCAGGCCATCGGAGAGGCAGGCTCTTTCTGATAGTAGAGATCCATCTCACCGGTGCTTTCATCTGATACCATGCTGGCATCAGACGAGTCTTTTATTTGATACCAACTGTCATTTGAGTATGAATTGAAAGCGACATTAGTGGCGGAAAGGAAGAAAATGTCCAGATCTCCATCCATTCGTCGAAGTTCTGGAATAGGATCAAACTCGGAGACTCTTTCTGCGACGGTATGGTTTTTAACAAGGGTCTTGAGGCCACTACAAAGAATTAGAGACAGCTATGCACTTGTTTAGCTATGCAATGAGAAAAGCACTTACGAGAGGCTATAGTTCGGGTCCGCACTTGTGTAATTCAACCTAATACCTCCTTTCGGTGATGTGATTGGATATTGGTATGTGAAATCTGCCTTTCCAAAGTGTTTCCCGTAGTAATACCGCATGTACGATTGGCCACCATCGGCATCCGAGAAGTTATATTGCATCGTGTAACCTTCAGTAACCAAGGGAGCGCAATGAACTACTTTCCGCCAGAGAAATCTCTCACGAGAAGGAGTGTTTACGCCAAAGTGTTCGAGGCTATTCAGGAAGCCGGTATCCAGCAGAAGATTTGATGTGTTGCTTCGGCATATGCCCCCTTCGAACGGACAGCTTGCATTCCTTTTGACAAGTGTCGGAAGCCTCTTCTTGATGAAAGTCCCGCATTGAAGTCCGACGTTCGAGCTATTTGATGAATAACATTGTTGTGCGTAATCGGTGGCTGAGACAAGTCTTTTGGTCCAGTAGGGGTTCAAAATCCCTTCAAAAGAGGATAAGGAATTGCTGAATCGGTGCACCAGGAGGCCACAATTCGGACTCGAAATCAACAGTTCGTCGCCCATTGCTGAAGAAATCTGTGAAGAGAAACCGCTGGCAATTGCGAAAGCGCCCAGGCAAATCAAGGTATAGGCGATGACTGGGGAAACTCTCCAGTATTGACGCCACGCCCATCCGACTTGGATTAAAGCCAAAAATCCACTCGCGGCATTTGCTGAGTTTCGAAGGATTGCTTGACGCTGATGATGCAGCCCATCGCGGGCGGCCCTGGTGGAGTATATGCGATGGAAAACGAAGCAAGATATTCGCCAGAAGCTGGCGCCCACCATGGTGATGAAAAATGCCACAAAGGCGATTAAGAGAGATCCTTGTTGTTGATTGAGGGTCAAAGTCGCTCCGAAGACAGGACCACGAGACCAGTTTGTCCAGGTTCCGATGTGTACTTGGTACGGGCTTGACGGCTCGGATGTTGACTCCATTTTGGGGAAGAAAGACCGATAGTCAATCAATAGAGAGACTAATGACGAGGTAGAGCATTCAACACTTGTCTCAGGGACGCGGTTGTTTATGTTCCGTACATTTGTTTTCGCCCCCAAAGCAGATCCCCAATCGGGTAGTGTTGTGGCATGACTTGCGGGGTAGTACTGACTCAATATTTAAGTTCTTTTTTGCTTTTTTGTTTGTCAACTTCCTTATGGGTAAGCACAGTAGGGAATATGAATCGTATCCAGTCCGCACGTCATTTTAAATCTGATACACACAACTGCAATCAAGCACGATAAAACACGATCAAACACGTAACGTCCGTCACCGTGAAGCGAGAGTTACCGTGAAGCGAGATGGTGATACTTATATGGAGTAGAAGAAGAGACTTAGTTAAGGTGTATAGAGTCTGTATGTGCTCTAAGAGCTTTTCACCCATACCTAGGACTTGGGCTGGGAGCAAGGCAAGGAGTACTCTATAAGGACTGATTATATCATGCCCTGTCTCGCTAGACAGTGGATCTCGGTTCGCGGTGACAGACGTTACTCTCCAAGCCACTCACAAAATGGGCATCATTTACTACGTACGAAGCATTTCAGGACCAGGCACAGCCCAGCCCACAAACTTGCCACACCTTACAACTATGCCCAAACCCTACTCCCTCACCGCTCACCGACACCCCTTCCCCCGTCCCCACCACCTCCTCCCGCCTCCCCCACAGCAGGCACCTCCACCCACCCCAGCATATCAAACGGCAAGTACTCCAACCACGGCCCAATCTCGTCCCCCAGCGCACTCATGTCAATATCCTGCGACTCGACCATGACATCGCCGAACGGGATCGAGCTGGAGGAAGCCGCGAGCCCACTTCCCATACCTTCCGCACCTCCCACTCCCACACCACCCGTATCCAGAGGCGCTTCCTCCGGCGTAGGCGCGTGGTGCAGCGCACTGCTGCTGCTGCTGCCGCCGAGAGCGGCCGCGTTCGGCAGCTGCCCGCTCTGGTACGCGCCACCACCACCACCACCGCCGCCGCCGCCGCCGCCGCCGCCGCTAGGCGACGTGCTGGTCGAGAACGGCGAGTGCAGGTTCAGCAGGAGGTCTGCGTCTGAGACGAGGGATGGGTCCGCAAGGTAGTTCGTCGGGGTCGCCGTCGCGGCCGCTGTGTTGGACGGCGGTGGGGGTGGCATTGCGGTACCATGCGGAGGGGGATGGTGAGGGTGGTGGTGTGTCCCCAGGAAAAGGGGCAGCGCAGCACCACGCGCGAGATGGTTGCCTTGCAGCGCCATCGTGCTCGAGATCGAGGCGGCATTGGCGGGTCCCTCGGGGGGAGGTGGGCGGCGCGGCGGCTCCGTTTGGTACAACACTGCGAGGCTCGTGCTCGGCGAGTTCATGGTGCCGGTGAGGGACCAGCCGATAGCTTGGCTTGGGTCGCCGATGGGAGAGCCTGGGATGCTAAAGGATGGGCCGCCGGTCTGGTTGGGTGCGGTGGTGGGCCCGTAATCTTCTCTTTCCTCGCTGGTAGGTCCGATGTATGTTCCCAAAGCTAGTTTTCGCCGCCAACCTGGCGTGCGGAATGAAGGGTCTGGACGGGGTAGCTCCAAGGCACATTCCATTTCTTCTCTCGTGTATAGCAGAGGGTCACCGACGCCCTTGGCTTTTTGGTCTAGAACAGTCAGGATGTACTTGGTGCCTGCCCAGTATGTCTCTAGCGCCTGAAGAGCTCTGTAGCAGCGTTGGTAGTTTTGGTTGGCGGCAGTGGCAAGTAACGTATGCTTTGAAATTTGTTTATCCCCCAGGGCCAAGTCTGCTTTGTGATCTTTGCCCGTCGCTAGGTTGGCCTGCTCAAGCCCAGAAGCGGCTGGTGGGCGATAATTCCGAGGTGGTGTTGGCTGTCGAGAATGAGGATGAGAAGATGCGGATTGCATGGCCGTCTCTTTCAAGAAAGCACAAGCTGCAATATACATAGGTTGACTGATAATGTTAGAAACGCTAACATGAACAAGGCCAGATTTACCTTGTAAATGGTACCAAGGCAGCTTTTGCATCCGCTAGCTCGGCAAAAGCAAGGATGTCGGCAATTGTCTTTGCCGAAGACATGGAAAGCTCATGACTGTTAGGTAACAATTGCTGAATGCCCCCTTCGAAAGTCTTCAGCAAAGTTGGTTGATGCAACAAAACGATGAGAGTGTGAAACCAGAAATGCAGTAATATGAAGTTTGTCCCTTGGCCATTTTTCAAATACTGCTGAAAATTGACGACGTTGAAATGTAGACGCGGCGACAAGTTTTGGTAAATGTCGGTCAGTTGATTCTCCATACAAGCCAACCGTTTGATGATTTCTGGAGTAACGTCCGACACTTGCTTAATACTATTCAAGATGTCTGTTACTCGGCCGTACAGATGGATCACCCGTATCAGTGCAGGAAACGGTATGGGGCAACCGGTAACGGGATCCACGGCATCCAGAGATGGGAATGATATCTCAATGTCCCTATCTCGAAGTGACACAGGCCGTCCAGTACCGGAGGAAACCACACGATCAGCAAAGAAGATGGCCCAAAATGTGTCGACACGTTCCAGTTCCACTGCTTTCTGGTTTTCAGTGGCTAACTGATCCATCGGACCTTCAACCACATTCTCAGTCGAGGATGGGATACCGTCCCGTGTTTTGGGTGTGCCAGATTTGACGCTTTCCGGCGTCGGCCCATCTCGACCTTCGTATTTCAGGCCTTGTAGTGTTTGCATGCCGAGGTCTTGTGCCATGCGGATGGCGATTCCCAAATACATCCATAAACCGGAGTCGCGGTTGGCACCAAACTCATCGTATGCCAAGAGTAACGCAGCCTGGACCGCGGCGACGCTGGGACAGGAGAATGTATCCACGATGGCAGCCTTCGCCCTTTGAGCGAATGCCTGGCCATACTCTGAAGGCGAAGTTTCCGCTTGATCACCAGCGCTCCTATGGGCTTTTACGAGCATAGGATCGGTAGAGAATCGAGCAGCCAGGGCGCAGACCGAATCAACAAGGATAGCATCGACCTGTTTCTCTTCCAGATCGCGCAGAAAACGTTCTTTCTGGAGGAAGGGGAAACTACAGCCAAGATGGCTAAAGAATATTTTACAGAGATGAGTGATTAAAGGAGGAGGGTCAACAGACGAGTTATCATACAAGGGCATCTCTACCGGCGCAGGTATGTTTTGTTGCGGCGTGATCCGGCCGAGCGAGGACACGGCAGAAGGAGGCGATTGGAGGCCTTGCCAACATGTTGGTATCCAGCATAGTATCACGGGTTGAATGGCTTACCGTCTGTAGATGTTCCAGGTCCACTGTGTTGCTTGCCCTTTACCTTGACAACCATTTGTTTGAACCCCGGCATGATGGCGGTTGGGCCAAAATAACGGAAGTAGGGCATACGATTTCGGACGCTCAAGCTTAATGGTACCCGATCTACTAGTTTGGTAAGCGTTTGAAAACAAACACCGTGGGCTGAATTACTGTTTAATGCCTGACTGTCCTCCCATTGACTGTCCGTTTGTTGGGAATCAGGCAGAATTGAATCCGCCGTCAACAAATGACTGAGAGAAGGGTTTGAGCTGGCAGAATGCTGTGGCTGTTGTTGCAATGACCATCTCCGCGCGGTGGGTAGTGTACTTTTCTCGTCATACTGCGTTTCAAAGCTCGAGTGGCTGGCTCGCCTTTCATTCTTGACCTCGACTGACGCAGCATACCTGGACGATGGCTCAGGATCTCCACCATAACCGCCGCAAGCGTGGTTGTTCTTCAAGCAGGTCTCGCATGCTGGCCGTTCGCCCGAACAGCGCGTCTTCCGACGCCTGCAGGTTAAGCACGCCGCGTTGATTCTCCTCCTCTTCGCATAGGGACCGTCATTGTTGGAGACGAAACGGATGGCCTTTGGCTGCGGCAGAGGAGTGGCAGCGGGATCTTGTGCCCTGGAAGCCATGCGTGACGGGGTGCTATCAGCATTGGGATGAGGTTCGAGCAAGCGATCCTAGCTCCTGGACTGGTCTGTGGCAATAGCTACGCGACCGTGGTGGGGATCGAGAGGAGTCGTGTCAGCACCGGGCGGGATCATTGTGCTTACACGAGTAAGGCGATAGAGCGGCGAGGAATTGCGGAGGAAGCGGAGGTGTAAGATGGAGCTTAACCGAACCGGTCATGGCGACAAGCCGTGCAAACCTCCCACCGCCGATCATCCGGGGTTGATTTAGTCGTGCATGTGTACGGTTAAATCCCAAACGTCGACCGGACAGCAATCGAACCAAAATCCAAAAAGCATGTCACGTCCACTGCGAAACGGCTGTTCCGGCTACTATTAGACAAACTTAACGGTCTCGGGGACTTGGCAATTCTACCGCCTTAACTCCGTGCCGTGCACTGGCCAAAAGGAAGTTTGTCCACAGCTGCTGCTCCGCTGTTCCCGCCGCCTCAACCAACATGATGCAACCCATCTCGGCCCTCGTCAGGCGCGCCCGGCCTGCTTCGTCATTCTCCGCCATCAGACGTTGCCTACACACCTCGTCATCTTGGTCAGCCAAGCCAATTCCTCACCCTGCAGCTCCCGGCCCTCCCCCCGGCCCGCCAAAGCCTGCCGCGACGACCCCGGAAGAACGCATAGCGCGTAAGCAACGCCAGGCGGAGCTTCTCAAGAAGGGGCAGAGCATCAAGCCCAATCCAGCCAAGCCTGCGAGTGCTCTGCAAAAGCGCTTCTGGAAGGATGTCCACGTGAAGCAAACGCCCGGTATGCGCGCAACTCTATTGTGATTTACATCGACTAACCCGTAGTGCATCAGAGGGCTTTCAAGTCCTTCTCGACTCTCGGCCGGTTCGCACTGCATCCAAGGGTGCCCTCACCTTGCCGCCAAACAAGCACCAGCTCGCCACTGCCATTGCGCTGGAGTGGGACTTGCTGGTTAGCGCCCAGCAGGCGCTCAAGCAGCACTACATTCCTCTGACCTCCCTGACTTCGCGCGCCATTGATATACAAACCGCCGACGCTGCGGGCGACAGCAGCATTCGGGACAGCATCGTGAAAATAATGATGAACTACCTGAGTACCGACACGCTGCTTTGCTGGGCACCGGAGCGGAGTATGCACGATGCAGTGGGTCTGGAACAATCTGAGGATAGGGTCGAGTCGTTACGTGAGGTGCAGAAACGGACCGCGGAGCCCATTCTCAAGTTCCTCACCACGAAGATATGGCCGGGAGTGGAAATCCTGCCGACCTTGGAGCCCGACAGCATTCTACCTACGCCTCAGCCGCAAAAGACGAGGGACGTTATAAGGGGATGGCTGGCGGCATTGCCGGCATGGGAGCTAGCGGGCCTTGAGCGCGGCGTACTGGCAAGCAAGAGCTTGCTTGTTGGCGCGCGGCTGTTAGTCGAGTGGAGCCCGGAGTTTTCACACTTGCGCGAGAATGAGCAGAGCGGGGGGCGCTTTGGCATACAAGAAGCGGCGGACGCGTCAACGCTGGAGGTTACATGGCAGACGGCCATGTGGGGAGAGGTGGAAGACACGCACGACGTGGACAAGGAGGATGTCAGGCGGCAGCTTGGTAGCGTCATCGTTCTGGTCAATGGTTGATTTGATAGAAAGACATAGAAGTGCAAAGGGTCCAGGCTACTTTTGTAAAACAACGGCCTGATCTAGCCCCTGTCAGGCATTCTGAGCCGAGACTGACGTTACCCTCACCCCGCGGCCACCGACGCACGAGGCGTACCTCAATGCAGACTGCAACCAAGGTTTTACGTCGCAGAAGTCGTGCAAGTGCAAAGTGTTAAGGTTCCGTCTGTCATTCTTGCGAAAACGGTTGATGCCAATCGCAACTTCAGCGCCTGGGAGAGCCACCTAAATACCCCTGTCGCAGCGCCTCCTCGCCCGTCAGCTCGTACTGCGCTGCTACGCACGTTGAAGATGGCTGAGAGGTAAGTGCCCGCCCTGCAGTTAATCTGGAACGGAACAATCTCGCCGTATCCCTTACAGCTCGGCATGCGCTGACATGTTTGGCCCCGTTGTAGCAGCGGCCACAAAAGGAGCAAGAGCTCCCAAGTCAAGTCCCTCTTGTATCGCGTTTCCTCGAAGCAGGATGGGACGTCTGAGGGCAGCGACGCGACATCCAACTCAGCCTCGTCAAACGCCTCGATGACTTCTCCACCAGCCACTTCGGCGGCCCAGCAAGCGGCGCCTCGCAGCAGCATGGCGGGGTCCCGTCACCGCCCACACCTCTCAACCACCATGTCCAACGCCGCCCAGTCCGACACGCTCGTCGCGCCCAGCGCGAGCGATGCTAGCAAGTCGCCCACCTCGCCCACGGCCAAGGGCGCGTCCATCGAACAATCCGTGCGCCTGTTCCGCATCTTCGAGGCCCTGCGCAATGGCGACACCGCCGCCATCTCCAAGGCCATGCGCGAGGAAGCTTCCACCGGGCCCGACGAGCGAAGGAAGAGCACGGTGTCCATCGCGGGAGCTAGTCGCCTAGAGGGCACAACCATACTGCACCTGGCCGTACAATGCGCCGAGCTACCCGTCATCGAGTTTGTGCTCTCCAGCATCTCGGGCGGGTCCGCGATAGACATAAACGGGAGAGACAAGGATGGAAACACGCCGCTGCACGTTGCTGCGCAGCTTGGTCGCGCTCCCGTTGTGCGCATGTTGTTGGAACAGAAGGATATCAACGATTCTTTGACCAACTACCAGGGACAGACACCGCTGGACTTGGCGCGCACGCCCGACATCTTCCAGCAGCTGCAGCTTGCCAGGTCCATTTTTATCGATACCAGCGTTAGACAAATCCAAGAGTTGGTGGCTACGGATGATTACCAAACGTTGGAGAAGGTCCTCAGCGACCCTCGCATCAAAACAACTCTGGATGTCAATGGCGGCGAGCTGACCAAGGACCCGATCACGGTGGAGAGCGGAGGTACTCTGCTTCATGAGGCGGCAAGGAAGAAGGATACGCAGCTCATTCAGCTGCTGCTGCTCAACGGAGCCGACCCCTTCAAGCGAGACCGCAAGGGCAAGCTTCCTCAAGACGTGACGAAGGACGACAAGACGCGTGCCATCCTGAAAAGGTCTCCAGCTGCAGCTGTGGCTCAGCGGGGAATTCAAGAGAAGACAATCCTGGGAGGTGCAGTGCCACAAGCTGTCGCAACCGGCGGTGCAGAGGTTGCGCTGGGTGCTAAGGAAGGTCGTGAAATGAAGGGTTACTTGAAGAAGTGGACCAATTACACGAGCGGCTATAAACTTAGATGGTTTGTTCTCGAAGATGGCGTTCTCAGCTACTACAAGCATCAAGGTAAGTATGTTGACTTTTTTCTTTTTCAAGATCTAATGCTAACAAATGCAGATGATGCTGGATCAGCGTGCCGTGGCGCCATTAATATGAGGATTGCCAAGCTGCACATGGATCCCCAGGACAAGCTGCGCTTTGAGATTCACGGCAAGTCATCTGTCAAGTACCACCTCAAGGCCAATCACCAAGTCGAGGCCAAGCGTTGGTTCTGGGCCCTCAACAATGCAATCCAATGGGCCAAGGATGAAGCTCGCGAGGAAGAAAAGCGGCAAACTCGCGAAAGCGAGGCTTTGCGCCAGGCGAAAATGGAACAAATGGCACCTCAGGAATCTGACCAACAGAGCACGTCTAGTTCGAAGGCTGGACAAAGAATGTCAGTACTTGGCCCGAGCGCTAGCGGAACCTTGGGCGTCCCGCTTTCAAACTCGCGGACCGGCCCAAGCACGGCGGAAGACGACGAATATGGCAACAGTACCTATGACCCTAGCCTTGGCGAGGATGTACACAGGTTTGCCAGCCGTACAGGCACCAACCATATCGAAGGCGACATGGACGATGAGGAATATGGGGAAGAAGGCAGCAGTCAGGAAGTCCAGCCTGCAAGCAAAGACGCTTTCAACATTACTGCGCAATCGGCCAAGCTACAGCTCGATTTGCTTGCCCAGGTTTCGGCTGCTATGCAAGCCGAAAAGACCAAGAACCCCGAGACGCCTTTATCTGACCCTAGTGTCACCCAAGCATTCGCTTCCTATGAAGGTGCTGTTAGTAACCTGAAGGGCCTGGTTGGTGACTTGCTTCGTATCGCTCGTGATCGCGACGCATACTGGCAGTATCGCCTGGATCGTGAAGCGAATGTCCGTCGTATGTGGGAAGAGAGCATGGCCAAGGTCGCACGAGAGCAAGAAGAGCTTGAAAGCAAGATTGGTCAATCTGAAGACAAGCGCAGACGTCTGAAGAGAGCACTTAGGGATGCCGCAGAGGGCCTTCCTGACACTGAGAAGGGTCAGATGGTTTCAGAGCCTGAGCCGATTGTTGAAGTCGACGAAGATGCACTTACCGTTCCTGACGACGGTGTCCGCCCGCGGTCACGCAAGAGTAGCACGGCGAAGCAGACATTGGCAGAGCTGGGGGAGCTTTCAGATGACGAGTCTGACGATGAGGAGTTCTTTGATGCCATTGCCGAGGGAGATGTCGAAGTTGTCGAATCTTTGCCTGTCGTCGGCGAGACGTCGAAGGGTGAAGAGGAGCCCCCTGTGGAGGCTGGCGATTTGAGAGAGGCCAAGGGCAAAGAGGTAGAGCCATCTTTCAAGGGCTACGAGGACCACGTCCGTACAAGGTTAAAGATGGAGGCCGATGATAGACCGAAGATCTCGCTTTGGGTAAGGAATACACTATCCACCGCGGAATTGCCGTTGCTAACATGTTCAGGGTATTCTCAAATCCATGATTGGCAAGGACATGACCAAGATGACTCTACCCGTCTCTTTCAACGAGCCGACGTCTCTGTTGCAGCGTGTCGCTGAGGACATGGAATACACCGACCTCCTTGATATTGCTGCTGAGCGTGCGGATCCCACGGAGCGCATGGTCTACGTTGCCGCCTTTGCTGCCAGTGAATACGCGTCGACCATCGGTCGTGTGGCGAAGCCTTTCAACCCACTGCTTGGAGAGACGTATGAATATGCGCGCCCCGATAAGGGTTACCGGTTCTTCATCGAACAGGTCAGCCATCACCCGCCAATTGGTGCTGCGTGGGCGGAATCTGCGAAATGGGATTACTATGTAAGTCGTTTACCCCTGTGAGCACAATATCATTCGCTGATCCATCTGTCTAGGGTGAATCTGCTGTGAAGTCCAAGTTCTATGGCAAGTCCTTTGACATCAACCCTCTGGGAACCTGGTTCCTGCGCCTGCGTCCCTCGACCGGTGGCGAAGAGCTCTACACCTGGAAGAAGGTGACGTCTACTGTTGTTGGCATCATTACCGGCAGCCCAACCATCGACAACTACGGTCTCATGGAGATCAAGAACCACACGACGGGCGAAGTGTGCACGCTCGACTTCAAGCCGCGTGGCTGGAAGGCCAGCTCGGCCTACCAAGTCGCAGGCAAGGTCGTAGCCTCAGACGGCAAGACGCGCTGGAGCATTGGCGGCCGCTGGAACGACAAGATCTACGCGCGCCTGACACCGGGCTTCGAGGACGGCGACAACGTCGGCAGCAAAAACGACAAGCACGCCGTGCTGATCTGGCAATGCCACGAGCGGCCGACAGGCGTGCCCTTCAACCTGACGCCATTCGTGATAACGCTGAACGCGCTGCCAGACAAGCTGCGCCCGATGCTGCCGCCGACGGACACGCGCCTGCGGCCCGACCAGCGCGCCATGGAGGACGGCGAGTATGACTTTGCGGCCACGGAGAAGAACCGCGTCGAGGAGAAGCAGCGGGCCAAGCGGCGGGAGCGCGAGGCCGCGGGCGAGGAGTTCAGTCCGAAGTGGTTCAGGAAGAGCGTGTGCGAGACTACGGGCGAGGAGTTCTGGAAGTTTAGCGGTGAGTATTGGAAGATGAGGGAGCGGGTGGCTAAGGAGGAAGGCCCGTGGGAGGGCCCGGAGGAAATCTTCTAGTCGGTTGTGTTGTGTGCTGTGCTGTGGGGTCGGGTGGTGTTGGAGTGGCTTGTTTGATGCTGGATGCTGGATGCTGGATGCTGTGGTTATTGCTGGAGGTTGTGGTTATTGCTGTCTGTTTCGTCTTTACGTCTCTGTTCTTCTTCTTGCTACTACGCCCTGGTCCTGTCCACCAACCTCTTGTAATCATATGGCATGTTCGACTTCTTCTTATTCTTCTTCTCCTTCTACGACCTGGTTTTTCTTCTTACGTCTTCGTACTCTCCCCGTCCTTTTCTTTAACAACCTAAAATGCAATCGACTTCCTATTCTTCTCCTGGTTTTCGTCCCTCCGCATAACTCCTGCCCTTATACGCTGTCGTTTCTCTCTGCCTACAGCCTTGTGTTTGTTCGTTTATTCGTCTAATCATACCTACGTACGTAAATACATATACACGTCTGCGTCCTGGCTAGTGAAGTGGTTGCTCTGCTGCGCGGTTGGCTGGTCGGTTGTTTGGCTGGTTAATGGAGTTTTGTACCGCACTGACACGGACGCGCGCGCCGTACTTGCTGGTGAATGCCTAGGTGTTGATTATGTATCCATTCGTTCATTCATTCATCCATGCGACCAGAAGTTATTAACGCCGCATAGTGCTATATAAACCCCCCTTTCCTTCCCTATCTTCTTCTTTTCCTCTCCATCAGCTTGAGCAGTTTTCCACCGAGGTATCTACCTCTGCAGGCCCCGCCACAATTCCGGTGGTCGTTGCCTCAGCTGCGACATGCTTCCGCGTGCGGGGGTGCAGTTGGAGAGGGTTGGGTTTTGACGAAGGAGGGATGGACGGGCGAGGAGAGGGCGTGATGATGGATATTAGGACGGGGTAGGGGTGGTGTGTGTTTGTAGGGGATGACGGTGGTGTGTCACTGCCGGCGCATGTACGTGCGTGTTGCTGGTCCTTCTTTCTTTTTTCTTCTATAATAGGCTCGTTTGTGCTGGCTAGCGCGCGCACTGCGGCAGCGCAAACAGATCTGCTGCTGCAACTATGATCTCTTGGTCTGTTTCCCAGTTGATTTGCTGTCGAAGATGGTGGAGGGGGCAGATGAAGAGAAGAAGAGCCAACGGATAGCGAGTTAAAGGGCTGTTGGGGGCTGTATATGTATGTGTAGCTCTATCGGTGTTGGTGTCGGGAGGTTTGACCGCGTCCGCTCTTGTAGCACGACAGTTGCCACCTCGCGTGACTATGTCACTGCCGGATAGAATACATCGTGTCGTTTCTTGTTTTTCTTGTCTTCTTCTTTCTTTAAGTACCACTTAACCTCACCACAGAGACTTCGGCTCGTAACACCAGCATATGCTGGCTGCACCCCGGTCAATCGGGTCAGCAATGTAACAGCTTCGCACATGGCGGGAGCTGTGCTTGTTGTCTTAAACCAATACGTTTACTGTACTAGAAGGAAGACACGGTTCCATACGAGAAGTGACATTTCCCGGCACAGTCACACAGATCGTTGCCCGTGCCATTTCTACTTCTGACCACCTGCCTTTATTCCTGCATGGGCGATCCGAAGCAGCTACTGCTCGAAGTCGCAAAAATCGACGATGTGGGCTTTCGCACTAGGTGTTGGTATGGTATTGTGGAAGAGACGGAGGTGATTGGGGATATTATTACTTGTTGGTGATGGAGTACGTCTCTGACGAACACTGCTGTCTTGCACCACTGTACACATACAGATATACATGCCTTTTCAGAGAAAGCTCAATTGTGTCGGCTTGCTGGTTATAGACTATATAAAAAAGCTTGGGCCGTAAGACCCCCAGTTGTTAGCGAGCACGAGAGAGGTTGGTTGATTGGTTCTAGCTACGAGGAGAGAGCGAGAACTAGCTATATAGTACGTCGCCATTAGGCACTCAGGCTACTCCTGCACCCGCAGACGCCCTCCAGCCAACGGCAGGAGCCGTTCACAGTGCAGTCCTTGTGGTTTGAAGTTTTGATGACTCGGGAGTCATCGCGTTCCCTGATCCTGAATAGATACGAGTATACTTGCCGTGCTTTTGTTTCATAAGCAAAACATAGGACTATATAGACTTTAGAATGCCTCATTTCCATGTTTAGCAGTCGATGGCGAGGAGAAAAGGAAAGAAATAGAAAAGCAAGATGGTGAAGACTCTACTAAAATCTCCATGCAAAGTATATGTATGACTGTATAAAGCAGAGCCGTAGAAACGCGAATCTACCGCCAACATATAGGCCTTCACTGCTCTGCTGTACAATCTCTATATCTGCTTTGGTTGGGGAATTAGCTTCAGTCTCTTTGAATAAGTACTATCGGCATATATAAGCACGTACGCATGCTCGCAGAACCCATATCCGTTATTTAGCTCTCGCAACCTCTTCTCCGAGCACGGAGTTCCAAGGAACAACAATCCCTTTATGTATTTTGTAATTCAGAACGCGAAATCAGTGAAGGAACCCGAGATTACCGACTTCTTAAGCTCTCAAGTTCTCATACTAAGTGCAATTACCAGCGTCATCCAAACCACAACATCAGCAAACACAACTCGAATGTGGGAGCGGGTGCTCCCCTAACCCATCTAAGCCCTCTCAACCACAACCACTTCCTCAAGCTCAAGAGCCAGCGTACGGAACAAACGATATACCCGCTCACCATACCGCGTCAGTGACGCGCCTCATCACCGTCCAGTCGCACCGACGATCGTCACCACTATACAACATCCATCACCATCACCAACTCCACCCTATCCCCATTCACCCAGCTCGCGGCACGCATCCTCAGTTTGAAGCTGTGATGAACAGAACACCATGCCTTTTCATCGCGTTCCTATGGGACACGATGAGCCAGAAGGTTATCGGAGTGAATCAGCTGCTGCTGGTGCGTTGCTGACAAGGTAGGCCGGCATCTCTTCTCTTCTCTTGTTCTTGCGCTTTAGGTACCTACTGCCGTTTACCCGAGGACGGTACCACTGACGTTGGTATTTCGACTGCAAGTAATGCTTGCTGATGACGGGTGATGTTTCGAGGTATTTTTTGAATTTGTACATAAATGCATATAACTTACCTACCTGTTTGACATTGCATAGCATACAATCTGACTCTCTATCAGTGAGTACGAGTCCTAGTCATATGTGCCGCGCCATCACGCAACCATCTACCACCAACCCCAAGACCCCTACTCAAAACACTGGTCCCACTTCCCACCACTCCGCGCAAACGCCAAACCATCCACAAACTCGCTAAGCTTACAAGCACCATTCTCATCCGCGCAACCCAGCGGCAGCACGCGATCATTCAGCACAAAGCGGACGTACTCCTCCTCCCCCTCAGCACACCTAAACGCCTCCACATACAGCCTCGCCGCAAACGGGACCGTCCACGCACTCGCATAGCCCGCCGTCAGCGCGGGCTCCGCGCGCTGCTCCGGCGTCAACGGCTCTGTCGCATTGAACAGCCCGAGCGCGAAAAACGCAGCCGTCATGTCGTTGTCGTGCGAGAAGTCGGCGAACAGGCGGTCGTTGGCGCCGAGTGGGAAGAAGGCTGGGTCCGCGTCGCGCGTGCGGTTGCTGCTCGTGCGGTCTTGGACGGGTGAGCGCGTGAGCCGCGCTGCGAGCTCATTTGCGTAGCCCACGCCTTGTGTCGGCCCCAGTGGGTCGCCCGCCCCGTAGTGGTAGTATTTGCCTAGCGTTTGGTAGTAGTCGTATTGTTTCCATTCGTGCTCGGTGAAGAGGGCGCAGAAGGGGGAAAGGGCGCCCGAGGGGTCTGCGACTGTGTAGAAGGGGCATAGGTCCATGAGGTAGGAGGTTTCTTTCTGGGTGAGGTTTGCGCCGGGGAGGATCTCGTTGTTGACGCGCGCGGTGATGGCCGGGAACACCAGGTCCGAGTAGATGCCCTGGCCGCGCGCGGAAATGGCGTCGTCGTCTTCGTTCTCGAACGCGGTGCACAGCGCGTGGCTCATGGTGTTGTTCTGGTCCTCGGCCTCACTAACGGGGTGCAGATCATACGGAAAGTCGGCGGAGCGGTTCGCGGCCTTGTCCGCCTGCATGGCCGCGTGGAAGCCCTCGGTGAAGTGCTGTCCGCTGGCCACGACGCGACTCTGCGCCGACGCCCGCACGAACAGCCTGTGCCCCCGCGCCAGCGCCTGGTACCGCTCGTAGAACTTCACGCCCGAGTTGTACAGCTCCGTTTCCCCGAACGCGGTCAGCTCGTCCGCTCCAAGGTCGTATGTAAAGTCCTTGAGGAAGGCCGCCTTGCCCGCGAAACTCTGCGCGTTTTGCTGGATCTTGCTGATTGTGTCGTTGTACTTGGTCGTCTTGCCCGAAGTGGGGTCGCGCGCGCCGTGCCGGGATAGCACTTGCGCGAAGGTCAGGGTGCAGGTCTCTGGGATATCGGCCGAGATGTTGGACGGCACGCTGAAGTACGGCGAGTACTGGCCCCAGTAGTGGGAGATCTCGGGCGAGCATGTGTAGCCCTGCTCAATGGTGTCGCAGCTGCTGCTGTTGGTCTGCTGGGCAGTGGTGGCCAGGGCGCTGGCGGTGCGGTCAGTGAGTGCGTGCGTCTTCGCAGCGGGGGATCATGGGAAGAGAGACGTACAGGGCCAAGAAACCCAGCGAGAGGAAGGCCATGACGATTAAAACCCGCGAGCTGGAACGAGAGAAAAGTGCCTTGTAGCGGGCCTGGACGAACTGGCCAAGAGCAGTCTCACTGGCACTGTCAAAAACGAGGGAAAGAGCGTGACGCGGCGTGCGGGCTGCATGTCTACCGCTTCAGTCAGCACCTCCTTTATATACACTGCTGATCCGCCCAAGAGCAAAAGGTTTATTAGGAGGCATATATTATTGAAACGGCCGACAACGGACATGGATGGGATCGGCAGCGACTCAGCGAGAAGAACAGACGGCACGTGTCGAGGCGTGGAATCGATGATTGGACGGAGTGACGGAAAAAGTGGAAAAAATAGCAGACTTAATACCGAGCAAGAGGGGTGTGGGTTGAGCGAGGAACTGCAGCATCTATTTCTTCCGCCTCTTCTCCCCATCTTCCTCCACCGAGCAGCGAGGCAGCTTCGAACTCGACATCGCGGTCGTAAGCGGCACGGCTTTTTGCCTGCATATTTGTTATGATGCGAATTGTTATAGCGGTATCATGACTGGAAGAAAAGGCAGGCGAGGTGCATTAATTGCTTGTTGAAACTGTGTGATCGCCAGAGGTGGTGGATGTTTCGAGACCTTGATGGTTCAGGGACAGTCATGGCGGGAGGCCTTGACCGCGGAGGGTGAGATTCTCCAGCCTCCGTTCCGTGGGTCCCGCGGGACATTTCGGGGTCGGGGCGCGGCGCATCTGAGCCCGAGGTCCGAGATGCCCGGACGGATCCCATCACGTGAACTCACCAGCACGTGCATCACTGTCACGTGCCGTAGTCGGAACGGAAAAAGTATATATTCCGATGTGAGTAAGACCATCACATAACCGTTCGGGTTCTGGCTTCCTGATAGCCGCGGCGAATCAGCCTGAAATCAAGACTCGCCCAGTCCCACCTCCACTCGCCGCCCCGGATGTCGTGCGAAAGAGAGATAAAGAAAGAGCTTTGTGAAACACGTGGGTGGCACTCCGATAAGCTTTGAGTGGCTGCCCAAGCATGGCTCCATGGCACACCGAGCAACGATGCGAAGCCGAATAAGAACAGCGCCCAGAACACACAAGCACACACGGCTCACGGCTATCGCTACCGGGAGGGGCAAATGCCAATCCCCAGGAAATCCAAAAAGCCGGGGCAAAATCCGCCCTTTCCTTCTCCGCATGCGTGCCAATCACATGGAGCCGGCCAGCCCCGTCTGCTAGAGCCGCAGCCCGCCGCTCGTCCATGTGCAGATCGATATGCAGACGCAGCCAATGGCCGCCCTTGGCCCACGTAATGGGAACAGGAAACGGCTGGCGATTTCATCACTGACCCCGGACATTACTACCTTCATAGATAGTGCAGGGACCGCCAGCGTCACGGGCGCCAATACCGCCCAACTTATCGCACGCTCGTAGGAGGTACGTAGGGTAGCACAGGCAGGTATTTTACTCGCCTGCCTGCCTGCCATGACGGCCAATTGGTAGCTGGGGCAGCGCGTCTCGTCTGACTTTCAACTCCTCTCCTCCCCTCCCCCAATTCGACATGTCCAACCATGGCGTCAGCGCCGACGAGCTCCAGCTCGAGGCTCTTGGCCACAAGGGTGAGCTGAAGCGCCAGTTCTCCTTCATCTCGATGCTGGGGCTCGCCTTTGCCATCCTCAACTCGTGGACCGCACTGTCCGCGTCGCTGTCCCTTGCGCTGCCCTCCGGCGGCGCAACATCCGTTATTTGGGGCCTCATCACCGCCGGCATATGCAACCTCGCGCTTGCAGCCTCGTTGGCTGAGTTCCTGTCCGCGTATGGCTTTCGGGTAGCCTTAGATTTAGAGAAGAGATTGCTGACTTGTTTCTAGGTATCCCACGGCCGGCGGGCAATATCATTGGGTAGCCGTGGTCAGCTGGAAGGCTTGGGTGCCGTCTCTGAGCTGGATCACCGGCTGGATCAACTGCTTCGGATGGATCGCGCTCGTGTGCACCGGCGGCCTGCTGGGCAGCCAGCTCATCCTCGGCATCATTTCCCTGGAAAGCCCCAGCTACGAGCCGCAGCGGTGGCACCAGTTCCTGATTTACATCGGCTACAACATCTTCGCGTTCCTGGTCAACGGATTTGCCAATTCGGCTTTGCCCTACGTCAACAAGGCCGCGATTTCATGGTCCATCGGCGGCTTCGCCATCATCTGCATCACGGTGCTCGCGTGCGCCTCGCCCAACTACAACTCGGCCAAGTTCGTGTTCGGCAACTTCATCAACAGCACGGGCTGGCCGGACGGGGTGGCATGGCTGCTGGGCCTGCTGCAGGGCGGGCTGGGCGTGACGGGCTTCGACGCGGTGGCGCACATGATTGAGGAGATACCGAACGCGTCGGTGCTGGGGCCGCGCATCATGTGCTACGCGGTTCTGATCGGCATGTTCACTGGCTTCGTGTTCCTGACATGCCTGCTCTTCGTGGCGGGCAACATCGACAACATCATCGAGTCGTCGGCCGGCCCGCTGCTGCAGATCATCTTCCACGCGACGGGCTCGCACGCCGGCTCCATCTGCCTGCTGATGTTCCCGCTGGTGTGCCTGCTCTTCGCAACCACGTCCATTCTGACGACGTCGTCGCGCATGGTGTACGCGTTTGCGCGCGACGGCGGCCTGCCCTTCTCGCGCCACCTGGCCAAGGTGCACAAGGGGCTGGGGATCCCGCTGAACGCGCTGCTGTTCAGCACCGCCTGGGTCATCATCTTCGGTCTGGTGTTCCTGGGCTCGAGCTCTGCCTTCAACGCCATCACCTCTGCGTCCGTCGTCGCTCTCGGCGTTTCGTATGGCATCCCTGTCGCGATCAACTGTCTGAGGGGCCGGCGCATGCTGCCGCCGCGCCAGTTCCGCCTCCCGGAGCCGCTGGCTTGGTTCGCGAACCTGGTACGTCTTTCCCTTCCCATCCCTGCCCTCCCCAAACCCTCTATTCCCCATCTCAAACCAGACCTTTCCTTTCCTCCATCTCCCGCCACAACACCCCACTAACCCCCCCTCTCCCACAAATAGCTCGGCATCGCCTACGTCCTCGTAACAACGGTCCTCTTCGTCTTCCCCCCAGACCTCCCCGTCTCGGGCACTAACATGAACTACTGCGTCGTCGTGTTCGCGATTGTCGTGCTCATCTCGGGCATCACGTGGGTGTTTGACGGGCGCAAGAACTATGCCGGCCCCAAGCTGGATAAGGACCTCGAGGTTATTCATGCCCAGAATGTCGAGCAGGGGGAGGAGACGGTCGTTGCGGGGAAGGACGACGTTTTGGGAAAGGGGGGATTGGTGTAGAGGTAGAGAGATCTCGCTTCTTTTTGTTTTTTGAGTTAAAAATTAAATGAAAATCTAAGATTGAAAATTGTGTGTTTGTGCTAGTTCTGGTGCTGGTGCTGGTATTGGTGTTGTTGGCGCTTGCTTGCCTGCTCGCTCGCATTACCTTACCTCACACTCCTACAGTACTATAGCCGGCCAGCTGCAGCTGTGTCCGAAACGCAACCCCTATCTCCTATCTCCTATATCCACAACAGCGCCTCCCTCGTATCGCTCCCTTCGTCGAAGACCAAGCTAAGAGCGCTGGACCGGGCTGCGCAGACCAGACAGTCGGCAACGATCCACCCACCCACTGCGCGTACCTCAAAGGCCAACAAAATCAAAAAGAGGACAGCTCAGCACACGGCTTGCTTGAAGGGAGGACCTCCCAAGCTGACAACGGCAACAAGACCCACACAGGCATTCTGGATGGAGTTCCCACGAAAGGGTGGACAGAAGAGCATGGGGAAATCAGGTAAACTGGGCTGTGGGATTTAGGAGCAGGGTCGGGACGAGGGAAGGGGTTGCGGATGGGTGAGGGTGTTTGTGGTGGTAAGGTGGTGATGTGCGTCATGAGGGTGTGGTGATGCTGACTGGTAGCGGTGGATGAGGGTGCGTGGCATTAGCGCGCTGGGTTGTGGTTGGGTTTTCGAATAATCAGTTAAGTCTTCAAGTGGATTCGCCCATTAGGCCTGTTGGATTGTTGTTTGGGCGTGAGTATGAAGTGTGGCTGGTTGAGCAGTAGTCATTGACTCCTTATATCTGGGAGATGGGTTTAATGATTAGAAGGACGGGCGGGTCAGTGTTGGATATACATGCGATTATGATTATTGCGATGGCTGGGAAGTGTATTTAGTTATGGACTGGGTACGGGGGAAATCTCTTAGGTAGAGAGGTGTGTGATAGTGCTATCGGGTTGCTTTTTAGGCCTAATATAGTGTTACATTGCTGTTTTTCCCTACGGAAGTCTAGCTATAAGTCTTCCTTTTCTTTTTAGGTCTTTAGCCTTTATTAGTGGGGACATGGAGGATAGTGAGATGTGAATGAGTGATAGACGAGTAGATGTATATAAAAAGTAGACGTTTGTATATGGACTAGTTGCAAGGCGGGTTGCTAATAATTTAGCTGTGATTACCGATACTATAGAGGCGAATAAAGGGAGTGACTAAGATGGAAGTGTTAGAGGGAAGTGGTTGAGACAGCGAGGATACATAAAAGCGAGATAGTTGAGACTTGAGAGTTCGTTTACGAACTACGCAGCCCTTGAACATGCCGATATATTGTTGTCACTGGATGAATACAAGGTGACATTAGGAAGGGGATGCCCTTCCTAAAAAAAAAAAAAAAAAAAGGATAAACGAATATAATAACTATAAACTGTAGTGACGAACGACGTATATACGAAGCTATAATGCCTACCAACTACTTTATTAAATAATGACCTTTATTATCAAAAGGTTACAGCTTTCACCGTCTTAATTAATACCGATACTCTTTCCTTCTATTTCTTTGGATACGATCCAGTCAAGCTTTTCCGAGCCTGTGTGGCTTGGGGTTCCTGTGCACGGGTTTCATTGTTGGAGGGTGGTGATTCTTCGCTGTGTACATCCTAAAACCTCTGTGCGTACCAAAAAAAATTCTTTGTGCTCGTGCGGTGGCATCAGCGACCGTACACTCATGCTTGGTCTCGCTAGGTTGCGCGGACCTGGGCAAGTATTAGAGTTCTCCAAAACCCGTACCATTCCCTTTAATAGCTAGGTTTGAAAGTCAAAATTTCGCTTCGTATTGAAGGAAACCAGTCCATGACAGAAATGCCCTAGAAATCAACAGGCTTAGGGAATGGGGAGAGAGCATGCCACACCTATCTAACATGCCTGCCCGCTCATGATCAACGGATACCGAAACCGAAGATTCATACACACGCAGTAGCTATCACTATACAGGGATGGCAAAGAGCACCGCGAAGAGAGAACGATGAAGCACGCCAAGACGGGGAAATGATGAAGTATCTCACCAGTATTATAACTATAGTACGGATACCAAATTACAAAACAATTAGTTCAGTCATCAATAGCGCGGCAAGCAGTCCAAGCAACACCTGTTCCGTGTTTGTTGTACAGTTTCGTGTGCTTAGAAAAGGAACCTCATCGGTAGAAAGAGCCGAACAAGAGCGATAGCAATAGTGACGGTGTAGGGAACAAGAAGGTAACTTATACTAACATACAAGGCCCCATCGCTTCCTGCCTCCGCTTAAAAACAAAAAGATCAACAGCTCCATCAAGCAACCCAACCTCCACGAGCACGCGCATCCATTTATCCACACCACCACATTACCCCATATTATTATAGTGCATTTAGTGTTACATTTTTTTGTGTTTTTCTATTTTTCTACTTTTTTTGTACTTTTGTTCTTTAAGTCTTCGTCAGCTTTTTTTGTGCTTTTCGTGTTTTTCCTTGGTTTTTTAGTCTTCGTCAACTTTTTTGTGCTTTTTGGTTTTTCAGTCTTCGTCATCTCTCCGTGTGAAGGATTAATGCACTCACTCACTGTCAGGACTATGAGTGCTTCGCAGTCGTCAGTATGCCGCTCCTCCTGTGGGACATAGGAAATCGGGGATGGGTTTTGGGGGAAGAGAGGTAGGGAATAGGGTATGGGAATGGGGAATAGGGAATAGGGGACAGGGGAAGTGCAAGTGAAAGAAACAACCAACAAAAACCCATCAAAAATCCACCCTCACCATCAGCACTCACACACTACGACCACTCCGGCGCCCTAACTACCGTTCCCGTGATCGTACCGCCCTCATAACGCTCCTCCAACCCGCTAACAACCCTGTCCACAACGCCCTGCACCAGTCCCGGGTGCCCCTGAACCTGCACACGCATGTCCTGCGCGCTGCGGGAACCGTTCTGGTCCTCGACCACCAGCGCGCTGAGCATGACCATGGGGTCTCCGGCTGTCATAGTAGTGGGCGTGAACGCTGGGGGCAGGGGGACGTGGGCGTGGTCTTGGGTGGCATGGCCGTCAATGCCGTTCTCGGCTCCTGCTTCAGCAACTCTGGCACTGTCAGTAGCACCAGCACCGTCAGTAGCACCAGCAGAAGAAGCAGCAAGCTGCTCCGCAGAAGCCATCTCCAGCGCTGGGCCCTGCGGGCGGGAGTACACGCTCCCGGTGCTAGACGAGTAGACCGAGGAACTCGTACCTAGGTCGCTCCAGCCATCAAAGACGCGCTGGTCGATGTCCGAGCCGCTGCCCGCAGGGGAGCCATTGCCCGCAGGGAAGCCGTTGACCTGAGGGAGTGGCTCGACCCTATAGTCATCAGTCAAGTATGGGTTGTAGGCATTGAGGCGCACAAGGCTCAATTCAGCGACAGAGCCAATGCCAATGCCCGAGCCAGCAGCAGTAGTCCCACTACCCTGGCCCGTCGAGGCGCTCGCACCGCTCGCACTGGGGTTGCTCAGCCCGTCCACCAGCGCGCTGGCGCCCATCTCGCTCCAGCCGTCGAAGACGGCCTGGTCGATAGCCGAGGCGGAGCCTGACGCGCTGCTGTGCTGAGGGGGGGTCGCTTCGGCGCTGTGCTCGTTGTTATCAGTGAGGGAGGTGTTGTTGCCAAGGGGGCCAGCGGCTGTGCCCGAGTTACCGTTCTCGTTACCTTGACCAGCGCCTTCACCTTCGACTACGCCTTCGGCTGCACCTTCGGCTTCACCTTGCGCAGTCTGCGTCTTGCCCGCACGGCGCTTGCGCACCCGCTCAAGCACACCACGCAGCCTATCCCTCGTCTTCTTAGCAGCGCGCTTGAAAGCGCTCTTAGGCTTCGCTGCGCCAGCAGTAGCAGTAGCATTGCCTGTACCATTCTCTGCATCAGCAGCCGCCTGATCCCTCTTACGGTCCTCAGAACGCTGAAACGGCCTATCACACACTTCAGCAGCAGCACCGCCTTCTCCGTTCTTCTTCTTGAACCAGCTCAGCTTGGCGCGCTTGCCCGGGCCCATGTTGCGCGTTCCCATGTTTGCTTTGCGGTGCGTCGTGGTCCGTCCGTCTGTCTGGCTGTCTGCGTACCGGTACCAACCAACTAACTCCCTACCAAGGCGGCGGCAGGAATTCGTTTTTATACGGATGCTAGGCTGACGGGACAATGGCTTTGTTCATGGGCTTTGCCCCTGGCGGGCGCTGGGGTGGTGCTCCATTGTGGTGTTCGCGCGGGCATTGTTTGTGGATATGGACGGAGTGCGTGGACGGGGTTGGTTTGGTTGTTGCACTTTGTGGCAGTGTGTCTGCACATGTGCTGCTTGGGAGGGTCTGATGTTCTGTGGGAGGTGCTTGTAGAGGAAGATATTCGCGGCTTTTTCTTTAACTTTTCTTTCATTTTTGCTTTGTTTCTTTTGGCCGGTTCTTCCTGGACGACGGCGGCATTACCTGGAGTCTGCACATTTAGTTTAGAGATGTGTATGCGTGTACGGCACTTACAATTCGGCATATATATAGTCAAGTAGTTAGTGTGACGAGAGCGAAAGAGTATGATGGATCAATAACCGTCTTCGCACTCCCAACGTGTAGTGCGGCACCACCGCTCCATAAGTGTACCATCTTTTGTACCATGTGTTCTCATTGCTGCGTTTGATTTTTTCGTTACATAACCACTACCCACCACACGGTCCCTCTCATCATATACCTGAAGTTGATTCATTGCGCTGCGCAGTCCGCGCAGAAAAAGAAGCAAAAACTCCATATCCGTCCATTCATCCGTTGTCCAAATACAACGCTCCGAAACCATGCGAGAAGGCCTAGGGCGCCGCGTCGTTGTTGAAGACGCGGCGAGGCCCTCCGGAAATTTTCATGCATATGCGTATGCAAAGACAAACCTTCGCTCTAACTTACCCCCTGAACAGCTGCTCCATCTACGAGGAGTACTGCTGCTTAGGGAAGGGGTAGCTGGGGCCGAGCTCCTGGATGCTGAGCTTGGCGAGCCACTGGCCCATGTCGACGTTGGTGCGTAGGTCCTTGCCCTGGACAATACCGGCGAGGAAACCACCAGCGAAAGCGTCACCGGCACCGTTGGTGTCGTTGATGAGCGACTTGTCGATGGCGTGGACGGGGAAGGATGAGACCTCGGCGTCGCCGCCCTCCTTGGCCACAGCCACGATCGTCGGGTCGGTGCCCTGCGTGATGATGACGGTGCGGGGACGGTTCTTGTTGGCCTTGGGAAGCGCAGCCATGCGCTTGGCGATCTCGGTGATGTCCTTGGTATTGAAGCCGTGCGACTCGGCGTAAGAAAGAGCCTCCGTCTCGTTGCCAATAACGTAATCCCAGTAGGGCGCGGTCTGGTCGAGCTGGTCCTTGAAAAACTGGGGGATGAAGGGGGCGGAGAGGGAAAGAACGAAGATCTGAAAATGGTCAGCTTCCAGCAGTCAACAGATGGGTCAGCGCCGTCTTACCTTGTCCTTGGCAGCAGCCTCCTCAGCCAGGGCCATGATGGCCGGCACGCAGACGGTCAAGTGGTAACCACCGACATAGTAGACCTTGGCCTGCTCGACGAGCTTCCAGATCTCCGGCGACTTCAGGTGCTCAATCTTGTAGCAGTTGGCGGCAGCCAGGTCGGTGCACATGCTCCGGTCGTGGCCGGTGATGATGACACCGCAGCGACCCGTCGGCTGCTCCTCATCGTAGCGGTACTCGACGCGCAGGCCGACCTGCTTGACGGCATCCTTCAGGGTCTCGGCGTACTTGTCCTTGCCGACGCCTCCGACGTAGACGGCGGAGTTGGGGGGAAGAATGTACTGTGGGGGGCCGTAAGCAATCCGGCGGTCTAAAAGTCGCCGTTCGCGTCTCGACATACCTGAGCGCCGCGGGCCGTGTTCTGGGCAGCACCACCAGCGATGAGCTTAGCGTTGTGGTTCTGGAGCAGCTCCTCGTAGAGGCCCATGTGCTTCTCCTCGGCCAGGATGGCGTCGTTGGCCTTCAGGCCGTACTTCTCGAGGAGGGCGGCATCGCTGCGTCATCAGCAATTGAGCGGTGCGGAGCGGCCGAGGAAACTCACCCTTCACCCTGGATGTCCAGCAGGGGGTTCTCGAGGCAGAAGAGCTCAAAGTTGCCGGTGGAAGTCATTGTGTGTTGTTGACGGAGAGAGAGAGGTGAGGTGGAGAAGAAGATGGCGGGGTGCTTTTGGTGCAGAGAAAATGGCCGAGGGGTTCGGTGGACAAAGCGCCGGCCCGCTGTTGGAGCTTGAGCTTTGAACGCCGCTCGTGCGGCTAGACGCATTGGGCTGACGACTGCGGCTGACATTTTTGTTTGCTGCTGACGCTTGCATTCGAGCACTGCAAAATGGATTCACGCTTCCCGACAGCATCCGCGGTAAAGCGGAGATCTCACCTGACCTTACATATGTATCCATGTCTAGATATTATTTGATACGGCACTCACAAAACAGATAATTACTACCTACTGATGCCGCTGGTTTCAATCTGGGAGCGACAAAACAAATAGCTAATGAACAATCCCTTTCATCCAATTTGGTTCAACAACATCCATCCCCTAGTTAGTGACAAGCCCGCATCTGAGCTACGCCGAAGTAGTCTATGCTGACCGTGTCCAGCGTCAAGGCCGATTTCTCCGCTCATGTGCCGCGCCGGGAGCGTGTCAAACAGGCGGGCGTCATCCGGCGGGATCCTGGAGATCGGTCCTCCTGCGTTTGCCTACTGGACTCGAAGTGAACGTCTGCGCGAATACGACGATGCTCGAAAGTCATCAAATCCATCCCGCGATAAAAGCGGGCAAAGGCCGTGCGCATCAGCCACCACCCTGCCCGTTGGGTGGTGTGTTCAGGTAGGGGCTGCGATTGCGGTCCAAGTCCGTCCCCCAGGTACCTCCCCCAAACAACAACGGGCTTCTCATGCCAATATCATAGGCATTGCTCCCAATTCCGGTAGCCGGTCCGTAGCTGTTGCGGTACGCATGGTAGCTCAAGTCAGCAGTTCCGTCTGGAGTAGAGCCTGAGCGTCCCTGATGCATTGGCATCGGGCTCCAAACTGAATTTTGGGAGGCGTGACGCGAGTGGCTGATGCTGTGTCTCCCCATAGAAGAGTGGTGCATGCTAAAGCCAGGTGGAATCACCGGAGTGCTCGGCGCGTGAGACTCGTAATTCTTGCTCCAAATGCCCGACTGGTCTGGCAATGAAGGCAAAGTCGGGAGATTGCGCATGGCGGGAGAGGCAGTGGCGTTGTTCACATATGTATTCTCCGGTGTGCAAGCTGACTGGCTGTAGTTGCGGACCATGTTAACGTAGTCGCCGGCGTTTAGCGGCGTAATCCCGTACGAACTGTCGTTGATCAGTGCAGTATCCTCGAAAGTCTGTTCGGGTGGAGTTGGCGGAACATTTTCGTCTTCCTCAGGGAGAGGATCCAAACCATCCTCGGGGCCAAGGAGATCATCTACCATACGGTTCATAGCGGCATCTTTGGAGATGGTAACAGAGGCGGTCTCCGAGGGTGCAACGCCGTAGGAAGTCTGATCATCCGGGATGACGCCGTTGTTCTGCATACGGGGGACATCCACAATTTCTACCGGCACGGCCCTTTCACTCTTGTCGCCAGGGCTCGCGAGGAGTTGAGAAGGTATGCCGGCCTCTTGGTAAATGAAACGCATCCCGTCCAAAGCGAGTGGGGCATCCTGTTGCCGTCAATAGGTGCACTTACAACAAAGCGAACTACTAACCTCGTCCTGTGTCAACTCTAAACCGTCAATTAAAAAGTCACGGATGCGCATCACCATCTCGACATTTGGATGACTGCGCTTGAGGCCTTCGTCAGACCACTTTGGCTTCAGATCAGCACCGTAGTACCATGTTTTGAGGGTTTTGTCGGAGATTAAAGGTCGGAAGCCGAGGGTGTCCACGTCTTCTTCAAGCAGGTACTGCTCCGCCGGAAGACGGTCAGCTGGAAACGCCGACGCGAGAAGGGTGAGCGTTTCGGCATAGGCTTTCCACAACTCTCTCACCTCAACCTTTGAGATTGAGCCTTCGAAGTTGTCAAGATCGGCTGACAGGAATTTCCAGTTGTTTGTGAACCAAGAACTGTACAGACGAAGTCCGGGGAGAATGCGCCGAGCGACCACGGTGACTTTGTCGGACAGTTCCTCAGACTGCTCAGTGGCATTGACATCCTCGCCGGTTAAGCGTTCCAATTCCGGCTGCAAGATCTGGAGCAAGCGGAAAAAGGTCTTGACGTTGAGACGCAGGAAATAGAAATAGGAGCGGACGTTTTCGGGCGCTGTATGTCCTTCTTGGGCGCCAGCCTCCAGCCTTACGGTAGCGTAGTGTTCGGCGGCGATGTTGATGAGAATGAATTTTTGGACGAGGCCTTCGAGCGACCGCTCCTTGACTTCCACGGCCAACTGGCTCAAGACCTCGCCCTCCAACTCTTCGTGACCGGCAAACTCTTGGCCTTTGTAGCACTTGCTGTGAAGACGCACGAACCAAGCGATGAGGGCCCGATTCGCACCGTTGTCCTTGGGATGCGCTTGCCGGCCGATGAGCTCGCCTCTGTCCCAAGCCGTGATGATTTTCTTAAACTCCAGTTCGAGGTTTCCTTTGGCCAGCGGGTGTGGTTCCTTTGCGGCCAGAGCTCGGTATAAATGGTAGGTGGCGCGGAAATGATTGCCTTCCGAGAGAGCAATGACCGCCTGTTGGTTATGGGAGATACCGGAATCAGGATAAATGGCAGTCGCGAGGCCGTAATACCCAACCGCTTGTCTCCAGTCTTTCTCCTTCCCTCCAATCTCCCCTTCACGATAACGAGACAGATCCCCGAGCTGAATTAGCGTGTTGTACAGAGAATTTCTGATTTGCTTCTGCATTCCCGGCGGGAATTGCTTCGTGACCGAGGCATGTGAAACTGGGAGTAGTCAGCCTCATGACAGCCGAGCGATGTCCGGACCCATACTGTCGCTCTTCCACTTTCGCGCAACGGCCCGGAGTTCTGGAAGGCCTTCGAAGGCGCTGTCCAGGTGTATAATGAATTGGCGGTAGAAGCGTTGGCTGGACTTGATGAACTCGAGGTACTGTTTCTGGAGGACGCGTATTTCGACGGCCCTGTTCTTGTTCTCCTTGTTCAACTGTGTTCCGTCAGCGGCGCGCAGGCGGGGCGATGCAACGAGGCGCACCTTGTTCAGCTGCTTCCGAAAGTACGTGTTGACTTTGCTGTGGGCGGCCCACAGCTGGGCCTCGATGCCGGCGTCAGCGGCATACTGGAAGTCGGCGAAGATGGTCTTTTCGCATGCAGCGCGGTACCTGTCCATGTGTAAGTGGGCGCAGGCGAAGGCGAAAAGGCAGAGGCTTGGAGGCGCACTCTCGGAGAAGGGCGGCAATTTCAGCAGACGAGTGCTTGTCGCTAAGTTTGGAATTGAGGTCCTGCTCAGTGGTACGAGCGAGCCTGCAGGGGCAAGTTAGCGGCGGGTAGGGCGGGAGGATGGTGTGCATACGTCGCTGCTTGCTCAGCGGGTGTGGCCATGCCTCTGGTTGCTTGTGTGGGTCATAGGTGACGCCAGGTCAGATGTCTCGTGGAAAGTGCGGGCTGGCGGCAGTGCTGTTGCGATCCATGGAAGGCAGCAGGGTCTCCCGAGTGCGCCAGGGAGGAGATGCGACGGCGGGCGAGCGCGCAAGCGACTACGTCTTCGCGGCTCTCTTGCGGGTCGAGGGGGGTGGAGGTGGAGGACTGAGGAAAGTTGGAAGCCCACCAGTCGACGTTCCGGCGCGGGAGTCGGGTCGGGTTGTATCATCGCTAATAATCCGCCGCCCGAGCGACCCGGTGAAATCGCCGTCATCTCATTACATACACACCCGTGACCGTGACAATGAGCAAACGCTCCCGACAAGACTCGGAGTCTGAGGAAGTTACCGCCATTACAGAGCCCTCGGACCATGCCGCCAAGTATGAAAAGGTCGACAGCAGCAGCGGCGGCAGCGGTGGCGGCGACGGCCAGCAGCAAGACCGCCGCGTAGTCATGAAATGTTTACTCCCACCCCATGAGCCTCTCTCCTTTCCTACTTACACCGAGTACGACGTCCACTACCAGAAGCATCACACGAACCGGTGCCTGGAGTGCAGAAGAAACTTCCCCTCGACTCACTACCTGAACCTGCACATTGCCGAGAACCACGACCCCATCAATGAAGCTCGCAAGGCCAAGGGAGAAAAGATAGTAAGTACCTACTACATTCACTAAACTAGACCTAGCCTAACCTGTCCTACAGTACGCATGCTTCGTCGAAGGCTGCGACAGGGTCTGCTCCGAGCCGCCCAAGAGGAGACGGCACATGATAGACAAGCATCAATTCCCCACGGTACGTAGCCAGCATTTCTTGCCTCTATATATCCAGTCCCTTTTCTTACCAGGCACTCACCAGTTCTACGACTTTTTCATCGTCAACACCGGCATCGAAGGCCGCAACTCCATGCTCCGTCCAGGCCACGCCCCAGGGCGCGTCCCCCTCAAACTCGCAGGCCACAAGCCCGCAGTTTCCAAACCCGGACCTCCCAAACCCAACCCCAGCTCCAACCCCGCACCCCAGTCACCGCAGCAGCCCGCCAGTGCCGCAGACGCAGACTCAGCCATGGACATCTGCACCCCAGCACCGCCGCCCGGTCCCCCATCCGGCCTGCAGCAGTCGAAACACGCGCCTTCTGCTTCTTCTCCTTCTTATTCTCTCCCTACTGCCGCCGCCAGCAAACCTCCGCGCCAAACCCCAACAGCAGACAGCGCTAGTGCTGCTGCTCCGGCTGGACCTACGGCCCCAGCAGGCGACCCAATGGATGGACTAACGCAGTCAATGTCATCGCTCCGGTTCGTGCCGCCGAGCGTGCGATTCGGACGGGGCGGGAAGCAGGGCGGATTAGCTAGGAAGTAGCTTCGGGTGGGAGAGAGCAAAGCAGTCTTTCAGGTGTGAGCCATGGCCGGGTAGGCGAGCGTGGTGGTTGCCCTAGGTGCTGTTGAGGCTGGGTGTACAATAGAAAAGCATGGGGGAATGGGCAGGAGGAGCAAATGGAGATTGTTGCACGGAAGCACTAGAGCAGAAAGTTGTAAAACAGAATTAACCAGAAGACACTAAATCAAGTCATATAGAGCTTGGAAACTCGATGGATGGTGTAGTAAACGAGCTCAAGCTTGCTCTCGAAAAAGACATCGCAATATATACAGCTACGCAGCTCCTCTACACGCGAGCTCAAAATCTATATACAGCCACCCACGCAACACAACAAACCACATCCCTCCCCACCTTTCCCCAACCCCACACCACACAACCTACCCAATCCTCCCTCTTCCCCCAGCCAGACTTCTCCTTCCCCCCGCCCGTCTCGCAGCGACATCCTCCATAGCGTCCTCGCCATCTCTCCACCTCCGCCCCTCCCACGCCTTCTCCCCCTGCTCGCGCAACCTCGCCACTTTCTCCACGATCGCCACCACGTCACCCCAGATACGGCGACGGTTGCGCAGGCCGAGCTGGGCGCGCAGGAAGGCGCTGTGCGGCTTTAGGGCGGCGTGTAGGTCGCGGTAGCGGAAGCGGGGTCCGACGGAGGAGGACCGGAGGCTTGCGCCAGAGGAGTTTGCTCTGACGGTGCTGGAGCTGGAGGGGTTGCCAGCGGGGGAGGGGTTGTGGGGGGCAGAGGTGGTAGGTGTTGTTTTCAGGGAGTCGATTTCCCAAAGCCAAGGCATCGACACCCGGATGAAGTGCTTGAAGACGAGGTCCGGGAGATGCGTAAAGGCACGCGAGGAGAGGCGCAGCGCTGCGACGTCGTGGGGGGCTAGGCAGAGCATGATTTCGGCGAGGAGTTCGTTGGAGAGGCGCGTGAAGGGGTCGGTGGGGGTGGTGGTGGTGCTGCTGCTGCTTGGGCTGTGGGAAGGGGTGGGGGAGGGGGAGGGGTTTGTGGTTGCGTTTGTGTCTGATACTGCTGTTGTTGCATCTGGCGTTTTTGCAGAGTTTGACTGTCCTTGCTCTTGCTCTTGTTTTTGTTCTTGCTCTTGCGTAGGCGGCTTTTTGGGCTTCAGCACCAGCTGCGGCGGGTTCTGGAGTTTTTGCTGCAGGAACGGGATCGTGATTGGGTCTGCTACGAGCCACTTGGAGGAGAAGAGTTAGTGGAAAGGGCATGGAGTGCAAGGTGCAGGAGAGAACACACCTCCGTGCCGACTTCGTGCTGCCACCACTGCTGGCGACAATCCTGCAGCTCGGGACACCGTTCTATGTCATCCCAGCCATCATTGCCGTAATCGCCTTCCAGCTACAACACGCAAACCATCAGCATTGCACAAGCTGATATATCGAACGGGACGTAGACGTTCTTACCTCACGCAGCTCCCACAAAGCATCGATATCGACCTCACCAAAGCGGCGCACGCACACGCGCTTGTAGATCTCAAAGCACTGGGCATGGAAGGGGATGCCCCAGCCATACTCGCCGCAGTTGCTGATGTTAGTGTCCGAGACGCCATGGCGCACGGGCAAGAAGTCGCCGCGCCGGATGCTGAACTCGTCGGGCGCGTTCTGGGAGACCCCCGTCACGAAGCACTTGCTCTCGGCCTCGTAGGGCGCGTCGTCCGGCTCCGGCGTCCACGTCTCGTCTTTGCGCAGGATGCACTGCACCCGCGTCATGGGCTGTATGTAGGGGAAAGCCGTCAGCCCGCTCGGCTCTGACCCGGAGTCGCGGTCTGCTGTTGCGTTGCGCAATCGCTCGCCCGTCCGCCCGTCTCAGGAGAAAGGAACGAAAGGAAGAAGGAAACGGAAACCGGCCAAAGGAAAGACCTCAACAACACCGAAAAAAAGAACTCAAACATACCTTCAGCTCCCCCGCCCCAATCCTCCACCCACTATACCCCTGCTCAGAGACGCACCGCGGCCCCGCCAAATGCTCCCACTCGCCATCACCCCACCTGCTCTCCCTGCCACCGAACCTGCACCCCGTGTCCGCGGTGCTCCTGCCCCCACAGCCATCATCCTCGTCGCGGCCATCCAAGAACCCGTAGCCATAGTACATCCACGCGGCGTCGGCCGCCTCGTCCGCCCGCCGGATCCGCGCTACATTGAACGATGCCCCGCAGAGGTGGCATACCCGCTCGCTGTACCCCATTGCGCGGCTGAAGTGGATGCGGTGCTGGGGCGGCGCGCCGAGGATCGTGTCGGTGCGGGAGGGTAGGTTGGGCATTTATTTTGTCTTTTTTTTTTCCTTCTGTTGCTTTGTTTGCCTGAAGCTTCAATTGTGCTGTTGTTGTGTGTTGTGTGGTCGTCTATGTAACCAGGGTACGGAGTAGAGGGGTTGGATGTGGGGTGTGGTGGAGGGGTCGGAGTGGTAGGGCCAGCCGTCTTGACGTCTGTACGTGTCGAGTCGTGGCCAACTACTGCTGCCTGCGGTCGTCAATTGTAGGTGCTACACAGTCAGCACTCTGCCTATGCACGCTATGCTATGGGGTGATGACTCGGGAGATAAGCTCGCTCATCACGTGCATGCATGCGATATCGGCCTGTCGGCGACGTTCATGGTTGATCAAGATTGATTTGCGTCAATTCTACCAAAGCTTTGGATTCAAAAGTATAACAGAGGTTTGCCGTTTGATCTTCTGCATCTCCCTCCCCCATCCGGTCCCTGGCCACAGCTTTGGTGGGCGGTCCGCTTCATTCCGGATTTCTCTCTCCCGCTCTTTCTGTCTCTCCAAAATTCCAACGTCTTAGTCCTCAAAATGCCCCCATTTCTTCTATGCTTCGTTTTGCCTCTTCTGCGTTTATCTACGCTTCGGCTTGAGGAGCTCCTGGAACGCCAGCTCCACGCCTCGTTTGATTTCCTTGTAGCTGACGACCAGCACGTTCTGCTCGTCACGGCTCACCAGCGATACTTTTTCTTCCGTGCCCACGTCCAGCTTGTTGAGGCAGTTGAGGACGTGCGCCAAGTCGACGACTGGGTTGCCGTTGGCGTCTACCTGGTGGAACACGTAGTCACGGAAGAGCTTGAGGTAGTAGCGCTCGCCGGTCTCCGACCACTGCGGGTTATTGTCGAACTCGGGACGCTCGGTGATGAAGTTAAGCTTGGCCATGAGGCGCACGAGACGTCCGTTCTCCAATTCACGGCCAAGGTTGGACGTGAGAGTGTCTTCGGCGTGGAAGGTGTTGTCAAGGAGAATCGTGACTTTGTCTGCAATCGACGCCAAAAAGGTATTGACATCCTTGGACTGCAAATCCTGAGGGCTCAAAAGCCAAGACACGCACTCGATGAGATCTTTGCTGTAGCTGCGAGACAACACTTCTACAGCCTTTTGCATGTTTGCCGGGTTGATAGAATTATTGCTTGTGATGGTGATGATCAGGCGACCGAGCTGTTGAAGGTCTTCTTGCTGAAGCTCGTTCATCGGGCGCGAGCTTTCAAAATGAATCAAGTCAAGAATAGCACAGCTGTTGATACGGATTCTGTTTTTGGACGTGACTAGAATCTTGCTGGGGTGAAGGAGTCTCGCTGCCAGATTGTTGCTGTGCATCGCCTTCAATGCAGAAGCGATCTGCACAATGTAGCCCCAGAGAACCGACTCGGGGATGGTGCTCGTGTTCACCCTGTTGTGGAAGCCACGCGGAGTGGTGTTGAGGTGCTGCTCAGAGAGCGTCTTGGAGAGAGGGTGGTAGTCAGTCACAAAAATGAGCGAGCTGTCGCCAAAGGCCCGGGTAGTGAATGCGTCGTGAATGGTAACGATATTGCCGTTGTCAATGCGCTTCCAAGGGCGCACGGAAAAGATGGCCTGTTCGCTCGTCAAGCGGTAGCCTTCGAGCCTGCGAAGCGTATAAGTCAGACCGTCTTTGCCCGAAACGGCTTTGTAAACCCAGGTGGGATATCCAAAAAGAGCATTGTTTCGTTGATTGTTTGTGTCCAAGGGCACCAGCGAATGGAAGTGATCGACAGCGCTAGGCAGAGAGGAGTTGGGGAGTATTTGTCGTTGTGCCTCGGACTTGCGTTGCAAGTCCTCCCGCAGCTGATCAGGGATAAAGAAATCATGTGTGGTTTTCTGATATACGAGGAGATTCTCCGGGTGGGGCCCCATGGGTGCGTAAAGATGGTATTGGATCGGCTGAGTGAAACCGGCCGCGTTTTGAAAGTAGGCCGCTCCAGCCATGGCGGCCGTCTCTTGACTGTACGGGTTGAGTTGGGCGGCATGGTTGGCTGGGCTGATGCCGCCCATGGCCGACGACACGGCAAAGGTGTCGAATGAGTTTAGCGCTGCGGCAGACACGGCCGGGTCGCCCTGCGACGTCAGCACAGCACCAACGCGGAGCTGTGGTGTGCTACTCACCTGGACATCGAAGCCCTGAGGGACAAACTCCTGGAAGTCATGGCCGTGCCACTCGGGGGTCGCGTCCTTGGGCGGCCCCGGAGCAAAGCTGTTGGACTTTTTGGGGGTGAAGACGGCGGCATTGGCGGCCTTTGGGGAGATGGTCGTCTGCCGGGGCGAGGAGGAGGCGGCGCCGTTGGTAGCGGGCTGGAGCGGAGTGAAGGAGGGGGAGTCGACGTTGAAGCGTTTCTTGACGTTCTCGGACTGGGAGGAGTTGACCTTGGCGGGGTCGTGGTTGAAGACGCAGCCGGTGTGCTCGTGGCGGCAGTGGCCGTAGATGGTGACGTTGCGGCAGAGGATGTTGCTCTTCGGGTGGTAGTCTGTCATGGCTCAGCTCCTCGCGCCCCTGCTCTGGCGGATGGTGCAATGCATACCACGTCCTTTGTTGGGTCGCGGCGAGGCGACTGCGCGGCGCCCTTCACCCGGGCTACCCCCAATTGCGGCCATCAGCGGTGTCGAGGGTCATGCAGCATGGTCCGATCAAAGGAGCATGGCGGGGCGGCCGAGCTTGGGGAGATTAGACGTGGTGATGTCGAATGCGCCGCGGGGGCAGGCCGTCCATCAGGGCCGGGCAGGCGGGGCGGCGCGAGGCGAGGGCGGCGATTGCGAGCGGGCGAGAGAGGATAGAGAGAGAGAGGGCGTGAGAGCCTGAGGGCGTGGACGGGGCCGGCTCGAGTATGTACGCGGCCCATTGATTCGAGATCCGCCCGTGTCTCAGCCTGCGCTCTCGCACACTTAAACCTGGCCGCCCACTGCCCAGACTCTCCCGCTCCTCACCGGCCACGACATTCCGCGCCCAGTCCTGCCAGATCCGCCCGGCACACCGCCTTCTTTCGTCATCATCAACCATCAAACCATCGAGACACCTCGCCTGTCTCCAGGTAGTAGTCACATTTCTACCTGCAACGGCTGCTCGCCCCTCCGCCATGGCGACTCCTACCGTCGACCTCGACCAGCTCACCGAGGACCAGCAGCTGGCCCTGCAGCAGTTCTCCGCCGTCACCGACCAGGACGTCGAGTCGGCCGTGCCGCTGCTGCAGCGCTGCCAGTGGAACGTGCAGGTAATCCAATCCATTCCTTCGCCACTACTCCCACTTGCATCCGCTAATTATCGGCAGATAGCCATCTCTAGGTTCTTTGATGGCGAACCAGCCGAGCCCGTCGTCCCCGAAGAGACCATCCCTCCACCGCAAGACACCCGGCGCGCAGAGACGCTTGCGAATGGCTTCGGCAGACCCTCTGCAGGCCGGCGAAACCTGGAACCAGCTCCTCGCGTGGTACCGCAGCCCGAGAGCCAGGTTACGCAACAGGCACCCTTCATCCTCTCTGTCGTGACCTTTCCATTCAGGTTGGCGTACGGCGTTTTCTCCAAGTTCTTTAGCGTTTTTACCTGGCTATTCCCCTTCCTACCGCGCATGTTCGCAGCAAGGAGCACATCGCAGGCGCGACGACGAGACACGAGCGGGCGGCGACCGCTGAATTCCCGGGACACGGCCGCGCGCTTCATACGAGAGTTTGAGGAAGAGTACGGCAGTCACAATCTACCCTTCTTCGAGGGCGGTTACGCGCAAGCCTTTGATCAAGCCAAGAAGGAGCTCAAGTTTCTATTGGTTCTGCTGGTATCGCCGGAGCATGACGACACTTCGTCCTTCGTCAAGGACACGCTGCTCGCTCCGGAAGTCGCAAACTTCATCAAGGACCCGCAAAATAACATCATCATCTGGGCCGGAAACGTTCAAGATGCCGAGGCGTATCAAGTCTCGGACGCGTTGAGCTGCACCAAATTCCCGTTCGCAGGCCTCATTGTTCACACGCCAGCTGTATCGTCAACCGCGATGTCCACGGTCGCTCGCATCGTTGGCCCTACGCCGCCTAATTCCTTCTTATCTAAGATTCAAACAGCCATCGCGCAAAACTCCGAACCACTAAATAGGGCGCGCGCGACGAGGGCAGAACATCAGGCAGCACGGAATTTACGGCAGGCACAGGATACGGCATACGAAAGGTCGCTGGCTCAGGACAGGGAAAGAGCAAGGCAAAGGAAAGAAGCTGAAGAAGCAAGGAAGCGCGAGGAGCGGGAACAAAGAGAAAGGGAGGAGGCAAAGGAGAGGGAGGCGCGCAACCTCGACCAGTGGCGGAAGTGGAGGGCGCGATCTATCGCCCCTGAACCGAGCGAGGATGCCGTTCGGATCAGCCTGCGTATGCCGTCCGGCGATCGCATCATTAGGAAGTTCGCTTCGGATGCTCAAATGGAGGAGCTCTATGCCTTTGTTGAATGCTACGGCGTTCTCCAAGGCGACGTCCCGTCTGAAACCGAGAAACCGACGGGGTACGAGCACGAATACAAATTCCTGCTCGTCTCTCCCATGCCGCGCGAGGCCTTTGAGCTCGGAAAGGGTGGTAGCATCAAAGAACGCATTGGCCGCAGCGGCAACTTGATTGTCGAGCGGACGGACATTGAGTCTGACGAAGAAGAAGAAGAAGAGTAATGGACCGCTCGGGTGTAGCATTGGGCAGGAGTTGTGGAATATTGGCTCGGGGTTCCCTCATCAGAGGCTCTTTGTGGCGCAGGAGATCTGCGCTGCGAGGTTTAGGTAGGTGTTTCGACAACTAGATCTCACTGCACGTTTCAATACGACAGCATCAAATTTCCGTCTACTACTATATCTTCAGCCACATTCTGCACGTTCGGGCGGCACGGAGAATTTGCACGTCGCTCGGGGTGACTTGGGCCGCTTTTACTGTCAGCATGCATCATGCCTTCCCCACAGATGGCGGGCCTGAAGTCGATTGCGGCGGCTTTGCCGTTGTGGCTTGGGTCCCCATGGAGATCCGCCTGACCCCGCGATTTGACCGGCGTCGTGCAGGGATGCGACCATTTACCCGGCCACGCCGGTTTGCTGCGTCACGCATCAGCAGATTTCAACCCAACCACGCGTTGGTTCGCGTCTCCATAATGGGTACCCGCGTCCGCCTGTGCCATTGCCGAGCCTTCGTTGCCCAGATGTACCCCTCTCAAATCTCCGATTTTTTTCTAGGCAGAGAGCTATTTAGCTCGCCGAATGCCCCTCAGCGTTGCTGCGCCGTGCCGTTCGTTGTCTTTCGTTTTTCTCGTCGAAGATGTTGAGAGCCGTAGCTACTGCCGGGCTTGCTGGCCTGGCCATTGTCTTTCCTTCTGGCGCCGAAGCCGGTTCTCGTACGCGCAAGACGCGGCAGCTCACCCACAGCCAGTACATCAACGCGACTCACACCAATGTCACCAATGTAGAGCTTCACATTGACACAAAAGACACGTCTGCCCGCAATGACACTGCGCCATACCTGTACGGTCTCATGTTCGAGGACATCAACCATTCCGGTGATGGCGGCATTTACGCGGAACTGATCGCCAACCGAGCGTTCCAAGGTACGCATAAAATTGAAAGACACATTGGGACTGTGCTGACGTCTTCAAGGCTCAGGTATCGTACCAGGTCAATGGAGTGGCCTAACAGGCAACGTCATTGTCAATAGCGAGAACCCCATAGACCCCTACGGTCCGGTATTAACTGGCTGGGGTGCCATTGGTAACGTTCGGCTGTCCCTCGACAGACTCCACCCGCTCTCGGATGCCTTGCCAGTTGCCCTACAAGTCGACGTAGCTGCGAACGCCACGGGTGAGGTTGGCTTTTTAAACTATGGCTGGTGGGGCATGGACGTGTCGCCACAGACGTACAGTGCTTCATTCCACGTACTGGCAAACGCTCCACGCTACAATGACACAAATGTCGGCTTCACGGTCTCCCTACGTTCAAATCTTACGGGCGAGGTGTGGTCTAAAGCGGATATCCCACCGGCGAAGCTGCCCACGTTTGACTACGTGCAGCTGAACACGACGATCGAGAACACCGCCACCGCACCCAACTCGAACAACACGTTCGCCCTCACTATGGATGCGTCTCAAGTTGCGGGCCAAACCTTATACTTCGATTTGATCTCGCTCTTCCCTGAAACTTTCAAGGGTAGGAAGAATGGACTGAGGAAGGACATTGCTCAAGCCTTTTACGACATGAAGCCCCGCTTCCTTCGCTTCCCTGGCGGCAATAACTTGGAAGGCGTATCAACCCAGACGCGCTGGAAGTGGTGGAAGACGATCGGCCCGCTCAAGGACCGCCCGGGCAGGCCAGGCAACTGGAACTACTACAACACGGACGGGCTAGGCCTGCTCGAGTATCTCGAATGGTGCGAAGACATGGAAATCGTCCCTGTGATTGGTGTCTACGCCGGCTTTTCGCTCGATATCTGGGGCCAAGATGGTACCGACTGGCCCGAAGACAAGTTCGACGAGGTCATCCAAGAAGCTTTGGACGAGCTCGAGTACTGCATGGGCGACACGTCGACCAAGTGGGGTGCGGTGCGCGCCAAGCACGGCCACCCCGAGCCCTTCGACATCAAGTTCATCGAGATTGGCAACGAGGACTGGTTCAGCAAAACCTACCCGTGGCGCTTCTCGCGCATGCTGGCGGGGCTCAAGAAGGTCTACCCGGACATTACGTACATCTCGACAGCGTACAACGAGAATGACGACTACGTGATTGACATCCCGGAGGGCGCGTACTGGGACACGCACCACTACGCGGTAAGCCACGGCAATCAACGCCATTGCTCGAGCCTGACTAACCACCGCAACAGGAGCCGTCATTCTTCATCGAGGACTTCGACTTCTACGACAACTGGCAAGCCACGACCAACAACACGGACGTGGGGGTGCTGCTCGGCGAGTTCAGCGTCTACCAGATCGACACGCCGTCCGGGGAAGTCAACTACACGAACCCGCCGGACGTGCATATAGCGTACCCGCAGCTGCTGTCGGCCATCGCGGAGGGCGTGTACGCGCTCGGCGGCGAGCGCAACCCGGACGTCGTGCGCTTGTCGTCGTATGCGCCTAGCTTGCAGAACAGGAACTGGTACAACTGGACCCCGGACATGATCTCCTTCACTGCGAACCCGAAGGAAACGGTCCTGAGCGCCAGCTATTGGCAGCAGTGGCTGTTTGCGCATTTTAGGGGCACCCAGACCCTGCCGGTTAGGAATGTGAAGGGCGCGTTTAACCCGCTGTTTTGGGCCTCGAGTATTGAAGAGAAGGAGGGCGTGGTGCTTTTGAAGGTACGTGCTTCCTCTTCCTCTTTCCCCCTTTCCAGCTCCCTCATCTCTGTCTCTTTCCCCTCCCTCCTCTTATACCAACCCCCCACTAACACCCCGCCCACAGGTCATAAACATCGGCAACCAAACCGTCCCCCTCTCCACCAGCCTCGACCGCGCCTACTCGAGCGTCAACGGCACCATCCTGACAGCCAAATCGCTGGACGCTTTCAACACGGCCGAGAACCAGAATGCCGTCGTGCCGCGCGCGCTGAACCTGTCGGCTTCGGCGTCCGCGCTGCACAAGCGCGAGGGCGCGTTCAACTGGCAGGTGCCTCCGTTTTCGTTGACGGTGCTGCAGTTTGATGTCTAGGGAGGGGGTTTGGGGGGAGTGGAGTGGATTAGGGAGAGAGGGAAGGATTGGGTTGGCGTGATGGTTGCGTGCGTGCTTTGTGGTAGGTAGATAGTTGTATTAATGGATGCGTGCTTGCTTTTTCATTGAGTTTTATAAAAGGCACTGGATGGTTTGCCTACCCCCTCTAGATGTTTTGCCTACCTATGTGATAAGATACCTGCAAACCGATATGCTATACTTTCTACTCTTGGATAGTTTATATCTTTATCCCTTTATAAGTACCTTTGAACCCTTCGAATATATTGTTTTCGTATTCTCGTAGTAAACTCTAGGACTCGTATATATCAACACCTCTATACCCTCAAAGAATGCTTTAAGACTCGTATATATCCTTATTATTATATCTTTTTAAATACTATAATACCTTATATCTATAGGCATCGTAGATTGCACTTAACATATAGTTGAAGCTGGGTACATTATCCGGGCCTAAAGAAACTAAAACGACCAATACGAAGCGCACTATTAGAGAAATCAGTGCTAGTATTAGGCTAGAGCTAGAAGTAAAACGAGGAGTAAACGGCCTACGTCTCGGAGTAGTAGGAAACGACGCAATCCGCCTGTCATATAATCTTGCCTTGAATGAGCATGGTGGCGTTGACGAACGCCCGCCCATTATCGTATCTTCGGCGCTAACTATATTGCCTACACCCGACCCGTAGACTCATTATTAGGGGCGTCGGCTGGGCGGAGGTATTACGAGGATAGCTTACGTTAACACCTAACAAATACCGTAAGGAGTTGAAAGCCAATTTTCCAAAAGCTATTTATTGTTTATATAAAATACCATCATAAGTCTATACTAACCAAAAATAGACCCCTAGATATAGTAAACACCTCGTACATACGAGGAAAAATCCATACTTAACCCGTATCAAGCGGCATTTACCGTCAACCTCCTCCCTTCTGGCTTCTAGTGCAGTTTTCTTTTTACATTTGAGTAAAGACTGTCTGTGCTAAATGATAGGCCGTAACCAATCTCCCGCTTCCGGCGTGCATGATAAGTGGCGCCTGTGGCTGCACTGTGCTTCACTTCAGCCTCAGCTGCCCGTGACCAAAGCCACCATTCACCCACTCACTTACTCGCTCCCCCTTCCCCCAATCCACCCACCACACACCACACTCCCCCCCCCGCCGCCCCCTCTGCAACACCCACACCCACCCCCTCTCCAGAAGCCCCACCACCAACCCTCTCCTTCTCCTTCTCAAGCAGCACCTTCAGCACCCCCTCCGGCACATCCTCCCTCCCCATCAAAACCTCCACAACCCTCAACCCGCGCCCCCTCAACACTCGCTCATCACTGAGGGCATCTTCCAGCTCCGCCCACGTCTGCACTTTGACTGCGAACCCGGCTGTGCTGTTCCCACCCACACCCTCCCCGCCCGTCCCGCCCACCTCCCCACTACCCCCTGCACCTAAGAACCTCCCCGCAAGCCCATACTCCCACGCCCCAACGTCATTATACCCCGCCCTTAGCCCATGGATCACACGCTCAATCGTGTACCCCGCGTTGTTCAGCAGTATGACAAGCACGTCCAGGCCCTCGCGGATGATGGTCGAGAGCTCCTGCACTGTCATCTGCACGCTGCCGTCGCCGATGAAGAGGACCGCTTTTGGTGGTGCTGCTCCCTCTGCTGTAGTGGCACTTTGCCCACTCTGCCCGCTCTGCCCACTCTGTCCGCTCCGCTCGCTCCGTTCTCGGACGGCTAAAGCGGCCCCCTGCGCCGCCGGCAGCATATACCCGATGCTCAACCACGTCGCGGGAAAGAAAGCGCGCGCGCCCCTCGGGAGCGCCAAGTCACGCGCGCCATGGGCAGCCGTGCCCGTCTCAGCAAGCAGAACTTCACCAGCCTGCAGGAGCTGCGCGGCGGCGACACGGGGCCAGAAGACGCTGTGCATGATCAAGTCATTTGGGGCCGGAGTGTCTGGCGGTGGTGGCAGGGGCGGAGGCGTGAACGCCGCGGGAGGGACTCTGGCCGCGTCGAGTGTCTGCAGGAGGTGCGTGAGCAGGAAGCGCGCGGGCAGGTTCGCGAACGTTTGGTTGGGCGTTGTGAGAGTGCTGTCGGTGACTAGTACTGCGGCGCTGGCGGCTGGGATCGCCGTGCCGGAGTATGAGTTCGTCGAGCTGAAGTGCGGACCGAAGACGAGGACAAGGTCGGCGGATTTGAAGTAGTCTTGCGCGGCGGCGGGGGCGTAGCTGCCTTTGTAGATGCCGTGGAAGTTCGGCGCCGTCTCGTCTAGCAGGCCTTTCCCGAAGACGGTGGTATAGGTGGGCCAGTTGGTTAGGCGGGAGAGCGCTTGCACGGCGTCAACGATGCCGAGAGCGCGCGTCTCGCCGTCTACGAGGATGAGTGGCTGTTTGGCGCTGTATATTCTGTCGAGCAGCGCTGTGAGCGCGTCTTCCCAGTGCGGGTCCGGCAGCGCCTCGGGCACAGTGATGGGGTGCTGGAGGCGCGCGGCAGAGACGTTCGCCTCGACGAGATCCATGGGCACTTCGATGTACACGGGCCGGCTGTGTAGCAGACACTGGCTAAGCACGTCGTCAATCATCTCCGGACTGGCCTCCGGGTCCCGCAGACTCGCCTGCGCAACAGTGACGTGCGCATGCATCTGGGCGAAGCGGCGAAAGTTGCCGTCGTTGAACGTGTGGTGGATCAAACGGCCCTCGTCCTGGGCGGCCAGCTCCGGCGTCCCGACGACATGGACGACGGCAGCGCGCTCAGCGTATGCGCCGGCGACGGCGTTGATGGCCGACAGCTCGCCGACACCGAAGGTCGTGACGAGGGCGCCGACGCCGTTGATGCGTGCGTATCCGTCGGCCGCGTACCCCGCGTTCAGCTCGTTGGTGTTGCCCACCCAGTGGAGCCCCGCCGGCGCTACGTAGTCGAGCAGCACGAGGTTGTAGTCGCCGGGTACGCCGTGCACGGAGCTGATGTTGAGCTGCCGTAGCCGCGTGAAGAGGTATGCCGCGAGCTTAACCGTCGACGGCATGCTGGGCTATAGGGATTGGATGAGAGGGTAGGTTACCTTGACTCCACTGGGTTCCACCCGTTTAAGTACTGCAGTTTGTACTACCTTGCGTGCATACAGCCGAGGGTATCGCTGTAATTATCGGGTGCAGCTACACCGATCGCCACTCCGTTCATTCCGACTACTCCGACTACGCCGATCATCCAAGTGTGACACTTCTCTGGTACTCCGGTTATGCCGACCAGGGATTTCGATCTCGGAAGCTGTAGATAAAAGGTTGCTGCACCCTGTAAGAGTCAGTATTCCAATCTTTATGCAAAATGTTCCACCAAAAACTTACCATTTTAGAGGAGAAGCGGGCCGGTTTCCAGCCTCTGCCATCCGGAGAATCGCCTTTCGCCTCTTCGAGCATGTTCAAAGTCCAAGATCCAGATTCCAAACCCAAAGCGAAGCCTTGCGACCGCCACTTTAGGACCAACCCCGGCCTCTCTATCTTGAAAGCATCTGCACGAGTCAAAACTCCTTCCAAAACAATCAGTCTCGGGACAGGGCGGCCAGCCTCGGAGTTTTATCCTTGGGAGTCGATCGACATACACGGAAAGACTGGCTCCATGTCCTGCACAACTGGAGAGAGCGCGTATGATTTTGCCATGGCCATGGGCTACGGCTACGCTGCTGGCTCCCCGCAGCTCCTCCGCTTCGTCACTGAGCACATCGAGCTCATCCACAACCCTCCCTACCGCGACTGGGAGTGCTGTTTGACCAGCGGGACAACTGCCGCCATCGACATTGCTTTCCGAATCTTTTGTGTTCGCGGCGATTCGATTCTCGTTGAAGACCGCACGTATTCCGGGACCATGGACATTGCAAAGGCCCATGGGTTGAAGCTTGTTGGTGTGAGGATGGACGACTTTGGCCTCGTGCCCGAAGACCTGGATCGAAAGCTAAGAACATGGAATGGCTCAGACAAGCCACGAGTTTTGTACATGATACCTTCAGGACACAACCCGACTGCAACGACCCAGAGCACAGAACGACGAAAGGCCATTTACGAGGTTGCAGAGCGCCATGACCTCTTCATAATCGAAGACGATCCGTACTATTTCCTCCAGTTGGGGAAAGGCGACTTTTCAGATGCGCCAGATGAATATTTGAGTCGATTGCCGGTTTCTTATCTGTCGCTGGACGTGTCTGGTCGCGTCCTCCGTCTGGATTCGACATCCAAAATCCTCGCTCCAGGACTTCGCTGTGGATGGTTGACGGCATGCTCTCAGGCCGTCGAGAGGATTCTGGCCTATACGGAAATCAGTACAGTGGAGCCGAGCGGAGTTTCCCAAGTCATGCTGTACAAACTACTAGAGGAATGCTGGGGTCATGAAGGCTTCATCAACTGGTTGAGTCGTCTATCTCACCGCTACACACAGCGCCGGAATGTTCTTCTCGGAGCTTGCGAGCGCCATCTCTCGGATGTCTGTCAGTGGTCAATCCCGACTGAGGGTATGTTTCTTTGGATCAAACTTGATGTATCCGATCCTGACATTGAAGACGAAATATACGTCAAGTCCAAAGAAAACGGAGTATTGGTCAGTAAAGGCAGCTGGTTCTCTGTTAGCGAGGATACAGATGGCGTTCACTTCCGCTTTACATTCGCAGCGGCAGCGCAAGATGATCTGGATGAGGCTGTCAGTCGTTTCGGAGACATCGTAAGGAATTGTTTAAGACGTACTACATAAACTCATAGTCGGGGCTCGCCAGAAACGGGTGCTCGGCGAGATGGAACCAAAAGTCGGCGCTAAAGTCATGCAAGTTCCATTCATGTGCTGTTGGCGATGAAAGAGGGTCGTAGTCGTTGGACAGAACCTTGTCGAGTAGGTTCTTGATGGTTTGCGCAGCTCGAGATAGCAATGCGTAGTTTGGGTCTTCGATGTGGACTAACGCTCCTTTGTTCACCTCGGCAACAAGAACACTCAGATCTTGAATGACTTGACTCTCCCCGAAGGACTTGTCGAGTAAAGCATGGCAAAGTATGCCTGCTGCTGCCAGCCCATAATACACCACCTGTAACATGTTAGCTAATTCTTCTTACGGGTATTCTCAAGTTCCACATACCTTCCAGGCTACTGATGTGCCGGAGTTGGCCAAGCTTTCTCTAAGTACCACTGCCTCAACGACAACACTCAACATATTCGTTGATATGCTGAGTAATTGAGCATCTGGTCCCGGTACCTCGCGTACCAGTGCCAAACGGAGGAGGAACAAGACGTGAAGGTGATTTAGTCGCGCGCTGACCAAAAAGTCTCGCTCCACTGGATGCCGATCGCAAGCTTTTAAAGCACCTTCTAGTCGGAACTGCGGGGGCAGTGCTTCCCATTGGGCTTCGGCATCAGCTTGTATAGCACTGCATTGATTAGCATACCTTCATTTTGCAAGCATCTTTACCCACCCAGCTCTTTCAATCTTCTTATCGTAATCTTCTTCCCTAAACAGGTCAAGTATGTCCTCTTTCAACACCGCACACAATGCAGACCATTGAGTGTCTACCGCGTACGAAAACTTTTCATCCTGTGCCCATTGGAAATTTCGATCCAGCACCTGGCAGTACTTTTGATGGATCCGTGGCGGACGGCCCAAGAACACAGAAATGTTTTTGTCCGCAGAGTAAGCTCGAGCGAATGTAAGTTGACGGATGCTGCTAATGAAGGGCGTACCATCAAACTTCTCATGGTAACCGAGAGCAAACAAGGAGCTCACAACATCTCCTATCTTTCTCCAAGAACAGTAGCCTGATGGTCAGTTAAGCCAGTGATATAAGAGGCGGTACTAACTCTGGTCGCCGTCTATAAACGAATGACTGATAAAGTTTTCGTACTGAAGTATGAGCTGGAGTTCATTCAGGCAGTCGAGTGATAGAGCCGTTTCCAGGCAGAGGTCAGAGTAGTGCATGGCAAGTCGCGAAAGAGCGCGTCGCTTTCGCTCGTCATCGTAAGTGCAGTCGAGGCAGGCCCGGGAGACGGCGGTAAAGAACAACCCCAGCGTCTCCCATCGCGCATTGTCGCCACAAAACTTGGCGCAAAACTCCTCCGATGTAGTAGCCGTCAGCGGGCTGCAGGAATTGAAGAAGAGCTTCGTCGAAATCTCCAGATCTTCTGCTTCGAGGACAAGCCGAACGCTCTGAGCGCATTGCTCCGTGAAAGAGTCCGCTAACGCGAGATTTACTCCTTTGCTGACCCATTCTTCAACGATTGGAATCCAAGACAAGACATTCGGAGGGCAGCGAAATCTCCGAATCAAGCTTGCGCCGTGAGAGACTTTTTCGTCATCCACCAGGGTCTTATGCAGGGTTTGATCATCCTTTTGACTGCTCTCCGACGAAAGATGGTTGAAGAGAGTGGTATGGCTTGACGAGCCCTGATAGAGCGGGTTGGGATAGTGCTTGGGTGTATACGTCGAAGGAGTGAGGTTGAAACCAAGTTCCCTCGGCTCGTGCGGCGGGACCCTTCTCTTTTTGAACGGCCTTGACCGATAACAACACGCGGCTGCCTTATCGCGGTCTCTGCATCGTGAACAGACAGGGCGCGAATGGTCGCAGGCCAACTTCGATAATCTGCAAGGATCACAAGCTGCTAACTTAGGCGGCATCCTCGAATTATGGAAGGGCGAATGTAGCGGGGCGCGTGAAGGCGGGGTTTATAGTACGTGTAGCCGAGGAGCGCTATGATTGATTGGTCCAACACGATTGCTCTAGTACTCAATTATGATAAAAACTCACGGCAAATTCAAGAATTATAGTCTTTCCCTTTCGCACTTTGTTATGCACAAGACAAGTTTGTTCTATGAGAAAAATATTCAAATTTTACATTTCAGCGCAAAGAGTAAGCTACTCAAATTCGGCTGTGAAGGAACTCGTTGTCAAGCGCATACAATCACAAAGCCCAAAAAGCCACAAGTATTGCAACAAAAAGTTACGATTAATCAGAGAAGCACAGTCCTAATCTATATGTACAGCGAAGCTTTAACAAAGGAATTAGAAGCGACTTTCGCTCCCCGTTCAAACCCCCTCCCAAAACCCCTAAGGCATCTAGCAAGAAGAGACCTTGGAGTACTTGCAGTGGCCGCTGGAGCCAGAGTGGGTCTTCTTGGGCTCCTTGGAGTTGTTGTTGGTGCCCTGGTACTCGACGCAGACCTCCTTGACGGAGGAAGCGCAAGTGTTGGTGAAGGTGGCGGTGTCGCCGTAGTTGGAGTTGATGCCGGCGAGGGACTTGCCGTTGTAGGCCTTGACGTCCTTGATGATGACCTCGCGCTTGGAGCCGTTCTGCTTGCAGTCTGTGCGTGTGCGTGGTTAGTGTGTGTTGTTGCGTGTTGGAGTGAGTGAGGGGACTTACTGCCGCAAGAGCGGTACAGCTTGCCGAAGTCGCTGACGGTGAAGCCGTCGATGGTGACCTTGCCGGCACCGTTGTGCTGGATGACCTTGTCGTCGGCACCCTGGGCACCACCGCCGGTGATGGTGGCGGTACCGTCACCCTTGAGGGTCAGGGCGTCTAGAAGAGAGTTGGTCAGTATGATGTGTGCTTTGTAGTAAGTGATGGATGGGAGAAAGAAGACTCACCCTCGCAGACGGCGGACCACCAGACGTTCTCGAGAGTGCAAGAGCCCATGCAGTGGATACCCTCGATCTGGTCCTTGCCGATGATGACGTTCTTGAGGTGAGCGCCGTCCTCGAGCTGGAAGACGGCGTCCTTGTTGCCACCCTCCTTCTGGCCAGTGCAGCTAACGCCACGGCCGTAGGTCTTCATGCCACCGTCAAAGGTGCCCTTGATGGACTTGACGGACTTGAAGGTCTCAGAGCCCTTGGAGGAGGGGATGGGGAAGTTGGAGCGGCGGACAAGCTCCGGAGTGTTGTCGGCAGGCGCGGCCATGCCGGCAACCGCGAGGAGGGAAGCAAGGAGGAGAGTCTGGGGCTGCATTTTGAATGAATGAAGGTGGTGCTGATGATCTCAGATCTATCAAATGAATGTGTGGTTGAATGAATGGAAGTGTGGAAGGAAGGACTGGCTTCTGTGTGCTGATGAGGAGGCATCTTTGTCTGCTGCGGCGCCGGCTTATATACATACTTGAGAGACTGTCCCTTGAGGGCCATGTTGTTTCCTCCGATGTGCTGCCTCCGACATGCTGCCTCTGACCATGCTCATGCCGTCTCCGCTCGGAGGCCCTGGTGCATGTTTCCGCCCTCCGGGCGCTCGTACTTCGAAACCGCGAGAAACACGGGCCCTCGGTTCTAGAGCCAGGAGAGCTCATCTATGCTACTTGGCATCACATTGTCGAAGACGAGCACATTGTTGCAGTCGAGAAACAGTCGATAGATAAATTCTTGAGCTTGAGTAAGAGTAGACGTCGTGCAGCGACGATGATCTTGACTGTTCTTGCGTGTTGCGTATGCTCAAGCTGATCTTTTCCTGATCGCAAGGCCCAAGAGAAGCATGAAAGCAACCTTAACGGGGGCCCTGTAATCGGGGTACCAGGGGCCCGCCAGCGCAGCGCCGAGCAGCTTGGCGGAAGAGAGAGAGAGAGAATCATCTCCGGAGCTCGCCCCAAGCGCGCGCCAAGTCGCGCCTCCGCGAAACCGGGGGCCCTGTCCGCCCAGACTTGGCAGTGCTTGGCGGCCCCGCCCTTCAAACGCGCCAACGCCGAAACAGTGGAATGTTTGTTTCTTCACGGCAACTCCGCCGCTGATCCCTTCGCTTCATCGAACTCCGCGTTTATGCTTGACCGTCTGACTCGCCCTCCCGACTCACATCGGGCAACCCTCCCCGGCATACCGCTACTCGGCTCTGCTTCTTCGGTCCACTGGCCCTGCCAACTCGCGCCCTGTGTCGCTTCATGCCTGCTGCCTTTCCCGCTCCCGTGTCTCACTTTTTCAAGCGCTTCGCCACAATCGGCTGCCCGAGGTGTGATTCTGGAAAACAATGGCTCGTTTCAGGCCCGGGCGTGTTTTCGCATGATGGGCCGCTTGCCCAGGCGTGCCAGGGAACCTTGAGCGGATTTGTTGTGCAATTGGCCCGGTGCTGCAAATGCCTCACTCCATGCAAGAGCAGGGAGGCGCGACAGCCGTGGACTCCTGAATTTCTGAGTTGCGTTGCTTGGGGACAGAGCGGTATCTCACGCGGGTGCAGGGAGGCTGTCACTCTTTCCCGTGTGCCTGATTCTCGGAGCATGTCGATTGGAGCGAGTCCAAGACGACCTGCCTCGGACCTCAGAGTAGCCGAGGAATACTGGTTTGCAACTTCCAAGCCTTTCGAGTACGTCCGCCTGTGGGAACCCGTCAGTGATTACGTTTCGGCCTGGGAAAACCACCAACATGCCGTCTTCACTGCACCGCTATTGTGACCTATCTGCATCATGGGACACAGAAAATGGGAATGACAATCACCGTTCACACGTCCCAGACGAGGAGACAGAAACGAGGACCACCGACAAAGTTTGAAGACAGCGAAGATGAAGACGAGGGCGGTATAGGGATAGGGGAACACGAAGCCAGCCAAGCTTTCTGGTCTCTGTCAAATATACACTCTATCAGTCTCCGAATCCCTCTTCCCATTGCTTCGCGAGTCGTCTGCGTAGTGGACATACCATCACGACTCGAGAAACAAGAAAACAATAACAAGCCACGAAAAAACACACAGCTAGGTCTCCACACCAAAAAGCCTTCAGTTCTCTAACAGAAACCACACAGGACAAAACTTACTTGCGAGCCTCCTGTTTAACCCCAAAACACCACCACAGGTCTCAGCGACGCATCTACAACCGCAAAGTAATCACTGAATGATACTATTTACTCTCCTTAATCACGGACGAACGGCATATATATACCGAACAATCCGCTACCATGAGATTTTTTATTCAAAGAAAAAACAATGTTCCAGCACAAAAAGAACGCAACGACATCAGAAAGAGCGAAGTGCAACACCAAAGTGCAGCATCGCGAGAGCATCCACCGCCAGTGCTGCTGCGTGGATGCAGGCCCTCGTCTTCCGAGCACGACTCGCCGGCGTGGCAGCAGTGGCTTTTGGTATTGTGGCTGGGATAGATGTATAGATGTGGAAGGTGTGGCGAACAGGGCGGTAGCTTTCAGCAATCAGCGTCAGCAAGCACCAAACACGCACAAAAACCCGAACAGCAAACAATAAACAAAGCTCATTCACAATCGACGCGCAAATTCGCAGCCGCCTCCTCACAGTCGTCTGCCTCTTCACGCCCGGCGTCAACGTGTTGTGTTCTCGTACGCAATGTGGGCCTGGCCAGCACCACAGCTCCTCGAGCCCGTCCAGCCATCAACATGCCTATGCTATGGTTATTTTAAGTTCTCAGTATACCGTCGATACATTATAGCCTTGCGTCAAGTAATTAGGCACATATCCCATCACCACGAACCCCTCCCCGCTTCTCAGTCTAAACCATATACCCCAGACAGCAGATAACGTGCATCGCAACACAGCAGATCTTGTGTTCGGCTGAGGCTGATGGAAATGCATCCATCTATAAACCGCCACTCTAAAACCCCGCAAGCCACATTCAACAACAAGGCAAAGAAGCAAGCGGCGTCTTATGAAGCGGGGCAGGGCCACCAAACACGAGGACGGAGATGCGCGTAAGGCGCTTCCCAACGCCGAATGGTTGTTCTCAACTTTCCACCTTTCCGCACGATGATAGATGAACTTTAGTCACAGACGATACGCTCGCTCTACTGCAGATGCCATGTCCAGAAGAATCGTTGTTTCTTATATATCTTGTTGAAATACGGATTTCAAACAAAGGGGTAGCCGTCGCATGCACGCTATCCTCTCACTGACGCCTCTGTCGCTGATCACAGCTCTGCTCCATACACCCCTGCCCCAACAAGCCGACGGCCAGCCACGGCTCCCCTCCCTCCTCTCTATAGCACAGTTTGTCTTATGCAGTCTGCTTCCCCTCCCTCGCCATGCCCTTGTCTCACGCCACTAGGTACTTCCATCCACTTCCCTCTGAGATGTAAGTCCCCACTCGGAAGCCCACGCGCGCGCAACTCCAACTCCGGATTCTTACAGAGACTTAGCCTGCGCTCTCCTTTTCTCTCTGTCTCAGTCCAGCAGTGCTAGCCAGCGAGACCCGAACACGCAGTGAGCACGCACAACACACCCACGCGCCGCACCGCGATGGCGCTGCCTCTCCTTCGCTTCTTTTCCCTCCTCCTCCACACAACCACCCCAGCAACCGCAACGCGCATCACGATCTTCAACGACACCGCATGCAGCGAGCCGGGCCAGCAGGCCGAGCGCGCAGAGATGGAGGGTGATGGCGGGCAGCACGAGCTCGAGGCCGGGTATGGGCGGTCCAAGATGTTGAACTGGCGGGCTCGGAGTGTGGTGGTGCTGAGGTTGTGGAGTTGAGTACTGGGAGTCCTGTTGCTGCTAATGGTGCTGCTGCTGCGAGCTGATGCTGGGTTGGTGCTGGTTGGTTGCTTTGTGTTGGATCGGTGTGTTAGATACCTTGTCTTGATCTATGTGAAAGGGGTAACAAGAACACCTGTTTGATATCAAAAGCTCAGTCCCGAATTTAGTTCACTGTCAATAGCTTAGTAACATTAACATTGTGAGGCAACCCCTCGAATCAATTGATTGACTACAGCCCTGAGTATATCTGATAAGTACATCCGACAAATACAAAACCAAACCAAAAAATTGGCACCTACCTAATCCCCCCGCAAAACCGCCTAATCTACCAACAGGCCTAGTCCAGATACCCGAAGGCATCCCTTGGCCGCCCGGCATCCCTTGGCCGCTCGACATCCCTTGGCCGCCTGGCATCCCTTGGCCGCCTGGCATCCATTGGCCACTCGGCATCCATTGGCCACTCGGCATCCATTGGATGCTCGGCTTTGAAACCTTTATTGACCTTCAACCAAAACAGCGCCAAGTCATGAAAGTACAAACCCCTGAGCTTGAAATTCTTATCCGTCTGCTTCCAGAGCTCAAACTGTTCAGGCTCGCTTGGCGGACGTTTCCTCCTGAACAGCGCCAGCCGCTTCTTATGCTCCACCTGCTGGCGTCTGTATTCCTTCGTCCCCTCCCTCACGATTTCTTTGGCCATCCTAAAATCTAACTCGCGGAGTTGGTCCAAGAATGCTTTCGATTGCGCTTTTGGTTCGGTGATTGTGGCCGGAGGTGTCAAAGGTACTGGCAATCCTCTAATCGTTTTCTCTGTCCCATTGTTAGCAAATCCCGACTGTCTTCCCAATGCTACTTACACTTTTGCTCACCCTTCTTCTTCTGTCCCCCTGGGTGGTTCCCGAGGAAATGGTTGATCAAGTATGAGGCGTCGTTGCCCTCGCCAGCTTGTTGATAAATATCCTGCATGGTAAGCGCGCCTCTGTTTCTCCGCTCGGGCGTCACAATCGTGTGCGCCATGAATGGCTTGAGCAACGTCCGCACCACTTCACGGTGAAACCCAAGCGCTTTCAGCGCGTCCTGCGCCGTCACAAAACTCTTGGCCGAGCCTATACCACCGACGACGCCTGCATGCTCGCATAACCACTCAAGCTCGCACCAATCCCCGCTCTTGCCGCCAGTCTTGAGGACGACGCGTCCGGACGTAAGCTCCATGTGCTTGTCGACGGCCTTGCACATATCGTAGACCGTCATGGCTGCCACCTGCGCCGACGTCAAGGCCTCCATCTCGACGCCTGTGGTACCGAGCGTTTCGGCCAACGCCCTGATGGCGACGCCTCCGTGAGGGAATTGCTTCGAGCCCTGGAAGAGTTCGCAGTCAACCGTGACGTTGGTGAGCATGATGGGGTGGCACAGCGGGATCAGCTCGCTGCATTTCTTGCTGGCCATGATGCCTGCCGTGCGTGCTGTGGCCAGTACATCCCCTTTCCTTAACGTGTCTTGCGCTATCGCTTCAACAGGGTCCGGGTTACTGAAACGTACTTTCGCCACCGAGATAGCTACTCGCTTCGTCACCTGCTTTCCGCTGACCGACACCATGTGAGCTTTACCACTGGAGTTGACGTGGGTGAGGACACCTCTCGAACCGGATGCTTTCATCTCGTCGGTTTTAGGCTGGCTAGACGTCGATGCGACTTTGCTATCCTCGGTCTCAGGCTGATCGGATGCCGACGGGGCATTAGTCCTGTCGACCCCGGCACTGCTATCCTCGGTCCCAGGCTGATCGGATGCCGACGTGGCATTAATCCTATCGGCCCCAGCACTACCAAGCGGTGCGTTGGTGTTGATAGTCTCTCTACCCCTTTCCATTCCCTCCAACCCACCTTCGGACGTCGGTAACTTCTCGTTCGTATGTTCTTCTTCCGGTTCCTCTTTCAGAAATTCTTTCTCAAATTCTTCCAGTCCTTTTCCCGTTTCTTCCTTTTCTTTCTTCCAATACGCGTCCGTATATTCTTTCGACCATTTTTGCAGTTTTTCCCATTCTTCCAGTTTTTTTCTTTCTTCTTCCAAGTCATTCTCCTTTTCTTTTTCCATTTCCATCATTCTCTGCTCCTTTCTCTCTTTCTTCTTTTGGTTCTTCTCTTTATTCTTTTCACTCTTCTGTTTCTGTTTTTCCCTCATCCTCCCTAGCTTTTCTTCTACCCGCCTTTGCTTATACTCATCAAATGCCTCAGGACTCATATCCATTAGCACCTGATAATAATTAGACACGGGATCAACTTTGTAACGATGCAGAAAAGCCATTCTCTTCCTTTCTTCTTTGGAAAGTGGGGGTTGGGGTTGTGAGTTCTTTTGTAACTCTGAGAGGGCTCGTGGATTCTTGTTCATCATTTTAGTGAAGGCCGCAAATCCTCCCGCCTTTTTTACCGCTTTAGAACTCCGACCTCCTCTGTCTTCACGAGTAGACGAAGAGGAAAAGTGCCGCAACTGAGTGAGAACAGGCGGGTGCAACAGGTGCGTCGGGACCCGGGAATGCAAAGGCGAATTGTCGAATGAAGATCTGAAGCTGGTAAGATGGTTGTCTGTGAGAGCCGGTTAGTTGGCCGTTTGCGAACAGGCACAGATGGCACGATTGCTCCACATTTTGAATGAGCGGATAGTTGACTCGCCAAGCAGTGTTGACAATCGCTTCATTTACACCCAGGGAGCGTTCAATCACCCACCAATCAATATCATCGGCCTGTTTTTCATGTTTTCCAACTCGCCCATTCCGGCGTGCTTCTCCTTTTTCCGCTTGACTGCAGCGCCAATGACTTCAAGTAGCTCGTTTTGTTGCTCAGCTGACATTCCTTCCTCGCCGCTCTTCCGCAAAATGTCTCTGAGCGAGACCTCGGCATTGCCGAACAAGCACACCTTGAGATTTCCATCGCTGGTGATCCGCAGCCTGTTGCAAGTCCCACAGAAATTGTGCGTCATGCTCGTGATGAAACCAATCTTGCCGACGAAGCCAGGAATTTCCCAAGTCTTGCTCGTGTCGTTTTTGTGTCCTTTGACCTGCCTCAATGTCGGGTACTTCGCGCGGATAATGTCCAACATCTCGGAATACGACAGCATCTTGTTCTGGCTCCACTTGTTGCCGTCGAACGGCATGTACTCGATGAAGCGGACCTCGATGTCTTTTTCCCGCCCGAGTTCCACAAACGGCAGAATCTCCCGGTCGTTCAAGCCGCGCATCACGACGCAATTGATCTTGAGCTTGACCCCCGCGCCTAGTTTGTTCATCTCCAGTATCCGGTCAATGCTCTTCATCACTGCGTCGAATCCTTTGCGCCGCGTCATGATCTGGAACTGGAATGGGTCCAGCGTATCCAGACTCAGGTTTACGCCCGTCAACCCGGCCTCGACCATGCTGTCCAGTTTCCGCCAAAGTGATATGCCATTCGTGGTCAGCGCCAATTCGCGGAGTCCTTGCGAGCGCAGAGAGCCGATCGATTGCATGAGCGGGACGATGTCGCGGCGCACGGTGGGTTCGCCACCCGTCAATCGGATTTTGCTGACGCCTTCGGAGACGAAGAGGGATGAGAGGTAGACTATTTCTGGCGTCGAGAGAAGGTGGTCGGGCGGCGACAGAGGCACTCCTTCTACACATGTTGTTAGCGCGGGTTGCGGCTGGTGGCAGGAGACGTGCATACCTTCGGGCATGCAGTAGAGGCAGCGCAAGTTGCAGCGCTCCGTGACGCTGATGCGCAAGTAGTCATGCTGGCGATCAAAGTTATCGGTCAGGAAATCGGAAAATGGCTTGGCTTGTCTGATGGCCTCTCGGCGACTCGTGGCGGCGACAGCGGTGGTGAGCCGTCGCACGAGAAGTTGGTTGCCACCGAGGGCATTCAGACGCCGCGCGCTGCGCAGAGCCGTGGCTGCCATGTTGGGGCCGGTCAAGATCCTCGTAGCATGGCAAGCGGAACGAGGAAAGCAAAGCGGACTTTATCTCTCAAGCATCCACGCGGGTCGAGACGGTCGCGATGTTGCGAGTCAAAAAAATGGTAACTGAAGATACATTATTTGACTAAGCGATGGTTTATCGTTTCACCAGATCAACCGCAAACCATGCCTTCTTTTGCTATCTCCGCGCTCTCCGTCTTCCCGTCTACCACCGCCTCCACCTTTTCGATATGTCCATTTGGTTGCACACCCGCCTTCTTCATCTCTTCCTCTTCCTTCTCTAGTTTCGCTTTCTGCTTTTTGCTCAACGTAAGGCTACCCTTGGCCACTGCTTCCTTGGGCAGCGGCCGCACATAGGCTTGACAAATGAACCACGGGCGCTTGCATCTTTGCACGGCAGCAACAGAGCTCTCGTACGGGTCGAGTTCTTTCGTGGTATCCACGGCTTCACTGGCCTCCTCGAAGGCCGCGGGATTGCTTTCGTACTCGATCAACCCTTGTCGTACCGCAGCTTCGGTCAATTGCAGGACGTTTTCAAATGCGGCAATGTCGCCCGTCCGGCATCTAGCCAGAGCGTCGCGAACATTTGTATGCTTCGAAACAAGCGGACGCAACATGCGGAACAAATGCGCCTGCATAGCGGTCAGGTTCGGGTTAACGACCTTTTCCGCCTTGCCCTTTTCCGCCTTGCCCTTCTCCTCCTTGACTTTCTGTCTCTTGCTTGGCGGTTCACCATCGGTGCTCTCCTCCTCAGCCACATCCGGATCCGAAGGTAAGAAAAGAGGCTTTCTCGCTGGCGGTTCTTGCTTGAAGACATGTTTATATATAATGTCGATGTACCGGCGAAAGACCGCATCCATCCTGTAACCGCCCTTGCCATCTCTGCCCTTCCAGTATTCCCTGGTTTCTTGGCCTTCGGGTGGTGGTCCGGCGAAAATTGTAGGATCGTGCAGGTTGCCTTCTGCACTCATTACACCATCCGCGCCAGTTGCTTCCAAACATGCCGCGATATCGTTGTGTTGAAGGATGTTGCCGTTGGCGAAGAGCACCGTCTCCGGCGGCAGGTTGTCCCGTAGATATTTTATCGTGTTCCAATCCGCCAAGCCCGTTTCATGTCCTTTTTGATGCCTCTGCCGTCCATGAACGGCGAGCACACTCGCGCCAGCTGACAGAATTGTTTTGGCGTACTCGAGCGTCTTTTCCCTTGTCTCCAGCACCCGCATCTTGGCCGTGACCGGTATCGACAGTTCCTCGTGCAACTTCTTGATCATGCTGTGTATGAGGTCCCAGTCCTCCTGCAGAAAAGATCCGTAGTGTCCTCTCCTCGCGATACCCTGCGGACAGCCCAGGTTCAAATCCACGGCGTCGCAAAACGGCGCCGCATGCTTCGCGGCCGCGAGGAAATCATCGGGGGTATTGGAACAGAATTGAACGAAAAGAGGCCGGTCCATCAGTGGGTTCCCGTCTAGGTGCGCATCGGCGGCTGTGAATTGCCTGAGATGAATCTCGTCCGGTGGCGAAGGAATCGTGTGGTGTAGAGGCTGGAAGCTGGCATCGCGGTACTTGGGCACTTCATGGAACATGCGCGAGTGGAACATGGGCGTGTATGCGACGAGATCGGGCTGGCGGTCGGCTGGGAGGAAGGAACGACTTAACAATCGCCATGCCTACTTGGTCTGTTAGTACCTATGAAGCGGCACAGGCCATGCGGGGAAAAGTACGAATTCAGACTGATCGACCATGGGCGCAAGGACAAGCTTGGGGCTGCCGATGCTCTCGTAGAATGCGCGGCCATGGAGTTTAGGCTTTGCGGGCGCCAGCGGCGCTTGGTCGGGCTGAGACATGATGGTGCGAGCAAAGAAAGAGAAGGGAAAGCGCCCCGCGGGGCGATGCAGCAATAATTGACGTATGGTGAGGAAGTGGGTTGGCAAGAAGGTACTCCGTAGAGGATGGGCGAAAAGAAAACGCGATGGACTTTTTGGAACCCTGAACCAATCCTTAGCCCCGTCAAAGTCCGATGGCGACCCAACAGGGCAAAAGAATCCGGGCGTTGATTCGTGCGGCCAAAAGAGCCTCTTCATGCTGACTCACGCGGGAACTTACACTTTGATTTTACGACGCCCTTGCTCGTCCGGCCAATCACGACTTCACCTCTCCCACCGCCCGTGCATCTCCCGCTGTCCGACCGCCAAACACCCTCTTTCCTTTACGCAATCGTCTGCAGGAAACCCGGCTGCCGGTGAGGGTCGTCATGTTAAATTTAAGCATGCCTCCTGCACTTGAGCCTCGTTGGTCCCCTGTTGCCTTTTCAACGAGCCGCAAGTCAACTCGAGATGCGAGTGCCTGTCCTTGAAAGTCAGTTTCCCGTCAAAGTCTTGGCGTCGTCATCACCGACTGATTCATTGCTACTTTAGACAACGCCGAGGCCGCCTTGGGCTTGGAGGCCCCGAGCAAAGAAGGAAGCAGAGACTCGGAAGAGAGGGAGAGAGATATCGTCGGTTGGGAAGGCCCTGACGACCCTGCAGACCCGTATGTTGTCGTTTTTTAAACTATACATATTAGCATTTCTGACCAAGACAGGTTTAATTGGCCGAATGGTCGCAAATGGCTCATTACTTGCTTTGGCTGCTTCGTGTACGTTCATAGCCCAAGCCTGAAAGGATGCGGACCGTTCTGACCTATCAAACAGTACGTTCATCGTTGGCATCCAGAGCACCGCTATGACAGCTGCCGTCGAACCAATGAACGAATACTTTAAAGTCAGTGATGCGAATTTCGCAAACTCGTATTGGCCTATCACAGCCTGGACGGTGTCAGCGGGTCTCGTGCCTCTAGTTGGCCTACCGCTGATGGAGACTTTTGGTGTCAGACCGGGGTATATGGTAGGCTTCCATTTTTTGTTGTTCTTGGACAATTACCCCCGTCAATGCTCAGCCCATTCACCACTCTTTTGAGTACTCTACTTACGCTGACCATGATAGCTGTCTTATATTATATTTTTCATCTTCATCATCCCGCAAGCGGTTGCCCAAAACTATGCGACACTGATCGTCACCCGCGTCTTCTCTGGCGGGTTTGCGGGCATCCTGGAGAACATCATTGGTGGCATCATCAGTGATATCTGGAAAGGCGAACGGGCAAGAAGCATCCCGGTGGCCATGTATATCTGGGCATACGAAGCGGGAATTATGATTGGCCCGGCTATAGGTGGTGTAATCATTCAACATTTACATTGGAGATGGTGTGTATTCCCATGGTCTTTAATGTCGAGTGCTAACCAGTTTAGGATATTCTATATCCAACTCATCATCTACGGCTCTTTCTTTCCAGTGGCATACTTAGTAATCCCTGAGACTCGCAGTACAGTCATCCTCCAGCGTAAAGCACGCCAAATCCGTGCCGCAACAGGCAAGCCCGTCTATGCGCAAAGCGAGCTTGACCACCCCGGCTTGAAAGCTTTGATATGGGAAGCCGTTGGCCGTCCGGTGTATATGCTCTGCACCGAGTACGTTGTGTTTTCGTTCACGCTGTGGTCAGCCTTTTGCTTCGGCAATGCCCTTCTCTTCACCCAGTCCGTCGCTCAGGTCTACACGGAGCTGTACGACTTCACCGCGCCACAGACAGGCTACGTGCAATTAGCCCTTGTCATTGGCGTCACCATCGGCTTCGTCATGCAGCTGCCTGCCAACAACTGGTACTACAAGTCCGCGGCTCGCAACACCGAGGAGCCTGGTCGCTACATACCCGAAGCGCGGCTCTACCTCGCCATCCCGGGCAGCTTCATCGGGCTCGCAGGAGGCTTCTTCGTTTACGCATGGACGTCGTACGGGTTCGTGCACTGGATGGGGCCGACGATCGGCCTCGGGCTTGTCGGCATCGGCATTTTCATCGTCGTCAACGCCGTCAGTTGCTACGTGGAAGACGCGTATGAAAAGTACGCCGCGTCGGTGCTCGGGGCCGTCGCGTTTGGCGAGAACATGTTCGCGGCCTTTTTGCCGCTGGCGGAGATGAGCATGTACACGAACCTGGACTTTCGTTGGGCGAGCACCCTGTTGGCGTTTTTGGCGCTGTTGTTGAGTTTGGCGCCTGTCGTGCTGATTTTCTATGGGAGAACTATTAGAGATAGGAGTCCGTTTATTCGGGAGGCGAGGCATGAGCATAGAGATTAGTTTGGATTAGATGTACCTGGGGTAGCTGGTAGCTGGCCTGCAGTCTGTGGAACAAAAAGTAGCTAATTATGATAGAGAGCAGTGTTGGTGGCGATGTTGCAAACGAGAGAGGCAGGGGTGACGATTATCTCCAACGACATCATCCATCTCACCACGCAGTGTTTATCCACAACGACACTCAGAACCGTCATCGAAAATATCGTATCTGACTGCAACTCCCCTTTCCCGTTCAAGTGACCTCGAGAACTTTAAAAACACCGCCAGCACGGGCCGATGATGCCTTACCTCTGCAGGCCGCTCACGCAGCCGCATCCATCCCGCTGCCGTTGAGCCGCACGTGCTGACCCAGGGTCAGTCATGATGCGAGCGTCCCATCCCGTCTTATTGCGCAAGGACCCAACGACTCGGCACCTTTGTGTAAGGACTATCATTTCGAGCGGTTAAGTTAGAGGTTCAACATCCTCTACTCTCCATACTTGCGCAGTTCAACAGGTGTGATATTGAAACTCTGATAGCAGCCAAGTCGGTAGCTAAGCACCTACTCCTAGTGATCTTACGTATCAGCGAGGCGCATTGGTCTCGAGATGCTAGTCCTAGTCCTGCAAAGACAGACGTACATGGTGTTGTGGGAAACGGGTTCTGCGGTTTGAGTGAGTAGGAGTAGTAGTGTGTGGTGTTAGAACAGACAAGGTTCTGGGGGATGAAATCTATCGGGTTTTTGGCTCGGGCGTGCTCATGGACTTCTTTTTTGTTTTTTGTTTTGGTTTTGTTTGGTGAGGTTGTGGTGGTTTTTGGTGTTGGTTTCGTTGTTTTCAATCTCTTGGTGGCGTGGCTGCCTTTGGTGCTGCCGTAGCGCATACAGTTTCTTGTAGGCGTAGGTTAGGGATAGATTTATCGCAATTTCTGTATTCAGCCGATCTTCACTCCCAAGATATCAGCTACTGTCGGGTAGATTTGTGTTGAGTTAAATGGGGTGTGTATTTGTGCTACCATAGTTCGCAAAAGACTCGTTGCCAGACACTGATATTCGTTGAGCACGACTGATGCCTTTAGCTCATAAACGCCTTAATTCAATTTCAAAGTGAAGGGTAAGGGGTTTCCAGCATCCCATACAAACCCCACTTCTAACGGAATCGAGCAAATAAGTCGTCATAAAGAGAAGTCCAGCGCACGACCTCACCCAGCAAAAAAGTCGTCAAAAGGAAACTCCATCGCACGAACCCCTAAGCAGTTATTCCAGTCGCGCAAACAAGCATCGAAACCAGATTCCAGCGCCGTTGCCGAATGTCCAGCGTTCCTGTCTGCGTTCACGGAGTTGGCGCCAGCAATATAGCAGCACACGCCGCCTGACATGATCCAAACGCAGTGTTGCATGCGATGATGGTGGGCGGAGCGCTGGCGCCCAGCGTCGCACCCCAGGTGAAGCCTGCCGCTGTATAGCAAGCCATGACTACGCCGGCGCATCCTGCTTGGCAAATGCCGTAGCCGACGGGGCCGGCGGAGGCGGTGCCTGCGAGAGTGAGGACGCAGGCGGTGAGGATAGTTGTGCGAAGCATGTTGAGTAGTGTGTGGTTATGGTTCGATTGAATGGTTTGATCGAATGGTTTGTTTGAACAGTTGGATTGAAGTAGTGTGTAGTTGTGAGCTTTGCCGTGAACTATGCTGTTATGCTTTGCACTCACTGAGAGCTTGGTGTTTTCGAGACGTTGGTTGGGCTGAGGAGGGACAGCGGGGTAAAGAGAGCTATTTATCAGCCGTGTGACGCAAGTTTGAGCCAATTGGATACCACTATGACCTGCAGCTTCCTTGGACGAGATGGGAAGTCGTCATGCTGCGGCTGCTTACGATTGGACACACCTCACCGTGATGCTTGCCTTTGCTTTCACCGAGACTACCCCATCGTTGTGAGAGACACACGGCTGAAGTGCAACGCAAAGTTGGACACGAGAAGCCAAGCGGGTGTGACTACGCATGTTACATAGGGAAAAAAAAAAAAAAAGGAACGGCAAAAGTTGTTCCCCAGAATGGATCTGCATGCTCCCGATGGTGTTTTCGGCACGATCTGCTTGGCATTTGGGCGCAAGCAGCTCCCGTAGCGCTAAATCAATTTGGATCTCCAATTGGTTCGGGATTATAAGCCGAACGTGGGCGTATGTGGCACGTTTGACAGGAACGTAGCCTCGGAGGCCGTTGCATCCTCCGCTTTTCGACTGATGATAATTGCCCGGTGGACCTGAATTGCGTGTCTCTGTTGCAAAGGGAAGGGTCACTCACCATCCCCCTCACGTGATTGGCCAACAAAGGCCTCCTTGGAGATAACTCCGGGATTTTCGCCACAACAAACTTCATGACCGCTTTTCTTCTGGACCGTACCGCCGCGAGCCAGCGCGCCCCAGGTGCACGTATACACGACCCCACTGATCCGTCTGCAGCGCTCTTGCACCCCAGCCTCACCGTCCCGTCCGCAGAAACTCCCTGTTTAGACCTCCTCGTCGACGGGAACAGCCCACGGGCTTCGGAACCAGCCTCGATCATCCTCGCCGAGAGGCCCCACCGCCGTTGCGATTGCGGGAAGAGACCGACGGACATAGTTCGCTAAGATATATCGTGCGAATCAAATGGTGGTGACGTTTGAGGAGGCCACCGGCGGAGGTGTTGATGTTCCGACAACGAATACATTGGCCCAAAGTCAGACAATATGGTTCCAGAGTTAGATGGAGACAATGAAATTCGGGTGTCAGAGGAAAGAGAAAAACAATGCAGGAGGCCCCAGGAAATAAGACAGGAAAAAAGTTCAAAGAGCTTACAACACCCTTGGAGATCTGGACCAACTCTCCAGACCGTCGGGGAGTGCGCGTCAAAGCCCAGGCCCGTTTTTGGCGTGTTGACAGCAGCAACTTCCCTGGATCCGGATTACATATGCTGGGAGAGTAGACGGCGTTCGACGTCGCGGATACGGACTCAGCTCCCGGATGACACGGGGGCCGGGAAATGGCGCCGTCTACAAGTACCGAGGTGCTAGGTCATTGCCACCTTGTTTGGCCTTTCATTGAATCGTCATCGCTCTTGTTTCCAGGAATCCCGGGACAATCTTTGTTCGGTGGTGTGAGAGGCCGGCAATCGACGCCTAGAAGCTCGCAGCAGTTCCAGTTGGACGGACGGCGGATCCGTGTGGGCGTTGTACGGTATGTCCACCTATGTGCCGGTGGCAATGACGGCCAGGAGGGACATGAAGCGGCGGCTTCGAATCAGGATGGCAGGATGGCGAGGCGAAGAAGTGCTCTGGTGGCGATGGGGAGTTCAAACGTTCGCCTGTCCAGGCCAGGCCGGTGATGACGGGGCCGCGGAGTTGCGCAGGTTTGGGACGAGGAGCAAGGACGAGTTTGAGAGAAAAGGCTCACGCTTATGTACAGATGCGGTCCTGAGACAGGCCATACTGGCGATCGGGCATCTCATTGCGGTGGGCACGTGGGGACCCCTGTCCCGGAGGAGCGTCCGGCGCCGTCGACATTCCACTAGCCACACGTCATTATAGCCGGAGCCCGAGTCCGATTCCGAGCCTGCCAAGGCTGTGGGACCCTCCGTGCCTCCCTTAGCCCTCTATCATTAATACGGTTTGCCTTTGCTCGCCCGGGGGCACAGCTTGGGCTTTTCCCCTCTCGCCTGGCAGGAAAATAACTTTTGCCATGAGCGCAATGCGTTGACACCCATCACAGCGCAATGCCTGCCGACTTGCTACGAACATGAGCTCCAACTACCGTCCCGTCCTTCCAGCTCCGCCGTCCGCCTCCAATTATACCTCCGAAACGTCATCGTCCAACACCTCGTCCTCACGCTCCTCCACCGCCCGCCAGATCATCAACGCCGCCTGCACCGCTTGCCAGAGACGCAAGTCCAAGGTCAGCCGAAGCTTCTTTCCACTCGACCCCGCGACCGCGACGCTGACCTCAACAGTGCGATGGCGTCCGGCCCAAGTGCTCTGCTTGCGTAAGAAGACTTACCGATTGTTCCTACGAGACCGCTAGCGCAGAAGAAACAAGGACCTCGGCTCTCAAGCGAAGAAATGAAATGCTGGAACAGCGTTTGTCGACTTTTACCGAGTTATACGATTTGCTTCAGTCGGCGTCTGAGTCGGACGCGAGAACGCTGCTGCAACTGATCAGGTCGTCTCCCGACCCTGAAACCGTCCTGAACACAGTCAGAGAGGGGCAGCTGTTGCTTCAAGCCATGGATACAAAAGGTCCCCCCAGCGCCGACACGGTCTCGCTACCGCCAATTGCAAAATTGATAGGCGTGGCCGATCGCAGCACAAGTACATCTCCTCCGAGGCTGGATGGTCCATCGTCGTGGCACTCCACCTCCGCAGCAGAAAGCTCGTATGTGGCACATGCAAATGTCAAATGTCAAACGGTACATTGGGCGAACTGACCTTTTTGTCCTTCAGGACTGCTACTTACACGCTTTCGAGACAAGCATCTGACACATCCGATACGGCTGCTTTATCTACTCATCTGCGCTTTCCATCGTCCGGATCAATAACTACCGACACGACAGAGCCTGCCAGAATGATTCCGCCGTTACAAATAGAAGACTCTGATACACCTAAAGAATGTGACGGCGTCATGACCGAAGACGGTGCTCCTGATTCATCCGAAGCATCGGGGAGCTGAGGCAAGATACGGGGATCATCATAGTTTGGTCCTTGACTTTCTTTTGCCGCGGCTGATCGCAGTTTTGCTTCCCATCAAGCCAGGCGAATCACCGATTCGCTACGCGGTATCGATGGTTTCACAGCTTGTGCCAGTCACCTGTCACGGGTAGATATTCAGGGATATGGAGTTATGACCACGATTACGCGTGCGATATTACCGCAAAACATACCGCGCCCATAAATACCCCTTGGGCATCAAGAACAAAACAAACAAACATGCCGTCGCAAGCTGCGTTGTCTCTCCTGGAGTTTTCGGCTGGCTTGTCTCCTTCATCCTTCGGGGTTGTCTCCGAGGCAGTGCTGGCGTTGGGTGTTGGGAAGGTGGAAAAATCTACCTTTCGTATTGATGAAAAATTGACTTGCATACGGCCTAGGAGCGTCACAGACGCAAGCGCGGCGTGGAAAGGAATCTTTAACCATATCTGATGAGCAACGAGAGATCGAGTCGCGTTCGTTTTCTGCGCTCAACTTCCATCTCGTCCGTAGGACAGTACAATCATAGGCGGCTTCAGCGAAACCAATCTGGCCTGAACATTCCCTGTGTGATCTACATGGCGGTCGGCGGCTTCTCCGATGATTTTTGGGGACACGATCTGGGACCCGGTGTTTATCCCTGTGGGTGTCACCCTTACGTCCGAAGGGCGTAAGCCTATTTTCTCTTCCATCCTCCCGTTCTTGGTGTCCGCCTCCAAGAGCTTATTTTGCGTGGTGTATCTTCGCCACACCCTATTTCCCGGTTCTTCTTCGTAAACTGTCACATGACGTGAGTATGCATATATCTGATCTGCATCTTTTTGGAAAGCTTTTGATTGTTCTAAAGCAAAGCACATTTGATGCTTGCAGTGTTGTTTGTGCGACTTGAATACCTGCAGTTTTGCTTGTTCAATGTTTTGGAACTTCGGTGTACTTACGTCAGGTGTAGGTTCTATCAGTTGTCAGTCAAAATTTGTCGCACCAAGTTCAATGGAAACAATTCGAGAATTTGCTCGAATAAATACTCCACGGTCAAGTCTGCGTGGTATGCTTTTTCACAAGGTGATGACATCGCTACGTCGCCGGCATCCACGTCATCTCAGATCGAACGCGGCAATTGAACATTTTCATGGTTCGATAGCGGCATTACAGTGACCTAGCAGACGACATTCATTCGCTGATACGCTGGCCGATGCGGACTTGATTGCATAGTTACTTCTTATTAGCGATCAGCCGTTTTATGTCGAACAAAAAGAGGAGTTTTCGCTACGCATGAGCATATCAGCTGCCATATGAAGTCATATCTCGAGATCTCTACACTAGATGGACAGCCCGCTCACTCCTCGGATCCTTACGCCCACTACTTCATCGGGCTGCACCGCCTCCTTTAAAATGAACTTGGCGTAGAAGTAAGGCAGACGGTTTCCCTTCCTCAAGGATGATTTGGATCCTGCACCAATCACCGTGTGGTTTTTCGACAATTAGTCAACTGGTAAGTTCCTTCTTCAAGCCCATGAGGTCAGTAATGAGATTCTGATCGTGATGGCTGAAATACCAATGCGCCAATCGTGCCTACGATCACAATTCTTGTAGCCAAGGTTCGGCAACTGGCGGAACGGTTGCGCCATCTGATCGAGTGACAGGCACCGGTGGGACAGACGGGACGTTGCAAGCTCGATAAGCCTTTCTAGGATGAACCGGCGCCCGTCATGTTTATGGGGAACGTTTGTGCCCTCTCTCCGGATACTCGTAATCGAGATCTCGGTGACATCAATAAACTGAAAGACACCACGCCCGTATCAGCAAAGCCGGCATCATGTGACGAGATCTGAGACAGAAGGCACTAGGGAAACCCTTACGTATACGTGGTACGTACTAACCGGCCAAGCTGAGCGCCTGGAGCAGGTCTTTGCGGCATACTCCTCCAAAGCCTATCGGGATAATGGCTTTACCGGCATCGTTGTCGCTGGAGGGTGCCGAAGCGGCTTGCGGTCGAAGATTTTTGATGGAAAAGCTCGCATGTCGGGACGGCTCGCATGTCGGGGAAGCCTGCATGTCCGATGGAAGCCGACAGCGAAGTGGAATTTTTTCGCGGTAAATAAGCCTCGCGCGCAGGGCTTGGGTTGTGATTCGACTCGCTTCCGGTTTCATTACGCGCTCCACTGATCAACCAAAACCCCAGTGCGGAGTCGGCTAACCCCACATTCTGATAGCTCGTTATCTATGGAGAATCCAGACCACGGGCTGTCACCGATGGTAACCGATCCTTCGACGAAGGATCTAGCGGCTCTTCTCGCTATCAACGTGGCCGTGCGAACCCCTACTTGCCTACTTCTGGTTACACCACTGTCAATTTGCCACGGACCCCACAGCTTTTAGATATCTGCTCGTGCTGCCCCCCAGATTTTGGTCCCGCAGAGCTCTGATTCTTCCACTCCTCACCTCTCTCATCCTTCTCCACCATGGCAACCAAATCAGTTCGCTCCAAGGGCTCTCTGGAGTTCCACACGGACGATGTTCCGACATACGAGTCCAAGGGGGAGGTGGACTTCATTCCACGTACCACCCAGACCGAGTACCAGGGTATCTTCTCTCCGCGCAAGATGCAAGTCATTGCCCTGGGAGGAAGTATCGGTAGCGGTCTCTTCATCACCACGGGCCGCGGTCTTGAGTCTGCAGGCCCGGCAGGTTTTGTTTTCGGTTATGGTATGTCGTCGTCTCAAGAGATCTATTGGGTCTTTACTGACAGTATGCAGGCTTCGTGGCGATCCTTGTCTACTGCGTTCTTCAGCTCCTCACTGAGATGACCATTGCGTTCCCTGTCTCTGGTAACCTCTTTGAGTACGCCGACAGATTCGTCGACCCTTCATTGGCTTTCGCCGCCGGCTTCGCAGAGTGGCTTGGTAAGTTACTGAACTAGCGAAAGCACGTGGATCGTTAGCTAACCTCCTTATTGGCTGGACTGCTGTCATCGGAGCCGAAGCTACCATGTTCACGGTTTTGATCAACTACTGGGCCGGTGGCTCTGTCCACGAGGCTGTCTGGCGTATGTACCCATCCTCATCATGATTGTTATCGCCAGCCTCTAACCTGTGCGCAGTTACCCTTTTCCTTGTTATCACCTTTGGACTGTTCTTCCTGCCCAGCAAGGCTTTTGCTTGGTTTGAATACTGCACGTCCCTCGTCAAGGTCACGGCTTTCCTCACCATCTTCTTCTCGTCCATTGCCATCATGGCCGGCGGTGGTCCCACCGGAAAGGTTCACACTGGCGAGACCTGGAGGGACTACGTTAAGTTCAAGAACGGCTTTGCTGTAAGTTTTAACTTTGCAAAGTTAATTAACGCCCACTAACTTCTGAAGGGTATTGCTCAAGCGATGATGTTGGCCTGCTGGGCATACGGTGACCAAGTCTTCATCGGTATCATGGGAGGAGAGGCCATGTTCCCGCGTCTATCGATGGCCCGCGCCTGCAAGATGGTCACTGGCCGCATGTTCATCATCTACATGTTGTCCATCATGTGGATCTCGCTGCTCGTGCCCGAGAACGACCCCCGCCTGTACGGTGGCGGAGGAGCTGCCGCCTCGCCTTTCATCATCGCCATGAAGGACGCCGGTATCGATGGCCTTCCCGACTTCCTCAACGGTGTCATCATGGTCGGCGTCACTGCCATTGCCTGCGAGAGTGTCTACATTGCGTCTAGAACCCTGCGCAGCTTGGCGGCCCAGGGCCTCGTATTCAAGTTCATGGCCACTGTCGATGCCCACGGAAGGCCGAGGTGGAGTCTGTTCGTGACCAGCGTTGCGGCCGTCATCCTCACCTATCTCAACCTGAGCAGTAAGTGCCCCGCTATTGCAGCTTATATCGAACAAGGACTAACAAAACAACAGGCGGCGGTGTTGAAGTCTTCACGTGGTTCACGTCCATCACCTCGTCGTCCTTCTTCTCCATCTGGATCGTGCTGGTCATCACGTCGTGGCGGTTCCGCGCCGCGCTCAAGGCGCAGAACGACCCCCTCTTCGACCAGGTCTACGCCTGGTCCGCCAGCTTCTACAACGTCACTCTCGGCGTGCTCGCCGCGGGCTGCGCGTTCCTGACCGCCGCCTGCATCTACATCGGTCTCTTCCCTCTGGTAAGCCATCCATGCGAAACCAAACCCTAACCCCACCTAAAACGCCTGTACTAACAACGTGTCCCCAGAACGGCGACGGCGTCTCCGTCTCCTCCTTCTTCCAATACGTCCTTGGCCTCATCCTCATCATCACCAGCACCATCGGCTACAAGCTCATCTACAGGACCGAGTTCCGCGACGTGCGCACCGTCGACCTCGTTTCCGGGCGTCGGCCCCTCACCGAGAGCGATATCGAGGAGCTCGCCGCTTACTACAAGCAGCCCATATGGCGCCGCTTCTCGAGCTATTTCACGATTTGGTAGAGCGCGCGTGTGTGTGTGGGTGGGGGTGTTTGTTGATGTCGCTGCGAGAGGAGGGCGCGTGATGTACGATACTGTACGATAAGGACGAGGGGGGCGGGGGTTTGTCGGCGACGACGACGACAAGGCGGTCTGGGTTCCTCGACATGGAAGTTCTAGTCGTGCTATGAAGTACGCGATGGAGCGCGGGTTGGGGGCTTGGACTGCCCGCGCGCTGGAAAGTTGCTGGATTGGCCTCGCCCGGTTCTTTAGAGGCAGCTGTGCAGAGGGCGTTTGTTGATTTGGCGGCCTTCTTCTCGCACCGCTATAGAGTTATGATCACGAGGATACGCTATGACAAGATTTTACGCATTGCTTACATACACCTTACTTGCTTGGTGTTGATGCTGCTGGAAGTGATGTTGATTCGCTGATTCTGTGGTAGTCTGCAGAGGGTTGGGGGTCGGGTACGTACGTATGCACGAACGCTTGGAGGCAGGAGTGCAGCGCGCCGTCTTGCTGCTTTGTGCACTGTCTGTGCTGCAGTGGCTGCATACAACTAGGTAGGTAGGTAGGTAGGAAAGTCCCTCTAGAGGGCGGTGCGCCTGCTTGTGTCGTGCAGGAGGGGATACCAATAACTCGTAACAGCCCTGAGCAGCTATGTATTTCCCGCTTCAAAGCTCGAAAACACGCATCTGCATATTTGTTACGCCGCTGAGCGCGACGGACATGCTTATACGGCGTAGTCATGGGTTCCTTTGGCGTAGGTAGGGCAGCAGTACGGAATATTCTTTTATTATCGTTTCGATCCTAGTGTCCCTGATCGTGTGTATACGTACGTATGTATATACGCGTATACGTACGTATATACGTGCTTTAAGGTACTCTCGCTCCCTCCTTCTACTACTGCTACTGTACGGTCTTTACTTAGACCCCTTCTTCCGCGCCAGAGAATCATCTTTCGCTCGCGAAATGCTGCATCAGCATCTTGGTTGACGGTGATGGTGACGGTGCTGTTGCTGTTGGTGGTGGTGCTTTTTCTGTTCACTGATCTTACCTTGTACACGCTCGCTATATACACGCTACACGTCACACCACCACCACCACCCCTACCCTCCCAAAACCTACACAACCCACTAAGCAAACGCCTCCCTCTCCCTCCCCCACCCCGGCCTCAAGCCCTCCCATGCCGCACGCTCGCCAAACCCGCCCTCAAACCCCGACCGATACGCATTATAGCGGACCAGTCTCAGCGTCTGCAACCTAGCCTCCCCCTCATCTTGCGCCCACACACCAACCCCCAGCACATTCCCGCCCCCACTCTGGTCCAGCACGCCCACCGGCACCGGAAACACCGTCTGCGGCCCCACAGCAGCCCAGTACTTGCCGACCTGGTAGCCGTTGACGTAGAGCTGCACGCGCAGGGGCGGCGCATCCGCAGCCGCGACAATTTCAATCCCTAACGGCGCGTCCACCCCCTCAGGAACCGTGACAAGGAACTCGGTGCGGTAGAAGCGGATGCCTGCGCCTGTGAAGCCCGTGAGCGGACTCCCTGCCTCCCATCTTGTGCCTGCGGCTGCGCCTGAGGCGTTGTACCCCGGGAGGTGCCAGCCCAGCCGCTCGAAGTGGTGGCCGCCTTCGTTGAGGGGGCCGCGGACGGGGTCGATGTAGGCGGGGCCGCCGGCTGCGCCTGCGAGCTTCCAGTGCGAGAAGCCGCTGACTGTGGTGGTGGTGGTGGTGGTGGTGCTGTTGTTGCTGCTATTAGTACTAGCAAGGAGCCGTGCGCCTACGATACCCCTTGCGTTCAGCGGCCCATACGGCCCCTGGCTCGTCTCGTCGTGCCCGCTGTAGTCCGTCACGACAGTCAGCACGTTGGCCTCGTCGACGAGCGCCGCGCCCTCGAAGCGCAGCACCGCGCTCGTGGCGCTGAGGGACGCGTTGCCCGCGTGCCCGCCTACAAACGCCCCGTTCGCCCACGCGCTCCACCCCGCTGCCGTGCCGCCTTGCACCGTGATGTTTGCGCCCGAGGCGGCGCGCCCGTCAAAGTAGCCGCGGTAGACGAGCGTGCCGGCGTAGAAGCCGTATGCGCTGCCGTGCAGGACGGGCAGGGTAAGTGGCGCCTCGGGCAGGTTCGACGACGTCTTGTTTGCGAGCGTCCAGCCGCTGTCGTCGTACGTGCGCGCGGCTTCGGGCAGCCCGTCCGCGACAAGCCAGGCCTGGTCCGCGAGCGAGGGGAGCTCGATCGAGATGTCCTCGGCGCCGCGCACGTCGGCTTTCAGTGCCCCGTACGGCGTGCGCATCGTGCTGAGCTCGACGCCGTTCCAGCGCAGCTGCTTGGCCGTTTTCCCGGCGTACACTTCCAGCGTCGTGCTGTTGGCCGTGTCGCCGTGCAGGTCGACGACGCCGTCTGCCACTGAAGCGCTGCGAACGAGGTATGGCCCGAGGGCAAAGACCTGTTCGTCGGCACCTACGTCCGGGTCGTCTGTCGTCGCGGGCGCAAAGAAGGTGTAGGCAGTCGCCGTGTCGAGCAGGTAAGCCAGCGCGCCCGACCCGAACTTTACGACCGTCGCGCCCTCGCCCTGCGTATACCGGAACGCGGAGCCATTCCGCGCAAGGCCAAAGTCGCTCGTGGCGCCATGGACGGTGAAGTTGCTGTAGCCGCCAGCGTTGGACGCAAACGCAAACTCGCCCGTCTGCCCAACGTCCAGGTAGAAGACGAGCACCGGCGCGCTGCCGTCCCCGTCGAAGAGCCCCCACGTCAGGACCTGCGCCGACGAGAACAGCAGCGTCGCGTTCCCGACCGCATAGTCCGTGACGACGACGCGGGCCTGGCGGCCACGCAGATCGAGCGAGTCGATAGCCACGTCGCCGCGCGAGGTGCGCGCCGTCAGCGTGAACGTCGTGTTCGCGCGGGACTTTGTCGAGTTGTGCTCAGCGAAGTAGAAGCGGGCGGCCGAGTCCTGGTTGCGCAGGACCCAGGTCCAGATATCCTGCGAGTCGACCGCGTTGCCCGTGCCGTTGCTCTCCATGACCGTGTGGCGCAGGGCGCGGCTCGCGCGCGCAAACAGCGCAACCAGCTTTGTCTGGGAGAACTTGGGCGTGACTTCGCGTGTCTCGCGCAGCGGCGCGGCGTAGTCGTACGACGAGTAGACGACGGGCGCGGCCAGGTGGCCCCAGTTGGTGCCGCCGAAGGCGACGTACAGGTTCAGCAGGGTGGCGCGCTGGGCGAGCACGTCCTTGTAGTAGACATCGGCGAACTCGGGGCTGTGCTCAGCCTGGCAGTCGTCGTAGAAGGCGCCGCCCCAGGGCTGGAACCAGCCGGCCTCGAACTCGGGCAGGCTCTCGGGCTGCGTGAAGCTGTAGTTTTGGAACCACTGGTAGTAGGTGCGGACGACGTTGAAGCCCGAGTCCGGGTTGCTGCACGACATGCCGCCGGGGTAGCTGTCGAGGCCGTAGATGTCGACGGAGCCGCCGACGTTCTGGTAGTCGGTCGACCAGCTCTGCCCGCGCATGCCCTTTTCGTTGGACGAGAACGGCACGATGACGCCGGCGTCGCGCAGCGCCGTCTTGATCTGCTCCATGTACAGGACCAGCGTGTCATTGGCCTCGTGACGCGACTCAGTGAGCTCGTTCTCCACCTGCACCATGATAACGGGCCCGCCGCCCTCCTCGGTCATCTGGTTCTTCGCGATGATCTTGCCAATGGCCTGGATCCATGGCAGCCACGCCTGGTGATACGCTTCGTCCGAGGTGCGCAGTTTCGTGCCCGCGCCAATGCCGTCGGTGCCCCACAGCGCGATGCCGCCCGCGTTCGTCTCCGCGTTGACGTACGGCCCGGGCCGCGCGATGACATACAGTCCAGCCTGCTTGGCCATGTCGAGCAGGCGCTGCACGTCCTTGGCCGGGGACTCGAAGTCGAAGACGTCGGGCGCGGGCGAGTGGTAGCTCCAGAAGAAGTAGATACTGCAACGTTTCGAATTAGCACACAGAAAGGCCTTCCTCCTATCAACACCATAGAATGAGTCTCTTACCTGACAGCATTCAGCCCATTGGCCTTAAACTTCTGGAAAACATCCAGCCACAGCTCCGGCACCGGCAGCCGCGGATAGTGAAACTCTCCCGAGAAGACGAAGACGCGCTCGCCCCTCACAATCAAGCTGCCCTCGTCCCAAGTAACGACATCAGTGAGGCCGTTGCCGGAGGCGGAGACGGAGGTGACAAAGCTCGCAAGCACCACCGCCCCAACCACGCACAGCAGCCGCAAGAAGCACATAGGTATTCGCACCTACCAACGCAAAGAAACAAATAGCAGCAGCAGCAGCAAGGAACCAAACAAGCCAAACGAGCAGAGCAGAGCAGAGCGGAGCAGTCCTCACCAAGGGCAGCACCCGCCTTTATCCCATACCCGCATCTCTCGCCCACGGAACCTCGCGTGCTCCCGCAGCAGCAAAGCGGCCAGATCCATCAATCAGCGTGCAGCAGCTTGCAGCGGGGCCCATCCGCGGGCCCAGCGCTGGAAAATAATGTCCCGCGTCGCGTCATCCGGTGTGGCACTGGCGGGGCCATAGTTAATTCGTGTTTTCCCCGCACATGCATGTGTGGAATGAAATATGGCGAGAGGATCTGCATCGGCAGCATGCAGGCCCCGTCACGCCCGTCACGCTGGACGGGAACCCGACACCTACCATAGATATGTACGAAGCTCCTCACCTGAAAGAAACCAAAAAACGCTTGATGAATTTTTACTACTACACACAAGACCCGCGCGGCCACAATTCTCTTCCACTTCCAAGCATCTAACCACGTCCTACCATACCATACCATACCATCCTTACCCTACCCTCCAATCCTACACATCGTACGCACCCAACTAATAAGCGACCCGCGTGCGCATATCGCCGACCTTGCGCTCCACCTCCCTCACACTGCGGTCCAGCTCACCCGCAATCATTTCCTTCTTATCGCGAGGCAGGCGCAAAAACCGCTCGCACAAGTCGCCGTCAATGACGCCCTTGACCGGCACGTAGTAGCCGCGGTAGATGAGGTGGTCGCGCCCCGCCAGCGGCGCGTCCTCGGCCCGCATCTGCGCCTCCAGGCTCGAGAAGAACTCGACGTCCTCGCGGCTCACAAACGGTATCATGATGCCTAGCGTGCCCTGCAGGCCCGACCAGAGCAGCAGGTCGCGGCCGCCCGTCACCAGAGACGTCTTGGTCAGCGATGTCGCTATGTCTTGCGTGTAAAAGTGTGCCATCAGGTCGAGGCGGTGCGGCGCGCCCTGCAGGTAGCCCTTCTCGTGCAGCAGGTGGGCGCCTGAGCCCTCCTCGTCCGCCTCCTCCGATGCCTTTTGCGGGCAGCGCACTAACCACAGGTTACCAAATTTGTCCGCACCGGCAGTCGTCTCGTAGTCAACCATTGTAGTCGCCGAGGTCCAGCGCGAGATGGTGTCATCGGCGAATGCAATGAGGCGGTTTTCTTGGTACTTGTAGACAGCATACGTGACCGACTCTTGAATGTCCGAACATATAATGCGACTGCCTTGGGTTTGCAGGCCGGTCAGCAGCCTGGGGACAATGTGCGGTGTCTGAGCCTTGCGGAGCATCTGTCGCATGCCAAGGTCGTACAGGCGGAGGTCTGCGTTGACTCCGACGAGCAGCTTGCCCTGGAATGGCAAGAGAGCAAGGGGCGGTGCTTCGAGCTTGGTCTTGTGGATAAACTCAAGCTCGCGACCATTTTCAAGAAGTCTGTAGATGTGGACATAACCGCAGGTGTAGCTACGCGGGGACATGACCATGTCTTTGCCAGTTCCCACCACCAAGAACGTCTCGTCACTTTGAGACGCAAAAGGCGCAGCACACACGCTGACGCAGGCTTCGTTCTCTTCGAGGTCAACGGTGTAGATAACTTCTTTGTTGGTGATTGGGTCGACAACCTGGATGCACGAAGCCCATCTCCTCTCAGCACGTGGGTATCCAAACTCCTCGGGAGGAAGGACTTCTGCCTCTCCATTCACGGCACCGTTGAGAAGAGCTTGACGGTCGGAAGGAGCAAGGACGTTGTTTTCGGATTCGATGACGTAGCACAGGGGTTCCGTGGGGTGGCGGACAAAATCGCGAGGAGTGTACATGAGCGGAATACTTTCCTGAATCATGTTGTTGTCAAGGTTTTCGATCGTGAAAATGCTAATCAGTCAATGTCAGTAAGAGAGCGAGGGAAGACAAAGAGGGAAGACGAGAGAATTAACGTACCGCAAATGCTGTCCCTGAATACCGACCATACCCTCCGTGCACTGTTCGCTGTTGAAACTCCATCCCCATTCAAGCGGAGCGTAAGCCAAAGGCGTCAGTGTGAAAGCCTTGGTCTGTTGATCCGAGTAACCAAGCCACGACCGGGAGCTGGTTGCCAACACGGCAGCCTGGCCTTGAACAGTGACGCGGAAGAGCCTGACCTGCTTAGGTCCCAGGAAGCGCGTGCGCGTGTCTGTGAGCTCGCCGGTGATTTCATCGATAACAGTGCGAAGGTAAACGCCAGAGTAGAGACCGATGTGCAGATACAATGTGGAACCCCCAGACGACGAATCGGCCATTGCCATGATGTTGAGTGCCGAAGGTGCAGCAGTCAAAGCTTGCACGGACTTGTTCTCGAGAGTAGAGTCGGGATCCAAGCTCAGGATGCGCACCGTCGCGTCGTCGCAACCAACAGCAAGGAACGAGCTGCGAACTCTGCCCTCGGGAACCTCGCCCAAGCTCAGACAAGTCACCGTACCGGACATTTCTCTGCGCTCGTCATACTCAGCGAGAGAACCATCGGCATCCATCTCGAAGTAGACAATCTCGCCAGAGCTGAGCGCCACGGCGACCTGACGTTCGTTGGTGGAAGCTGCGACGATGGTCCTGTGTTGAGGAGCTGGCCATTCATTTATGCGACCGCCCGCCTGGATGTGACGAATTCCTCGGGGGTGAACTTGGATGAGAGCATCCTCGCCTAGCAGCTGAACAGCGAGTGTCCGAGTCGATGACAAGAACCCAGTGTCTGTAACTTCCTCGACCGTCTCGCCAATGCTGAGTACCAGCGTGCCGTTGGAGAAAGACAAAACAATGTAGGCGTCGTATTCGTCGTCCCTACGAATCTTGGTCGTCCAAACAGCCTCAGGAATACTGGGAAGCTCGGACTCGACGATCTCAGAGACTTCCAGGCCGTGCTTCAACGTCTTGAACGAACTTCGCGCTCCGGTGCCACACACGCTGTAGATTTGAGGCGCGTCGTCGTCGGTGAGGTTGGCGACCTTGGTTGCCATGGTAGGATTCATGCTGGATATGCTCTGGGCCAAGCTAATGTTGTCGGCGGAGCGAGGACGGAAGTAGACCGGCTCGTACGGTTCTTCGGTATCGGCGGGGAACTGGGTGCTGTCGAATTCCTGCTCTTCGTCATCATCACCGAGCTTTTCGAATTGATAAAAGTGGTGGTTCCCTGACTCGGCAGCCACGAAGAGATAACCGCTCTTCAAGATACAAAGGCTGGTCGCGACGGGAACGGTGTCAAAGTATTTGATCTTAAGTTTCGATACGTCGCCCGTAGGTTGGCCGCTCTCATCTTCGACCATGTCCAGCGTGACCTTGAACAAATCACCGTCTTCGCTTTGCAGCAGGAAGAAGAATGCACCGCGCATTTTGTGCATGACACCAGCGGTGATGAAGCGCTTCCTGTTCCTGTCCTCGGTCGCATGCTCTCTTCGCGGGATCGCCACCCTGAAGGTCTCCTGGTTGATGTGCCTGTAAGTGATGCTCTCTTCGCCGCAGACAAGAACACCGCTGGGGCCGTCGGAGCCGCCAGGAACCTGGAAGAGCATGTTGGCCGTTCGGTCCACTTTGTCGGACCACTTGCGAACGACGTGATTCAGACCCAAGTCCAACTCGTAATAAACCAGCTCTTTCTCCAAGGCGTCATATGCCATTCCGGTAGGGTCCTGGTCCGACTCGCCATAGTCGACTTCCAGCGCCGCGAAGATGGGGTTCTCGTAGCCCACGTCCATGCCAACCATGGCGTACACCAACGTCGTAGGTCGATGGGCCTCCAGTGGCGAGGATATGGTCAGCTCGGCCTGGGCATTGCGGTTCAAGACGTAGACCAGCTTGTTCTTCTCCACCGAGGCGATTATACATGCGCGGCCCTTGGGATCGGTGGCCAGATACTGTCCGGGAATGACGCGACGGATGCCAGACTTGCCAAAAGTCTCGAGGTGGATGCGGCTGAAGCGGTTCTGGGCCGGGACGTACTCGATGATGGCGATGCGACCGGAGTCAGAGCCGACAATGATGTAATCTGCACTCACTCAGCTTCAGTTCCAAACTGTCGACACGGTGGAGCTGCTCGGCGTGCTTCGAAAATCACTATATGACCTTGGAATGTCGCGCGCGGCAGAGTCACGTACCTTTTGAGCTGCCCGCCAGCCTGAAGGCGGCCAGCGAGCGGATGATGCCAAAAATGTCATGGGAGAGGATGGGCGTGACGCGCTGCGCCTGCGGGTCCGGGCGGTGGAGGGTGAGACGCGAGCCCGAGGCAGTCAGGATCTGCTGTTCTTTCGTTCCGGCAAATTGGCCCAGGATGGCTTGCGTGACGGCAGTGGGAGGCTGGATCGTCAGCGAGTACATGAACATGGACGACGTGGTAGCCATGGTGGGCGAGCGGCCCGCGGCCGGGCGGGAAAAGAGTCGCGAGGGAGCTGGTCGCGAGAGGAGATCGCGGCGACTGCGAGGGAGCGCGTGCAAGCAGTGCGCAGGCGACGGCGGTGGAGGGAGGCGCGGCGAGAGTGTGCGGTCGGTGGACGCGGACTTCCAGTGATGGACGCCAGACGCGGACTTTGGAGCTCAACTTTCACCGCCTTCAGCTGATTGGCTGACGGCCCAGCTGCACTTTGAGAGAGCATCACCTCACCACCGGCTTTTCCGCTTCATCCCGCCCATTGACCCCAGCATGCGCGCCAGATACACCTGTCGCCAGTGCCTGGCCTCGCTCCAAACGGGCCTGCGTCCCCAGCGCGCGCAGCCATTGAGACAGCTGGCCAGCGCTCGCCGATGGCACAGCAGCCAGCCCACCAACAGACGCGCCGCGTCCACCCAGGCCGCCAACAATGAGCCGGTGCAGATGCCCCCCACGCCCCCGGGGTTGGACAACCATCCCTCTATGCCCAAGGCTACCAATTCGCTGCTCAAGCCCAACAACCTGTTCCACCCCTTCTCCCAATCGCCCTCGCCCGAGATCCGCCGCCGTGCCGCCTTCATAAAGCAGCACGCCTACTGCCCGCACGAGTCGCACCAGCAAACGCGCATCGCCCTCGACCCCGAGGACCCGGAGACCAAAAAGGCCGTCCACGGCTCGCAGCCGCCCGCACACGTGCGCTACGAATGCCCCGACTGCGGCATCCCGGTGTCGTGCAGCGAGGAGCACTTCGCCGACGACTACGAGAAGCACCTCGAGATTTGCGACACGTTGCGCGAGGTCAACGAGGACGACCACGACCTCCGCTCCGGCCGCTTCTTCCCCGAGTTTGAGTACCCCGGCGTGCAGATGGAGGAGGCGCTGGTCAACATGACCAACTGGGACACGTACCTCTACTCTCGCGAGCACCAGGCCATCAACGACGAGCGCAGTCTGAGGCAGGCGACGCGGCTGCTGACGTACCCGGTCACGATTGGCAGCGTGCTGCACGAGCTGAGCCCGTACAACATCCGGACCGGAGGCCGCCTGACGGTCGAGGGGCTCAAGTCGTTTTCTGGTGGGTGACATTTGTACTGTAAAATGCAAAGCTGACCATCTTAGCCCTCCGCTACACCCTGCACCCTCCGCGCAGCGGCGGCGGCGGCGACATCAAGGGCCTGCGGCCCAACCCGCCGCCCGTGCGCATCTTCATCCTGGGCGCGCGCGCCGAGTCGTCTCTGCCGCGCGAGGTGTGGGTGCAGCTGGCGCACATGTTCCCGCGCGTCTCGTTCCACCTCGTCTTCATCGGGCCCGAGTCGATGGCGAACCGCGACGACGAGTTCCCGCTGCCGGCGCGCACGCCCGAGAACCCGTTCGGGGCCGTGGTCGAGGACCGCATCACGCACTCGCTCAAGATCAGCACGTTTGTCGAGTACTACCACACGCTGCATGAGGCGGGCCAATTCTACCCGTACGACCCGTACTTTGACTGCTTCATGCTGTTCCACCCGGGGCTGGGCCACCCGGCCAGCTCGGCCGAGTGGGAGGCGACGCTGCCCATGCTGCTCGAGACCAAGGTGCCCATTCTGGCGACGGGCTACACCGAGTACGACATGCAGCGCGACCTGAAGTGGGTGCAGGACAAGGTGGGCGGTGAGGTCGACTTGCTGCTCGAGCCGGGCGAGAATCTCTTCCGCAGTCTGCGCTGGGACCTGAACGACCTGGACCCGCAGGACATTTCGTGCGGCAACTGGGGGCTGTGGGCGTTTAGAGGAAAGCGGTACGAAACGACGATGAGGGGCGGCGACTAGTGCGACGCCGAGCATGCCGAGGATGCCGATGCGCGCAAAGTGGGGTAGCTTCGAACATCTTTTGAGAGAGATAAAAAAAATGTATATATGTACGTAAAAAGACATTGAACAAGAGATTAATTTATTATCGCGAAGACGAGGTGTTTTAGGTAGTGACATCAGCTATGAATGGTCACGTCGGCACGACAGGGATGCCATTCGAGCATCAACCCCGCGTCGCGTCGATTGCTTTGTCCCATGAGCGGCAGCCGTCAGTGACGCGATCGACCCAAACAATGACAACAAGGGACGCAGCTGACTCACAGCGGGTATTCGACTCGACTCCACTCCACTCCACTCCACTCCAGCAGCCTTATAAAAAGGAAGCTGACACTCACGCAGCCATACCTACCTCCACGACCACGGACCCCGCAACCCGACCACACCACGACCACACTTCCCCCACCTCCACCTCCACAACACCACGCCACCACCACGACACCAGCACCATGCCGGCCCGCCTCACCCTCGCCGTCGCCCAATCCCGCACCCTAGAAACCACAGCCGCAACCCTGCGCGCCCTCGAAGACACGACGCGCACCGCCGCCGCGCGCGGCATCGACCTGATCCTCTTCCCCGAAGCGTACCTAGGCGGGTACCCGCGCACGTGCAGGTTCGGCTCGAGCGTCGGGTCGCGCGACCCCATCGGGCGCGAGCAGTTCCTGCGGTACTTCCAGGCGGCGGTGGACCTGGGGGACACGCCGGCGGGGGCGGGGGACGAGTGGGTGGCGCGGCGGCTGGCGGTCGCTCCGGGGCGCGAGTACCGGGGGGACGGGACGCGCGAGGTGCTCGAAAGGATCGCGCGCGAAACGGGCGTGTTCGTCGCGGTGGGCGTCGTGGAGCGCGCGGGCGGCAGCCTCTTCTGCGCCGTGCTGTACGTGTGTCCGGCGCGGGGCGTGCTAGGGAAGCGCCGCAAGGTGATGCCGACGGGGACGGAGCGGCTGGTCTGGGCACAGGGCGGGTCGGAGACGCTGCGCGCTGTCGTGGCCGAGATTAAGGGCGTGCGGCTCACGCTTGCGGCGGCTGTCTGCTGGGAGAACCTCATGCCCCAGCTCCGATGGGCTATTTACTCGCAGAACGTCAACCTCTATCTCGCGCCCACGGCCGATGCGCGCGAGACGTGGTTGCCGCTTATGCGCACCGTGGCGCTCGAGGGCCGCGCGTTCGTGCTTAGTGCGAACCAGTGCGTGCGGAGGGGGCAGCTGCCGGGGTGGGTGAGGGGGGAGATGGGGGAGGAAGTTCACGAGGACCACCAACATGACCCTCACGACCACCAACCCGACAGCCACAACAACAACAACAACAACAACAACAACAACAACAACAACACCAGCACAAAAAGCAAACGCCCCGCAACAAGCACAACGACCCTCCCCGAAGAACTCGGGCACGAGCTATCCCTCCCGTCGCCACCACCGCACGGCTCCGCAATCCAAGACAGCACGAGCACGAGCACCGCCAGCCCCGCCTCGCCCACCCACTCACAAGCACAAACAAAATCCCACGCCCATCCCCGCCGCCGCAAATCAATCATCACCGCAACGCCCGAGCACCACGAGATCTGCTGGCCGGAGCCACGGGCAACTACCACGACCACCTCCTCCAAAGACAACAACGCAACCGCCAGCGCAAGCGCCGACGACGCCAACGACTTCGTCTCCCGCGGCGGCTCCTGCATCATCTCCCCCTCGGGCGACATCCTGGCGGGGCCCATCTGGGAAACCGACGACGACGCCGGCGCTTCTCTTTTAGCAGCAACCGTCGACTTCGACGACTGCGTCCGCGGCCGCCTCGATCTCGACGTCGGTGTTGGCGGGTCGTATGCGCGTGCGGATGCGTTTGAGTTGGTGGTTAGGGGGCTGGATTTGAGTCCGCCGCCTTAGGTCGGTGGGTGAGGGGAGGAACTTGGTGGGGAGGGGGAGGGGGGGATTAGGTGGTTTATTTTTGTGGTCTATGTATGTAGTTGTAAGAAGGGAAGAAAAGGAAAGTAAAACGCCGCCGCTATGCCTTGCTATGCCAATGTGTCTATGCGTTAATTAAGACCAGATCAGACTGTTCGTTTTTGTGTGTGTGTGTGTGTTCCTCTCCTCCTCTTTCTTTCTTTCTTTCTTTTCTTTTGTCTCTAGGTCACGTCTCTTCGTTTTCATTCTTCATTTTCCCATCCATCCCCCTCCCCGTCCCACCTCGTTCTCCCTCCCGCCACATCCCAACCCACCGCCCCTCACGGCCCCGCCGCAAACTTGCTCTTCGCCCTCAACGCGGCGCCATACTTCCACAGCAAAAACGGGGCCGGCAGACCCAACGCCAGCGCCACAAACCCCAGCAAGCTATTCCCCCAGCCATTGCCCAGGGCCTGATACATATAGGGCGCAAAAAGCGGAAATCCGAAACCCGCCAGACTCCTCAATACCGTCGCAGCACTAACCGCGCTGGCCGCAAACCGTTGGTAGCTATCCACCAGGTACGTCTGGATGCACTGAAAGCAGATAATGACGCCTGCAGCGAAGATGGCCGCCCCAATGTCCGGCATGATCCAGTGCACTTTTGCGTCGGCGCTCCACCCGTACCAGAACAGCCCGATGGGCACGAGGAACGAGCCCGGCACCATGAGCGGGACGCGGAATTCGGGGCGCCCCGTGTTGTTGTTGCGCGCTTTGAGGCGCCGGTAGATGCGGTCGTTGACCGGGGCGCATATTTGCGTGCCCAGGAAGAAGCCGAGCCCGAGCGCGATGTAGTTCAGCCCGGAGATGCCGGTGCTTTCGTTGTACGTGCCGGTCCAGAGCGTGGGGAAGGTCGAGAGGACTAGGTACATGAGCCCGTAGAGGAATGCCACTGTGGGGGGTGGGCGTGGTTAGTAAGGTGTGTGTGTGTGTGTGTGTGTGTGTGGTTTGGTGTGGTGGGGTGGGTATGGGGGAGGGGAAGCGTGGAGGGGACGCGACGTACTGTACACGGCCAGGGCCTGGATAATCAACTGCGTGCCGAGCAGCCTAAACGGGCGGAAAAACGCCGTTCTTAGCACGTTGCCCAGCGTCTTCTCCGAGTCGAACTCAGTCCTGAGCTTCTCATTCCCGGTCTCACGCCTTAGCTTCGCAGCCTTGCGCTTCAGCAGGACAGGCGCGTACGTCTCTTGCAAATACAGCAGCCCGACAACCTGGATGACGGCGTCGGCGATGCTGGTGGCCCAGAACGTCCACCGCCACGTCGTGCGCATGGTGATGAAGCCGCCGGCAATGGGGCCAACGGCGGGCCCGATCAGCGGCGCAAGACTGTACACGCTGATGGCCTTGCCGCGCTCCTCGGGGCGGAACATGTCCGACAGGACGCCGCCGCCGATGGCGAGCGGCGCCGAGCCCCCCAGCCCCGCCAGGAACCGGAACGCCATCATTTGCCCTTTCGTCGCTGCGAAGCCGCACCCGATGTTCCAGGCGAGGAACCACAGGTTCGCCAGCTGCAGCACGTACACGCGCCCGTACAGCTCGGACATCGGGCCTAGGAAGAGCGGGCCGATCGCGTACGCCAGCACGAAGATGGACAGCATCAGCGCGGTTTCGATCTCGGAGGTTACGCCGAAGTCGCGCGCGATGGTGCTCAGTGCCGGCGCGACCATGGACGACGACACGGGCGAGATGAAGGTGAAGAACGACACGGTGATGCACGCTGCCCATTTGCGGCCGATGGGCCAGTTCTTGGGGTTTTCGGGGTCGTCGCTGCCAAAGGAGATGACGTTGGGGTCGCGGGCCGAGCGCGCCGTGCGCACTTTTTCGATGGGTTGTTCGGGGTCGCGCTCGTCGGGGATGCCGTCTCTGACCTCGGCGACGCCGTCCTTCTCGTTCTCCTCCGACTCGGCCGTCACCGTGTGCGCCGAGGAGCTGCTGCTGCTGCCATGTCCTGCCTCCTCCTCTTCAATTTGGTCGTCGTCGTCCGCGCCGGCGCCGTGGTCGTGGTGGTACAGGCCCGTGTCGTCGAGGTGTTGGGCCGAGTAGAGGCGCTGCAGATCGAGGCTCGAAGGGCGACTAGGGCGGGAGCGGGCGCGCTCGAGACCGTCAGCCATGGCGAGAGCTTGGCGATGCTTGGCTGGGCTTGTTTTTTTCTTATTTTTTGTTTTTTGTTATTTTTTCGTCACCACGCACGCGAGCCAGGCACACCAATAACAACAACAGGGGCGGGCGGGCTCCATCGCGTATATATAAGCACTCGGCGGCGGCGGTGGGAGGCGACGGCCCTAAGCCGCGGGATTAACGCCCTAAAATCCACTCCGAGGTGTGTACTTTAGGTAGATGGATGGATGCGCGGAGGACGGACTTTCCGACCGCGCTGTGCAGCGTTTGCATTATTGTTTCCCTCCTATGTATGTACGAGTAGCCGCAGGCCGACTGCCTAGGTTATTCTGCTGCCACATCAGTCAGCAGGCATCAGCATCAGGCACAGCTCGCGCGACTGGACTCGGACTCGGACACTCGGACTGGCCCTGGCCCGCCCGGCGCAGCTTCTCGGCACTTGCTTGCTTGCTTGCTTGCATCGCTGGCAGTGGCGCGCAAAGGACGCCGCGAGGCTCCGCGGTGCGCGGGCCCCCTCGAGACCAACGACCGGGCCAGCCCCTGGCTGCTTCAGCCCTACCACTATGTACGTACGGGCATCGTACTTGCGTGGTATTCTTATCTGCCGACGCCTCCTTCCATGGCCCGACCGGGGGCGCGGCCGAACACCTCAGTCCTGCGCTGCTGTTCCCGCCCCCGGGCCCCGCCGTCTCCCGTTACATACGCCATCTCGCGCTCATGCTCCTCAGCCTCTCCAGCAGCACTCGATCCATTCCCGGCCCTTGTGGCGCTTGAGCAGCAGCACGAGCTTCGGCTGCTGCTGATGCTGCTGCTGTCGCTGCACTAGCGACGCGAACGCGACGCGCGCGTCCCGCTGCCGGAACACGAGCACCGATGCCCAGCGCCCGCGCACATAGCCGGCTCTGGCGCTGGCAATGGCACTGCCGCTGCGTCTGCGTTTGCTCCTCGTCCCTGTTGTTGTTGTTGTTGTTGTTGTTGTTGTTGTCTTCACGCCATAGCCGTACGCCCCGCTGCCCCAGCTCTCTCTCCTCTTCCTCGCTCCTCCTCCTCTTGCACCACCACCACGGCCACGGCCACTAGCGTTGCCGCGCTCGAGCGGAGCGAGAGCGAGAGCCTCGTCTTCAGGAGTGAGAGCGAGAGCCTCATCTTCAGAGATGCAGAACGCCCGCACCTGCCGCTGCCACCGCCGGCACGTGGCGCAGGTCGCGCGGAAGCAGGGCCGCGACAGCCGCATGCCGTGCGCGCCGGCGGGGAGGAAGCGGTGGGTTTTGAGGGAGCAGGAGCGGGGGTGGGGGCGGGGGTGGGGGTTGGGGGGCATGGTTGTGTGTTGTGGGTTTGTGTGTGTAAGGGTGTGTAGGTAGTTGTGTTTTTGTTTTAATTGGAACCTGTACGTGGATGTCTAGATGTGAATGTCTACGGATTACATTCTCGGAAGAAACAGCTGTGCTGCTTATTTAAAGATAAGACAATGAAGGCGACGGAATGTGCAAGATGGGTATAGAGGCGTCAGAGAATAGATAATAGACAAGGGCTTAGGCGCCGGGACAATGCATGGTATGCTACAAAGAAACCCCGTTTCTTGAAGACTGGCTGTGTGCGAGCAAGCTTCTTTTCTGTCTATTTTTGTCTAGACAAAGCATCGTGCGTGAGGACAAAGAAAAGACTTGTTTGTTTGTTTGTTGGTTTGGTTGGAGTGTTTTGGTGTGAAACTGCTGGAAGGTACATGGCATACATACCTGATTGGCGTTGGCAACGGAGGTGGAGGAAAGGAGATGAAGGCGTCACGGAAAAGTCAAGAGAGACAGCGAAAAGGAAGGGAGACCGCGGTGGGTTTGGCTGGAAACATGTACATGGGAGAGCGGTCTTGGTACCGCACCAGTTCGCTGCGATTCAGGTAAGTAAAGAAGCCACCCTGATGCGAGTGATGGATGGCCGTGAAACCAGGGATGGGAAATAAGCGGCTGTACGGCTGCGGAAGTGCGATGGGATGATGGTGAGATGGTGAGATGGTGGTGGGAGGGGGGTGTTGAGGACGGCAAGCAGGGAAGCAACGGGTGGGCAGTGTTTGCGGAGGAGCAGGGAGCTGAGCTGCAAGTCACATCGCAGACAAGATGTACTTACCTACAGAGTAGGTGATGATGAGATGTTGGGGGAAGCGCCTGGTGGGACACAAAACCGCGACCCGGACGCCGCGACCATCTCACCACCACCACCAACATCGTCAGATACGTATGCTCATGCGACCGTCCTCCATCTCTGCGGTATTCTATGGCGAGCCCAATTCTGCGGCTTCCTGCACGTGCAAGCGGCCTGCAGAGAGTCAACGCACTCGCACATGCCGCAGCCGCCCTCCGGGTACACGGGTAGCGGAACCAAGGGACAGGCGGCAGCGACCATGTACATACAGTACCTCAAACGCGAGCGGCTTCAGGTACCAAGCATTTACCTTCATCTCTTCTCTCAGTCTCCGCCGCCAACAAGTAGTCTTTCACGATCAGATACTCGACCACTTGGCCAAGCATGCGCCCGTAAGCGCCAAGTCCGCATCAGTGCGACGTCGCTGTTTATGCTAAAGTCCTGCTCGAGCCTCGTATTAACAAGGCGCCGCGCATCTCGAGACTCCGGCGATTACCCGAATAAGCTCCATTGCTTCCGAACAGGCTGGGCTCGGGAGCGGCTTGGGCGGAATTGCTGACTGTAGGTGGGTTGATGTCGTTACACTTTGCTGTAGCCTGTGTTTACGGGGCAGCAACCTGGCGAAGCTCGGGAAACGAGGCATAAAACGTTGTGGTGTCCCACGTAGACGCCCTCGTCGCTGCATACCTATCCATATACTTGCATCCGTACAGTACACTACCTTCAACCAGCTCACCATGCACATCCCAACAGTCCTCCTAAGCGCAATTTGCTTCTTCGCCCTCACGGCCACTGCCGCCGAGTCCGCCGAGCCGGCCACCGTCTTCGAAGTCTCCAACATCGTGTCCACCCGCGGCCTCATAAGCAACTACGCGACGCTGTACTTCCGCGTCTGGGAAGACAATCCCCTCGCCAACACGACCGTCGCCTGCCAGATATCAACCGCGAACGCAAACACCACTGACTACGTACGCGCCACCCCTGCCCCGCTATCCTATCCTGAAAGCTTACCCTGAGTCCACTAACTCTCTCCGCTTCGTGCAGATACCGTGCTCGGAGCAAGACGACACTTGGAGCTTCTACCTCGCGGACTTCGACAGCAATGGCTTCAGCAACTTCACGCTTGAGCTTAGGCACGCGTTCACGGATCTGTATACGCAGTACGTAACCCTGGCTTTAGTTGATAGGGCAGCTGCTAATATGTATGCTGCGGTGTCTAGCACGTTCCGTTGGCGGTTTGCGCGCTTGACGGAAACGCGGCCCTCGGCGTGTAGAGAGGTGGGTCTTGGTGCTGAGCGCTGTGAGTGGGAGTCTAGGAATGTGGAGGTCTATAATGAGATTGCGGCGCATTTGCCGTGAGGAGCGCGTCTGCTGGGGAGGTGTTAAGACTTTTGCGATGTGGGGTATGCGGTTGGCTAAATGCTGGTTTGCTAGGAGAATGAAGATGGAGGCTTGTTTGCTTACGACTTTGTTCCGCTGATTGTCTTTTGTTTTATCCCTGCTCAATCCTTTTCTGTGGAATGCTTCGCTCAATTAACTGTTATCAGGCCTCGGTCTGGTGGGTTTTCTGCAGTCAGCCCTGCTTTGAACAAATCTTGTAAGCGACGTTACCCCGCAGATTCTCCTTCCCCACTTCGAAATGGTACGGATATGTATGTGGCAAAGAAGCCAAAGGTTGGGAACGAAATGTGAAGTGGGTGTTTTCGGAGTAAGAACAGAGAAGGCTGACAGGACCATCGGCCCTGAACACCTGTGTGGATGAAAAAAAAAAAAAAAAAAAAAAAAAAACATTATCGGCGCGATACCGCTATAGAGGACCCTCCCGACCTAAGAGTTTATCATGAAAGTGTCGATGTTGAGATGAGGACTATAGCAATCGTTTATTTGGAAGTTGATATCAAGCCACTGATTAATCGGAGGCTATTGGGAAGAATGAAAACTATCCCCGGTGAGATTGTGAATACAGGGAGAAGGTGAGACGGTAGCTATAGTAGAAGAGGCTTTGCTGGGAATAAAGCTTTTTCCCGCAGCACACTTCACTGACTTCGAGGCAAAGTGAAATTGTATAAGCCGTTGAGGAAGCAACAGTACCGGTCGAACGCAATAACTTGCTCGAGCATTAGCACTAGAAGTAATGATGTAGAGCCTTTGTACGCTATATATCTTTCAGCTCAATCACTCGTTCGTTTTTCCTTGTGGAGGCTGTGGAAGGGACGTAGTAGAGTATGTTTAGGCCCCGGATAATTTGCCCACCCCTCAACTACATATTGAGTAACTACCTAGAGAATACTTCTTAGGTAGTTATAATAACCTTTTACACTATAGCTAATAGACACTATATAATTATATAAATGTAAAAATATGCGAGTAGCAGAGTATACTACGAGTGTATAGAGGTATATATATATACGACTACTAGAGTAGCTACGAGGGTATAAAAACAAAATATTCGAAGGATATAAAGGTACTTATAAGGGTATAGAGACCTAAGATCTTAAAGACTAGAAAATACGTTATGTAATTCTGTAGATGCTATCACGTAGGGTGGGTAAGATATCTAGAGGAGGTGGGTAAATTATCCGGTGCCTATGTTTAACCCCTTTTTTTAGTTTAGAGTTCGATCTGTATTTTTATAGTACTGGAAGAAAAGGATAGGATTGGATTTTTGCTTTTTAATTTTTATCATTAGCCTGAAACCGAGAACGATAATGTCAAAAGGAAGCCCAGGAAAATTTAACTACCCCGCATTCACTATGAAACCCGCTTGCAACCAAACCTCTCGGATTATTGGCTGCTATTAAAAGTTGAGCCAATGAAAAAACATGGAAATTCTTACCCCTTGCTTATGCAAGCTAAGAATAGCTAATCTCGCCGCGACCCCCACCCGATCGCTCAATGACGCTATCGCTTGCACCAAGTTTAGAGGCAATAAAGCTAGCAGCGGGAGCCTTGAAATTTTTTCTTCTCCATAGGCTTTTGTACTGAGCAAAAAATTATGGATTCGTCTAGTTTCGACGACTCATCCAGCCATTACAACATCTATACTGGCTTCTGGATCAATTGGTCTCGTGGTCCTGTTTATGGGGCTACAATAACAACACCTCGCCAGGACGGAACAATTTCGATCGCACTTCTGGCTCTGTTCGTCAGCATAGTCGGGACACACTTCTGGAACATTCTCTGCTTCTGTTTACATTACGGTAATTCGTCATCCAAGCCACAAGATGGTCTGCATCACCAAAAACAAGCCATACTTCGGAATTCGGCAAATGGGTCGAGCGGACTCTGGAATCTACTGATGGTTCTGAATGCATGGGGGTGGAGCGGAAGAGCCGCAAGACCTTTTCGTCGGATTTTACCGCTTATCGTCATCGCCATGTGCCACATTGCGGCCTTCAGTGTCGCAGGTACATTCTCATCTAAGATAGCAACTGCCGCCGGGGACGAAGTACTTATTTCCAGCCCAAACTGCGGTATCTTGCACGGAGAAAGCGATTCCGAAGTCTCAGAACTGGCCGCCTATCTGAATTCCTACAAGGCGCGGCTGATGGCAACCCACGCAGCCTACGCTCAACAGTGCTACAAAAATGCGTCGGAAACAGCGGGCTGTCGCTCGTTTATAAAGCAAAATATCCCCACTGAGACCACTAGAAACGTGGCTTGCCCATTCGACAAAGACATGTGCCTATCAGTAGACGGCAATATCCGTTTCGAAACCGGCTACCTTGACAGCAATGATGACTTCGGACTCAATACGCCTCCTGAAGAACGAGTTCAACTCCGACGGGTATCCACCTGCGCACCCATTACTACTAAAGAATACCGTAGACGGGGAAAACTCTTCAACACAAACACGTCGTATATTCAATATGAATATGGACAAGCTGTAAATTTCTGGGAAGGCAACAACTACACTTACAGATACCCAGAGATCACTCCTAACTGGGATATACCGAGTGCAAACACAGATTACATACTTGGGTAAGCAATCATGTCGGTATCTACAACTCGTTGCTAGCACTTCTGACGGCTTTGAGCAGTGGCATGGATGCGACAGTGATAAACGGGACAATGAACAACACAAACACCGATTTTGTTCCAATCGCTGCATTGCAGCAAAAGGATGCAGACCTTCACTTGATTTTCCTTTCTGCAAACTCGATCATATTCGCACAGGAAGTGAATGATCTATGGTTCTCGGCCCATCGAAATGTGTCACAAATATTCTACTCGGATATCGGGGAAGTTGAAGGCACATTAGACGCAATCGTTCAGGACGATGCTGCCTCAGTGCTGGCTTGCACGGTCAAAGAGCAATATTGCAATCCGAACCTTCCAGAAGGGAACCGATGCGCGCCGTTTGGGGGCGAATATGAATCCGCAGCTTTGGCTGAGCACCTATGGACAAACCAGAAGCAGCTGGATAATTTTCGTTGGGTTGATGGGACCATCAAGAGCTACCGTCCCTCTATGCACAACGTTGTATACACACTTGGATCTTCAGCCCTGCTGGCAAGACAAAGCCTCACAGAAGGAATTCAGGGAGCGCTAGTGGACAATCAGTGGCAGCTGGAGGCGGAGAACTGGCATAAAGTCTCCATGGCCGCCATGCAAGGCATTATGAGAGAGGTTGCGACGGGACCCTCGGACCAAAGCGTGGAGAAATGGCTCGTCAAGCCCAACAATACCCAAGAACACCTTCTGTGCGGCAATCAGGTATGTTTAAGACACTCCACGCCATTTTCAAGGTCACGCAAGGACTCTTAGTGATTGTACATGCTAATAAAACCCTATAGAAAATTGTGAGCGGCGAATACTTTAATTTTTCCGTCTTGGGCCTGGCGATCACTCTCACGGTTGGCGTCTTAATCATCCTTCTCTCCTATACCATCGCACCACTACTGGCCTGCATACAACATCGGCGACGCAGCCCCTACAACCCATATGCAAGGCTTGAGTGGAATGCAAATGGAATGCTGCAGCTGCAAAGGCTGGCGCATGAAGAGCAAGGGGTCGGCACGTGGGACCGTTGTGCTGCTGATGTGCCCGTTACAAATAAAGGAGACAAGCTGGCCACACTAGACCTCGAGGACTTGGATCATCCGAGATTGATGGTGAAGGATTTTGGCCGGATGGATGATAGGAAATCTTTGTTTGCTGTTCATGAGCGGGAAACATTAACAGCATCGGACGGCTCGGATGACGGGATCGAAAGATAAAACGGCATACCGTAGAGGGTTACTGTCTTCACTTACCAACTAAAGTTGCTGTTTTATGAATATTAGTTTTATTACTTTAAGTCGGATTGTTCACCTTTTAATCATTCATTTGTAACGACAATGACCAAGCTAACGTCCGTCACCATAAAGCGAGATCCACCGTCTTACGAGATGGTAATGCTTGTACGGAGTAGAAGAAGATACCTAGTTAAGATATATAGAGGCTCTATGCGCTCTAAGACCTTTTCACCTATACCCGGGACTCGGGCTGGGAGCTAGGCAAGGAGTACTCTGTAGGTACTGCTTGTATCGCCCTCTATCTCGCTATACGGTGGATCTCGGTTCGCGGTGATGGACGTTAAACAAGCTTCAGAAGCAGTTTTGCCAGTTTTCTAAACCAACACAAACCCCGGTTGCCGATCTCGCGGCCGCAAAGTTGCAGACCCAGGAACTTAAACGGAGTGGGGGCCGACACGCTGTTCAGCTCGTAAGGCGACGAGGAACTAACCTTGACGTCGACCAGGTCAACTCCGTAACATAGCATCAGCTTAAATACAGAAGCTGATACGTAGAACTTCAGAGGCCGAGAAAAACAATTCGCAGCAATCGAAGCTATGGTAACGCGCAGAGTGGGGGCGGAGGTATTGGCTCTGAAGCGGGTCAATTATATCTGGAAATACCTCCGAAGCACCTTCCTAATGCCGCCAAAGCAGCGAAAATGAATGGTCGATCTATCATCCTTCGCTAGTTTGCTGCAAGATACCGTCATTCTCCGACTACGCGCACTTTTCTTCAATTACCCCGCTCAGTTCTGCGCATTCTTCATACTAACATGTTCGACTCATAATCATCGACACACATACTAATACGGCATAATGTTCAAAGCTTTCTTCTTCTTACTACTCTGGTTGCACTATGTCGCAGCGGGTTAGTTTTCCTTGAAAATGTGCCTAGAATGGCGTGAGTAGTATTAAACTGACAAAATTCCAAAGAATGCTCTGGGGCAACAACAATATCTGAGACTAGCGCTTTGTCCGCTTGTGCTACATACTCCGGCGAAATCACACTTTCCACGTCTATTTCAGGCGATGTCAACCTGGACGGACTAGAAGTCATCTTGGGCAATCTAACCGCGTATCATGCCCCAAATCTAACTTCCATCTCGGGCAAGGACCTACGCTATTTGGATAACATCATTCTCGAGGACCTAAGCAGTATAACGGATGTAAATTTTCCCCGCCTAACCAGGATACAAGATTTCGTACTACTCGGGCTTAACTCACTTCCACGCCTGAACTTCTCAACGCCAATTACCTCGATTAGGGTAGTTAACATTGTGAATACGTCTCTTACTACGATCGATGGGCTTGGCCTTGACAAAATCCAGAGCGCAGACTATATAACTGTTACGAACAACCCTGTACTGGAAAATTTTAGCTTGCCAGTACTTAAGGAACTAGCTGGACCTGCATTTTTCGTTCATAATGGCGAAAACTTCACAGTAGACTTACCTGTACTATCAACAATGATAGACCTCTGGCTAGATACCGTTTCTCATGTATCAATGCCCTCATTGAAAACGATCAACGGATCCCTTAACATGACAAGAGCGGATATCAACACCCTTTCGCTACCCCTGGTCCAGGAAATTATGGAAATAAATATCTGGAATGATTCGGATCTATACAACATCTCGATGCCAGAGCTAGCTTCAATTGGGGGCCGCATGCGCATTGAGGACAACCCGAGATTAGCATCACTTACACTGGAAGCACTTGCAAACATACGCAACGACACTACCTTGACGGGGAACTTTACTAGGTTAGCCCTTTAAGTGAAGCCGATCTGAACGAACCCATGCTAACATGAGCCCTTTAAGTGTATCCTTTCCAAGCTTACAGACGCTCGGCGGCCATCTCGATGTGACAACAAGCGAGGAGTTAGACTGCTCTTCATTTGAAGGCATGGCCAAGTCAGGGAACATCACAGCTGGATTACAATGCAACAGCGCAGGCAACTCTGTCAGCGTGGCACCTTCGACCCCATCAGAAACCGCAGATCCAACACAAGGCAATAATTCGCTGACCACAGGAGCCAAGGTAGGGATTGGTGTTGGTGTTGCCGGCGGTGTAATTGGGGCTACCTGCGCCGGGATCCTCGTTTTTATGCTCCGCCGCAACCGGCAAAAACGTCTGACAGTGGGCGAGACGGACAAGGACGAAACCCATCAAAAGCCCGCTGATGCTGTACCGCCAGATCCAGCACAGGAGCTCGGGTCAAGCAATATGCAGGAGTTGGAGGCCAGTAAGCCAGTGAATGAAATGGACGCGCCGAGAGGGATCGTGGAGGCTCCAGAACAAGAGGCTGTCGAGATGCCGGCAAATGAGCGTGTGGGTGAACTAGAAGGGGATACCCACCTGGAGAAGAGGACATCCGCTTAGAGGATTTGAAGTAAATAATCGTATTCCACAGGTATCCGGCTTGTCTTACACTACATTGTCTTCCCCAAAGTCTTTGACAACGCTCCGTGGCTCAGTGTATTCGCCGATTCCGGTGAAAGGGATCGCCAGTCCAAACCCGGAAGGTCCACCGACTTTCAACCCCTGCTCGGTCTTCCACAGTGGGTGTGAGGGCATCGCGATAACACTTACAACCAACCCGTACCGCAGGTCTTGTGATCCAATTGCTTCTCCATCTTGTCCCAAAATTGAGATCAAGTCCGGAACCGTGCATACAACTTCCTCGCTATCTGATCCTCCGGTCGAGTCTGTGTATGCGGCATACAAATATTCGTTCTGGAATGGGATGACCATGTGCTTGTCCCATGTCGGACTTTGAGGAAAAGATTCATCTTTCACTGGAGCGAGCAGAACGCTTCCCATGGTGTAGCCGCCGCTGACATCACGCCGTACGTCAACGACCTTGCCACTGAAGAGAAGCTTCCCGGGGTTGACGGCAAACTACGGGTGCATACGTTAGTTTTACCCCGAAAGTTTGAAGAGAACGGGTGGCAAGCAAGATCAAATCTTAAGTGAAAATAACTCACGATCGCATGAACATAATTGGTTTTCTTTTTACGCGACATGTGTACAGCACGTCCGATGTACCAGGCCTGCGAAATGGTATGCGGAACTCCATGCTCTCTGATGGCAGAGCCACGAAGCGGGCATGCGCACACTGCACATCCAAGCCCGAGTTCGATTGCCGTCGTCCGCAACATCGATTCTACCCGGGTAGGTGACTCTGCATTCTTCACACATCCATTAGGTTCTTGCGACAAACGTAGCAGAGCAAAATTCGTACCATGACGATTGAGGCGTTGCCACGAGCATCCGTTATCGCGGCCGGGGTTATTGGATGGCCGTTGATATACAAAGTTGCTGATCTGGTGAGCACTGGCTGACAAAGTATGTATATGATGGCATGCGAAAAACTCACCGTGGTACATTGTTGGATAGGCTCGTCCCATGGCGTCGCCATCGATGACTGGAACATTATACTCAACACCTGTGGGGAAAGCGGACAAACCATTTCCACCACCTCTGTAATGTTGTTAGTAGACAAACAGAAAGTGGGTATAGGAAAACGAACATTTCGTCAAGAAATAGAGCATCGAAGGTCTGGTATCCCTGCAGTTTGAGCAACGTGTTTATGCCCTTCGAGATCTCATGACCACCTGAGATTCTCTCGTTGATTACGCTCGGTGCGCCATACCAAGATCCAAAACAGATCAAATCGGAGTCTTTAACTGTCAATGGAGAGACCACACGCATCTTCCCTGCACCGCCTGATCGTAAAGTTTGAAGTGCTTTCAGAAGTTCGTAGTGAGTTGGACCACCGCCTCCTGTTCCGAGAACACCGGCGCCCGTTGCAATGAGCTCAAGATCCACTTCTGAGACATACCATACTTGATCCTTGACGCTTGGTCGATATTGCTCAAGGTCAACATTGAGAGATGGCTTGGTGGTCGGGTCCAGGGCATCGTGAAGCGCAATCTTCTTTCCTTCAAGTTCTTCCTCTTTATCATAATCATCGCAGAACTCAATTTCGTTGCTGTTTTTCTGGTAAGTGTTTCCTTCTGGGATCGACAACCTTCCTACTGCCCTGACCTGCAGCCGAATTGCCCGATTCGTGGAGTACTGCAGAGGAATCTTATTGACTTCAACGATTTTGACATCCTGCGGATCCGCTCCTTTGCGGATCGCTTCACTGGCCGCTTTCTGACACGCAGATGTGACGACAGCTTTTTCATCTGCGCCTTCAAGGATTTCGATGACATCGACGTCACCAGACACCTTGGCGATTGCTGCACCTACTGCATTTGCTGCATCGTGATGGACTGGTTTCGTCACTTTCGCAACACCTTCCAAGCTGCTGGATACTAGGAGAGAGCCTCCACCGACAAGAAGTACATGGACTGGTGCCGCCGACACCCTCATCCGCTCGATTACAGTCTCGATCATTTTCTTGGTCTTCTTACTCGCGAGTTCCACGACCTCACGAGGCACAGTCGTGGTGAAATTGCGGTCGCCAAGCTCAGCGTCGCCGGATGCCACCGCAATGTCGGTCATGGTAAGTGTAGGGCCGCCAAATACGAGTGCTTCAGTGGTAAGGAAGTGACCCACTGAGCCTGGCCCGATTGTCAAATCACTAGCCGCGGCTCCGAATTCGACTTTGCTACCACCTCCCAGGCCAATCGAGGCCACTTCCGGCATAAAAAACACGGTCCGTATACCACCCACTTCGACAAAGCCGGGAGCTTGACGAGGGAAGCCAGAAGGTAGTAATGCACAGACGTCAGTCGTGGTGCCGCCAATGTCAATAATGAGGACTTGAGATTCCTCTCCACCTCCGTTAACATGTTCTTCTCCCGTATCGGACACAGCCTTTGGCTTGTCCAAGCCAGCAAGGAAAGCGGCACCGGTCATACTATTCGTGGGACCGCTGGCAAATGTCTTGATCGGATAGTCCACTGCGGTGTCTGCTTCCAACAATGTGCCATCATTCTGCGAAAGATAGAGGGGACAGCTGAGGTCCAGCCGCGCCATAGCACGCTTGAAGCCGCGAATGGTTTTTCTTGCCGTACTGAGTATTGCCGCGTTCAATATTGTTGCATTCTCACGCTCGACGATGCCCGTGGTTCCAAGGTTCCGTGAGCAAACCACGTCCAAATCCGGTGCTGTCTCCAAGATAATCTTCTTGCATGCCTCTTCGTGGATTCCAGAGTGATCTAGGGGAGAAAAGACGCCCACGAGAGCAACACTACGTACTCCGGATGTGACGATGGCAGCTGTTGTCTTGCGTATCTGATCATGGTCCAACGGCGCGATCTGGCGACCATCAATTTCGAGACCGCCATCAAGGTAGTAGGCTCCCCCATCAAGAACGCGTCTCAGGCCGACGGTGAAGTCAGAGAAAGGCGGAATCTGGCGGGTAAAAGGGCCGCAGAGCCTGACGACGGCTACGCGGAAAAGCCGACGGGCGTCTGCTTCCACCAAAGCATTGATGAAGTGAGTCGTTCCGATGGTGACGCTGAGCACGCTTTGCTTGCAGACTTTGGACTCTGCGAGAACATTCTGGATAGCCTTCTCGATTCCGCTGGTTATGTCTGGCGTTGTTGCGGCTTTGAAGGAGGAAAGGACACCGCGGTTTGGGTTGTTGAATGCTGTGACGTCAAGGATTGCTGCGTCGGAATTGGTTCCGCCGACGTCGACGCCAATGCGGTACATAATTATGTACGTTGCCGAGTGCTGGCCCTGGTATGATGTGTTTCGTGTAACAAGCTGTCAAGCCTCAATCGAGCACTTCGGCGACATTTATATATAATTTATATGTGGGTATTTTCAATTTCAAAGACTCGTGCCTTAACGGCCAAGGCCTCCAATTAGCATAGATAACACAGTATTATGCCCATTCTGGAATGAAATAGAGTTTGTTGGAGCTTATCTCGGCACAGTGAGGTAGAAACCGATAGAGCGGTTCTCGGTTACATGAAGCGGGGAACCGACTGGGGGTCAATCTTGCTTGGATCTCAACCGAGCACCCTACTGGCGTTTGTCTTCTCTCTTCTATAGTAGACAGACGTTCGCATAGAAATGGTTTCCGAGATGAAAGATATCAATCGTTCTATCATCAAGCGGCTTGAACAAGGCCAGGCCGACTAGCTTATCGTTTGACTGGCCTGGTTTTTGACCATTATCCTCCCTTCCAGCCACCGCCTGTCACTAAGATCCTTTTCTTTTCAACCACTCGCTTTGGTTTGTCTGCCGAAGTACCCATACCGCCGCTATGGCTCTACGATCTTGGATTTCCCGAGCGCAGCTTAAATCTGTTTCGGGGTGGATCGTAAGTGGCTAGAGCACTCACTCTCCTTTGTTGTTCATTGTGTGACAGAGATCACTTAATCTAGATGCAGAGCTAATTCACATTTCAGAATAATGATATCCGGCCTTTGGAATCTGGGAGAAGAACTTGGAATTTTCTCACTTTCCACAACTACTGTAAGGCATCAGTGAGACGGCTTTGACACAAATATTGATTAAAAGGTACGAACAGGGCTTCTAGTTAACTGCAACATCACGAGTTACCTTACCGGTAGCGCGTTGATCCCGTTGGGGCTGACGTGGTGGCAAGCAGTCATAGGTAAGTCATTACTCAGAATTCATTGGCTTGCACTAACCATGTAGCCATTGTCGTTGGAAACCTTCTCGCTACGGTTGCCGTCGTTCTGAATTCACTCCCCGGAGCCTATTACCATGGCAAGTCTACACGGATTGAACTTCCACTCTCTTACTAATTATCTGAGTAGTTGGCTTTCCCGTCATAAATCGCACGGTATGGGGAATGTGGGGTTCATTATTCCCCGTATGTAACCGTATCTTCCTATCACTGATTTGGTACGGCTTCAATTCCTGGATCGGCGGCGAATGCATCTACCTGATTCTCCTATCCTGGGATCCAAACCTGGAGCAGCATATCCCCAACCACATGCCCGAAGACGTCGGCATGACAACCGCATCATTCGTGGCATACATCGTTTTCTGTGTGATATCCTTGCCGTTGATCTGGACCCGGCCCCATCGCCTCCAAAATTTCTTCTACGTCGCTTCGAGCATAACAATTATATTTTTCATCGTGCTATTAATCTGGGCCTTGGCGACAATGGGCCCCGCCGGCTTCGGCGACACACTGAGTAACAATACGGCAATCCCCAAGACTGGAGGTCCTAACAGCGTGAGCTGGCTCATGGTGTATGGCGTGGTGTCGACCATTGGCTCCATCTCGGCCGGCATCCTGAACCAAAATGACTACGCACGGTTTGCAACGAAACCCAAATTCGCTACCTGGGGCCAGGCACTTGTATTTCCCTTCTACGGTACTTTGACACCTGTAGTCGGCATTCTGGTCACGGCTGCAACACAGCACCGGTTCGGGGGCACCGCTATCTGGGACCCGCCGACTTTGTTCCAGCAATTACTGACACAGAACAACAGCGCAGGGACGCGCGCGGCAGTGTTCTTCACTGGGCTTTGCCTCTCCGTCTCACAGCTGGGTCTTAATGTCCCTGGCAATGCGCTTTCAGGCGGCTTCGACCTCGCCGCAGTGTTTCCGAGATACGTGAGCCTTCGACGCGGCGCCTACATCACTGCCGTCTTGAGTATTGCCGTCAACCCCTGGCAGCTAGTCAACACAGCCACCACGTTCCTAACCGTGCTGTCCAGCTACAGCGTCTTTCTGGGCCCAATGACCGGCCTCATGGTCTCGAGCTACCTGCTCGTCCACCGCCAGAAAATCAATGTTGACCACCTCTACATTGGCGACAGAACCAGCATCTACTGGTTCACATACGGAACTAACTGGCGCACAATTGTAGCAGTAGGTACCACTGACATCCACTAATCTTGAACAGCAGAAATACTTTTACAGTATCACTGACCTGCACAAACAGTGGCTACTCGGCGTAGGACCAAGCCTACCAGGCTTCATAGCCGCAGTCAACACATCCGTGTCCGTTCCGCCCGGTGCAACAGAGCTGTACTACATTAGCTACATCTATGGCTTTCTAGCTTCTGGCTTGGTACTTGCTCTTCTGCATTACATGTTTCCATCACCGCTGCAGGCACAATTTACAGATCAGCCGATTCCGCCGGCCGATATTCGCCGTATGTATCATGAGAAATGGGACGTGACGCTATTTGAGACTACCGAGATCCTGGAGGGCCAACCTCTTGACACTATCAAGGTGGATCACCCTAAGGTGCTCACTGAACTTTGAAATCCTCGAGAGTCACTGGATGTAGCACAAAACCCGACTACATCTCACTTCTCCCCCCTAGTACCTCTCAGTGTTACTCTCAGGCTCTCAAGCATGTCCTATGTAGAAATGAATCTGTGGCTTAGCTCAAGGCAGCTCACCGCTTGAGAAGGGTGCTTTTTTGTTGTTTCTTTTATTTCTGCTTGAATCTCAATGTTAAGCGTTACAGGAACTGCATTTCTCTCGCACAGCCCATACAATTATGCTTTAGTTATAAACTTTAGTGAAACAGGCTGCGGCAAAACATCATTCTTTACAGTGGTCAATGGCTACTCCTGTTTTTCGAAGTTATGCGGTGGTTAACTTAGCGAATGGCGACTTCTTGACTGTAGCCAGCTTATGGCTTTACAAGAGTTGAATGTTATAACCGAGCTTTTTTATAGATATTTAGCGATTGGAGCTGAATAAATATTAAGCCTTGTCTCGACTTCAGCGCTCTCATATTAAGCCATTACATCAGGTTGCCCCGAAGTTTTACATGCACGAGTAAGCTGACTGCTTGGCGCGTGCGACGCATTCACAGAATTATACAGCGCAGCCGCCCATCACCAGGCAACGAGCCTAATACACCGGCTGCGTCTGTGCTTGCATGCACAGCATTAGCGTTACAGCCTCGTTGGTTGCCTCTGAAACCGTACATAAGTGGAAGAAGTACCAACTAATTTTCAATATTGTATTCTTAAGTACCAATGCATAAAGACAACCGCAAACTAAAGACGCGTAAGAATGGAAATGTTGACGGTCAGGCCATATCAGGAGAAATCTCAAGTGGGCTAATGAGTTGTCATGTGCTCTCTGTGTTACCACGAACGGCTACTTGCAGAATTGCTTTACACACCATAGACCTGAAATGTTATCGGTGCGTCTGTAGGTTGTACAATGTTACAAGATAAACGTAAAGACCCACACATGCTTAAGCCAAGACCACCACAAAGATGTAAACGTTCGTACAAATGATGCACAACAGTCAACAGAGCCTTGTGTTACACTTTCCAAGCGGGGCGATGCGTCTTCTTTATAAACGGCAGCAGCGGCTGAAGTGAGATCTGATCCATCCTCCGTTGATCCGTCTTAAAACTCATAACTTTCCTGAGACTTTGGTCTCTATTTTGACTACCTTTTCGATCATGGAGCCTCTTCTTGATGATCTTCGGTTTCCAAACGTTTCCGGTTCTGGGCATACACGCCATCGCTCGGGGAGTACCGAGAGCATCGACTTTGACCACGGAAGCATCTCGAGTTTAGAGAGAAACAATCTAGTGCCAGAGATAGGGGAAGCCGACTGCAATATTTCAACCATTGCCGTCATAGAACAAGATGAGAACACCTCGTACGAGCTGGAAGAACTTCCAGGAAGTCCGACAACACAGCGATCGATGGCCAGCTCCAAGACAGTAGACCTACCAGCTAACGGCGGCTCGAAACAAAAGACCCACAAGACGTGCACCTACTGGCTTCGAAACTGGTGGGTGTGGGAGCTTGGCGGTATGATCATCAGCATTGGCTGTATGGTTACCATGCTTATCCTGCTTCCGTACCTTGACCACAAGCCAGTTGATGAGTGGCATTTCCTCATAGCACCAAACACTATGATATCTACGCTCATTACTATTTCGAAGACGTCCATGCTCCTCACTGTCGCGGAAGGTTTAAGCCAGTTGAAATGGCTTTACTTCAAGACCGCCAAGCGATCTTTACCTGAGCTCGACATCTTCGACGGCGCTAGCCGAGGGCCATGGGGAGCACTAATCTTTGTTTCTCGAATGTCAAAGAAGACTGGAGTTATCCTACCGGTCATAGGGTCTGTTGTCATGATCGCCTCCTTGACAATGGAGCCCTTTGCTCAACAGATCATTTCTTTTCAATCTAAACGAATTGAATTATCCACCAGAGTGGCCTCTCTACGCGTGGCCCATGAATGGAGCCGGAATTATAGCAGTAAGTGCCAACTCAAGAATACACAGAAGGGATCATCTACTAAAGTGCCAAACGAACTACAGGTAGCACACGTAACATGGAATCTGCCTTTATAAAAGGCCTAATTGGCTCTCCACCATCCATCCGCTTTGTTTGTTCTACTGGAAACTGTACGTGGTCCAATGTTTATGTTCTGGGAATATGCAGTGCATGCGCCGATGTCACTAAAGACACTACATGGTCAATCCAAAAATCGAACGAACTACTTCCTCCTATAAAAGACCATTATTTCCAGGCTAAGACTCCAAATAACGTTCTCCTCAACGTTAACCCTGGAGGTAACTGGAGTATGGTTCCGTATAATACAACGGTAAACGGATTGCCTTCGCTTCAACAACGCCAAAAGAATAAGGGTTCCACGTCTCAAAATGGCCCTCACTTGTTTAAACGCCCACCATATGCTTATATCGTGAATATTCCAAGTTTCAGTACCATAATAAGTAATTTTAGCCTCTGGGATCCCCTAAATTTCTCAAGTTCGAATGTTATCAGCATCGCAATCGCAAGAAACTTTGCAACAAGCGACGACAATATATTCGATACATTGCACATCGACAAAGTTAATATCACCGAATGTCAATTAAGTTGGTGTCACAAGTCTTATAGTCAAGTTAGCGCAGTAAGTGGAATCTATAACATGTTTTAATTCAGCTAACAAGTAGCAGATTAATGGGGTTTTACAAAATTTTACTACTGCTACTTTGCCATTGTCGCAGTCAGAATCGATCAGCAGTCTTTCCTATTTGAAAGCCCTTGTAGAGACACTAAGATCCGACTACAACGGTGATAATCGTCTTCCGGATTTCTGGCATTATACGTTCTCTGAAATTCCGATCTTTTGGACTTATATAGCCGAACAAACTCAATTCAACCATACCAACACTGAGATAATAAATTTTGGACCGGCCTCAGTTTTTCAAGAGACATCAAACATATCCACAGTGTTTGAGTCAATAGCCGAGAGCTTGACGAATCAACTTTTCCTCGGGCCCGATGGCGTAGATCAACCCGGAATCGCCTACTCTAACGAGACATACGTGGTAGTCCGCTGGGAGTGGGCGATTTTCCCCGTCCTACTCGTCCTCATCGGTGCCATCTTCCTGATTGCCAACTTATGGATCAACGGCCACCACAGAGTTCCGCTCTGGAAATCAAGCCTCTTGCCGCTCCTCTTTCATGGTTTGGAAAAGGTTGAAGAAGACTATTTCAGCATCGAAAACAAGGTCGAGATGGAAAAACTGGCACGGGGTTTGAAAGCACGATTGGAGAAGGATGACGCTGGTCTTACGAAACTTGTTACAGACTAAAATATATCTAACCTAGAATAATCTAATTACTACTATATTTTCTTAAACATAGCTGTTTTATAGCTTCTATATCTAATACGTTCCGCTACCTCTTGATAGTTTGAGAGAAATTTTACGAAGTAATTTAGTTCTCTTACAGTTCTCTACAAGACATATATTAGCCAACTTATAAAGAGACTTAACAACAAACGTCCTTGTTCCTCCAATGCGTTCTATTTCGTGAAGTTTTATATCTAAAAGTCATATTCAAGAAACAAATGCTTAGAAATATATGTAGAGAAATAATAAGACTATTCCTAAGGAACATTAAAGAGCTTTCTATCCGGAGGATTAAGCTCCCAAAATAGGAGTATTTCAGGCAAAACCAAGACCTCTAACAATATACGTGTATCGAGTCTTTTCAGTTTTCCCAAAGTCATACAGAGCCTTACTTCTTTCTCTCGCAGAGGGCCGGCATGTGGCCCAGCAAGCATACTTATACCAGCAAGGCTAGATTCCGCGACAGTATCTTCCTGCGCAGCTCATCTAATTGCGTGTCATCAACAAAGCCCAACCCCATTCTCGACGCAAACCGCTACCCAACCACCGAACGCACAAGCAGTGCAAGACACAAAAAAGCGCCAAAATCCACAAAATCCAAGTCTATACAAACACCCAAAACTCCAAACCCCATATACGTCTAGTCATCAGCTCTACACCATACACCAACCATCCAGCTCTACTTTTCCGAATTCTCCCATATCCGCCTCCAGCAACCTTCTACAACGCAAGCGACAGCGCATCAAGCGCCCGCCGCAGTGGGCAAGAACACGCGTTTCCGCTGCATTGGATGGATCCGCGTTAGTTCTGCCCTACATCCAAAAGAAGGACTGGAAGACTTACCGAGAGACCGAACGAAGCAACTAACGCCACTGCCGCGCCAACATACGCGAAGATGAACCTGCACGACTTAGTTAACTGACCACTCGAAAAGATAGAGAGAGCAACAAAACCTACGTCTTGGCCATATTATCTACAATAACATGCAGCGCCTCACGCCGCGTCTCCTCATCCAAGCTCTGCAGAACCTGGCTGCTAGCGCCCGAGATAGCAGCCTGCAACTGGTCGACCGGGAGGCTCGGCAGCAGGGCCTTGAGGCCGTCGGTAGCGCCGTTGATGAACACGGCGCTGCCGCACGCGAGGCCGATGGCTATGCCGCCGATTTGGGCTGGGAGCGTCATATTAGTTAAGAACACGGTTTTAGTTGTGAGCTTTAAGGTTGTAGGCTCTAGGGTTTTAAGCTCTGGGGTTTAGGGAACGAGCACCCACCGATCATCATGAAGCTGACGGCGTAGCCGAGGTCTTGTGGCGGGACGGCCGTCTGGATGACGGCGTAGCCGGCTTGCACGAAGGCGCCGCCGCCGAGGCCGAGCATGGCTTCGAAGCCGTAGATGTAGGACTGCGAGGTGTCGAGGTCGATGAGCGCTGGTGGGGAGTTAGAATTTGTAGAAGGAGGGAATTGGGCTTGGCTTACAGAGGAAGACGTTGGCGATGAGGGCGAGGATGGCGCCGAGGATGTACCACGGCACGTAGTAGCCGAGGCGGGACATCAGGTAGCCGTTTGTGAGGATCGAGAAGCAGAGGAGGAAGATTAGAGGAAGCAGCCGCACGGCCGAGTCCAGCGCCCCGTCGCCGCGCGAGAACTGGAAGTAGATCGGGATGTAGTAGATAGGGACGAACACTGCGCAGTTGCAGGCGGTAGCGCATATGAAGAGGAGAATCGTCTCTTTGTTCTTGAGGAACTGGACCGGAAACATTCTTTCGGTTGCGGTCGTGAATAGAGTCAGTCCTTGCTGTACTCCGAAAGCAATCCAAAGGACGCCGGCGACAACGAATAGCGCGATTATCTCGCCGCTGTCCCAGGAGTAGAGAGTGCCGCCGAAGTTGATGGGCATGATGGTCGCGACAAAGGCGCCAATACTGATGACGGTGCCAACTGAATCGAAATGTCGGAGTCTTTGGCCAAGGGCAATGTGCTTGGCGGGATGGAATCCAGGGAGTAGGAAGAACCAAATGGGAAAGAGAACGCCGCCGATGATAAGGTTGATATAGAACGCCCAGCGCCAGTTGACTTTCTCAAAGGCGCCGCCAATGACCGGACCGAGGACAGTGCCGAAACCCCAGACCAAGCCGCTTTATCTTTCTGTTAGCCTGCAGGTCTACAGGAGAAGCAGTGGGATGAAACAGATCACTTACACAAGACTGAGATAGGCGGGGCGTTCTTGCTCGGTCGTGTTGGTGGAGAGGAGTATCATAACGCCAATATACAAGCCAATGCCGCCGGCACCAGCAAAGACACGGCCGACAATCTCAGCATTCATGTTCGGAGCGCCGCCGCACAGAGCCGACGCAGCGAGGAAGATGACCATGGAGATTATGTACAGCCACTTGACGTCGAACATGCCGTAGAGTTTCCCAATGGGCATGATGACAGCAACACCGCCAATGTTAAAGCTTCAGAGCGTCAGCGAGTAAAGAAAAGTGTGAAGGAGAGCTTCGTACCCGACTGAAAGCCATCCGAGATCTTTGATGGAGGAGAAATCTTTTACAATGGCCGGAATGATGTCCGCGACAATGGTATTGTCCAATGCGTAGAGGAAAATGCTGGACAAAATGCTGACGACGACAAGGAACCACTGCAACTGGTCAATGACTGAAAAGTGGGAAATGTCGATTTTCATACCGAAAAGCCTTGTATCTTGCGGACAGGTAACTGCGTGTCAGAGGCCTGGCCAAGCTCGCTGGTGCTGGCCTCCTTGGACGAGTCGTTTCTGAACGAAGACTTGGCCATGGTTTCTTGGAAGAAGAGAATGCCCGGTACCGTCCACAAAGGCTTTGAGGAATTTCTTAAATGAGTGCGGCGAAAGAGAGGCTGGTGGAGAGGTGGGCGGAGACATGAGTGGGGACAAGGGTGTTGTTGGGCTTAGAAATGTCAGGCTTGGTCAGCGGGCGGATGGGTTACCTGAAGGAGTGGAGGATTGTAGAAGGAATTGTACCTTGTAGCTGAGCGGCACAGCTGGCGGCTGGGGTGGGGTGGGTGTGCGGCTGCATGCATGCGGCTTACGGGTGAGGCTGGCGCAGGGCTGAACCGCGTTGCCGGGTCGTCAGCCAACACATTCCAAATGGGGAACATGACGATTTCTAAGCACGTCTGCGACATTGCATACAAAACCCCCCGCTCGTCTTGCCAACAACAACAATCACAAACACCATCACCATGTCTCTCCAGCGCGCCATCCAGATCCAGGGCCCCAAGCTGGCCAAGCTGGTCGCCAATGCCCCCATCCCCAAGCTGCGCCCCGGCTACATCAAGGCCAAGACGGTTGCCGTGGCCCTCAACCCCACCGACTGGAAGCACGTCGACTTCCTTGCCGACAGCGGCGCCATTGTCGGCTGCGACTACAGCGGCATTGTCGAGGAAGTCGGTCCCGGCGTGAGCAGCTTCAAGGTAGGCGACAAGGTCGCCGGGTTCGTGCACGGCAGCAACCAAGACAACCACGAAGACGGCTGCTTCGCCGAGCACATTGCGGCCAAAGCCGCCGTGCAGATCAAGGTGCCCGCCACGCTGTCGATGGAGGAGGCCGCGACGCTGGGCGTCGGCATCACCACCGTCGGCCAGGGTCTGTACCAGTCGCTGCAGCTGCCCTGGCCCACGACGCCGGCCAAGTCGCCCTTCCCCGTGCTGATCTACGGCGCCTCGACCGCGACGGGCACGTTGGCCGTCCAGTTTGCCAAGCTCTCCGGCCTGACGGTCATCGCGACGTGCTCGCCGCACAACTTCGACCTCGTGCGCCGCCTGGGCGCCGACCACGTCTTCGACTACAAGTCGCCCACCGTCGGCGCCGACATCCGCGCCGCCACCAACGACAGCCTCGAATTCGCTTTCGACTGCATTGCGTACGAGGCGACTGCCGCCGTCTGCGCCCAGGCGCTCACGTCCAAGCCCGCCGTCGCAAAGTACAGCTCCCTGCTGCGCCTGGACGCGCTGCCCCGCGACGACGTCGCCAACCTCAGCACGCTGGCCTACACCGCCCTGGGCGAAACGTTCCACAAGGGCGAAAAGGAGTTCCCCGCTAACGAGGACCACTTGGACTTTGCGGCGAGGTTCTGGAAGCTGAGTGGCGAGCTGCTCGCCCAGGGGAAGGTCAAGGTTCACCCGTTGGAGGTGCGCGACGGCGGCTTGGACCGCGTCCTTGAGGGCATGGATGACTTGAGGAACGACAAGGTCAGCGGCGTCAAGCTCGTCTACAAGGTTTAGATCTGGTTTGCGATGGAGGCGGAGTCATGGAACGGAATATGCAATGCTTCAGTGTCACTTAGATTCCCCAGTCTCCTTTCACAGAATGAAGTCTCTCTGTCAATTCGTCTGGGAATGCCTTATATGCTGCTCGTTTCAACTGTTCCTCTTCCTCGTTTTGTCATCTTTCTTGCTTTGTACGTCTTTTGTTTGCACGTAAATGATTCAAGTCTTTGTTTTCATTTTACTCGACTGTTGGAGCTCGCTTTCAAAACACCGAGAGCGTTCCTGAGCTGTAAAGTTCGCACGAACCTGGCACAAACTTCTCAAGAACAGCGAAGCTAATTCTACCGATAACCAAAAACAGCGTATTCTCTATCGCAGGAAAATATAAACAACTCCAAGCCAGCCTATCTACAAAAACGCCTGACCTTATCCGCACCCCCAAATCCCCAACAACCACCCCCGATATGCATCAACACCCCTGCCCCCTCAAAGGTAGTACGCATCCGGATCCGGGCCCTGCAAATCCCACTCGACCTTCGTCACGCCTCCAATGCCCACCAAGTACAGCGTCTTCAAATCGTCCCCCGCAAACGCAATATTCTCAACCGGATGGTTCGTCTGCACGCGCGCAATCAACGCACCTCGCGGATCCAGAATATCCACCCCGTTCGACAGCCCCGACCCCACAACCAGATACCCGTTCGCGGCCACCTTCAGCCCGTCCGGACTCCCCTCGAGGCTCTGGAAGATGTTGCGCTTCCCCGCCAGCACGGGCACGCCGGAAGCGCCGTCCGGGCGTGTCACGTCCCACGCGTAGATGTTGCGTGCGTTTGTCGAGCTGAACTCGATGCGGATGGGGTAGGCGTAGAAATCGCCGGCGCCGCGGTTCTCGGTGCCGGGCGCGCCGACCGTCTCCAGGCCGCTGTCCGTGACATATAGCGTCTTGCCGTCGCGGGCGAACGCGATGCCGTTCGGGTGCTGCAGCGTCGCGTCCGCGACTTGCACCTCGCCCGTGCTGGGCCGGAAGCGGTATGTAGCCAGCTGGTTCGCGGGCGCGGATGGGGAGAGTCCCAGGCCCCATGCGTAGTCGCTGTCGGTGAACCAGATGTCCCCGACGCTGTCGACCGCCAGGTCGTTCAGCCCGCCGAACGCGAACCCGTGGTAGTTGTTCAGCAGCCACTCGGCGCGGTACGTCGCGGGGTCGACGCGCACGATGCCCGGGCGCTGCTGGAGCGGCGTGCCATCCGGGAGCGAAACGTTGCTGTTGGCGTCGGCATTGCCCTGCACGGCCCAGTAGATGTAGCCATCATGCAGGACGCCGCCCGTGGGCTGGTAGACCGGGGGATCCGTGACAAACGCCTCGACGGTGGGCGGGTCGTTGTTCAAGTCGATGACGATGTTGCTCAGGTTGCCTGGCGGCCCGTCTTGCGTCGCGAACAGCTTGTTCAGCCCCGCCACGTAGATGGGCGCCTCGTGGATCACGTTCAGCAGCGGGATGTAGCTGTGCGTGATCCGGGGCGCAGCGCCCAGCAGCGCGAGCCCGCGCTCTTTGTCGAAGACGACGAAGTCTGCGGTGGGCACGAGAGCCGCCCATGAGGCGTCGTCGGAGACGAGTGTCCCGCTGTATCCGACGTTCGGGTCGGGGTTGCGTGAGAAGGAGGGTGGCAGCACGCTGCCGTAGCGGTGGATGCAGGTGATGTTGGCGGTGGAGGGGCCGCAGGCGGCGGCGACAGGGACGGCGCTGCTGTTTGCTGCTGCTGCTGCTGCGGAGGAGGCGGTGGTGGTGTTCTGCGCGACTGCGGCGGCAGCTGCGCCGCCGATGCTGAGCAGCGCCGCGAGAGAAACGAGGGAAGCAGTCATTGTGGACGAGGTGCAGAGAGGGCGAGGAGGCTGAGGATGCAGGATGCGGGATGCGGTTCCAGAGGCGCTGGGTGTCGTCTTTTTATTCTCTCCCTCGAACTCGGCAGCTCTCGTCTCGTTAGGTCCAGCCCTCGCAGACGGCAAATCCTTCATGTGCACAGCCAACATGCGTGCATGCTATAAGAGCGCAGCAGTTGGTGGCTCAGAGTCGTTGCATCCTTCGACCTGAGCTTTTAGAAAGTCGGTGACAGGGGCCGTCCGTTGGGGACAGTAGGTCTCGTAAACAGCCCAAGTGGAGAAAAAGACGGTAAACAATGTCTTACGCTAGCAACCGGTCAACGGGCTGCGGATGTAAGCGAATGGATGACGCCCGGGGGGGATGGGATAAGCACTAGGTAAGCGGCAAGCCACGTCCCTGTCCCTGTCCCTGTCCTTGTCCCTGTCCCGGCCCTTGTCCTTGTCCCTGCGTCGGTAGCAGCCGATCTAAGACAAGGAATGCTTCCGATTGACGACAGCGCGCATGTTGGCGAATACGGACAATGCTTATGTATGTCTAACGTAGTAGTTTCTTTTTCCCCACGTCTAGTCTAACCGTCTAAGATTATAACACCCCAGCCCATGTAACCCCGCACCGCCCATACACCCGCGCCATCCACCGCCTATGCACCCAACCCCACCGCCACAAGCACACACACACACACACACACACACGCACTAACTAACCCTGCGACGCGCGCTTCAGCTGCTGATGCTGACAGCGGCGCGCAACGCTCAAAAACACAAAGCCCAAAATAACCGACGAGCCGCCATACAGCTGGGCATAGAGGTAATCGCCGTCGCCCATATCGATCAGCCTCCCGGCCAGCGGCGGGCCCGTCAAGCACGCGAAGCCACCAACGCCAAACACCATGCCCACGCGCGACGCGACCTTGGACAAATCCGTCGTCAGCTGCGACAGCGTCGACGGGAACAGCGTCTGCACCGCGTTGGAGCAGATGCCGTAGAGAATGACGAAGGCGTAGAATGCGCCCGCGCTGTGCACGCCGATCCACGCGAAGAGCATGACGCCTGCGCCCGCGACAAACGGCAGCAGCGTGTTGAACGTGCCAAAGTACGTGTCGGCGAGGTAGGCGGGGATGAGGCGCCCGGGGATCCCGACCGCGTTGAGCACCATGAGTAGCGTCAGCGAGCCCGACTCCGAAATGTGCGTCACTTCTTTGCCGAAGGTCGTCGTCTAGCGCTGGGGCGTTAGTTTCGGTGCGATCAGAGAGGGAAGCCAGGGGTCACTGACGTAGAAGTACGCAATGTACACGCCCCACAGCGTGAAGAAAATCCCAATCGCAAAGAACAGGTACGTCGGGTCCTTGAACGCGCGCAGATCGACCAGCGGGCCCTTGGAGCGCTTGAACTGACGCGGCCGCGCGAGCGCGATGATAACGAGCGTGTTGAAGAGCATCACGAAGCCCATGACGCGAATGGTCCAGGGATAGCCAATCTGGGGCGCCAGCTGGCGCGAGATGATGGGAAACACGATGCCACCGACCGGGGCGCCGCAGGCCGCCAAACTGAGCGCAAACGCGCGCCGCTGTGTGAAGTACGTCGAGACGAGGGCGATGCACGGCGTGAACAGCAGGCCGTTGCCGATGCCCTGCACGACGCCCTGCGCCAGGATCAGCTGCCAGTACGCCTTGACGGCGGAGGTCGCAAAGACGCCCAGCAGCTGGAAGGCGCAGCCGGCGAGCAGCACGACGCGGAAATGCCCGCCGTCCATGGCGGGGCCGGAGAGCGTGCCGAGGAAGAACAGCAGGAACAGCGACAGCGAGCCCACCCACGACGTGTCTGACGCGGACTTGTCCAATGTGCTCATCCAATGCGTCTGGAAGAGCCCGAAGGACGAAAAGTACCCGAACCCGTTCATCACGAGCAGGAAGCTCACGACCACTTGTGTCCAGGCTGTGAAGCCGCCGTTGAGCCGCACTGAGGGCGGCTCTGGCGCCGTGAACAGGTTGTCTTGCGACGGAACGCGCTCTTTGGAGAGGCTGAGTGTGGAGTCCTCTTTTGGGAGGCTGACGGTGGAGGTTTCCGAGGACGACATGGTCGAGGCGTAGGCAGAGACGTATGTAGAGAGAGCGAAAATCGAGAGGAAAAATCCAGTATGGTAGTGAATTCGAGAGCGAGGAAAGCCAGATACAAGGCCAAGGCCTTTAGCATACGACCTCGCAATAAGGACTGAACGCGCGCAGCAGATTTGTAAGTCTTACCCCCCACGCAGCTATATTTACCGCAGCCACTTCCTTCAGTGGGCCCTAGAGTAGCAAACAGTGACGAGAGCACAGAAAACCCAAGCGGGCAAGGGGGACAGCGCTAGGACAGCGCGCTCCTCCACCAACACGGCAGCAAACCCTGGCAGCAACAACAGCGGAGCCCGTTTTTGCGCGCCATAATTTACCTAACAGACCGCAACGGTTCAGCTACGCAGGCCGTAGTCAGCAAGCAGCTGAAACGTCGGCGACAACTAGCCGGTGAGGCTCATCCTTCTCAGCCACAGCGAAGCGTGGGCAGGTACCTGCATACCTACTCAGCAACACGAGGGGTGGGCGGCTTCTAGACCAGCGCGTGCGCCGACGCAGGAACCTGATGGGCTAAGCGTTCGAGAAGGATCGTGCGTTACTGTGTCCGGCGGTGCCGAATAACCTTAGAATAAGCCTGTAAGTGCGATGCGGGTCAAGGGTGCCACGGCGCTGTCGTTCCTTGCAACCTATCCCGGCGTGCCGCCCTGCGTGCGTCGAGGCTCAACATGTCTGTGCGAGGTTGTGCTGAGGCCTAACCGCCATCCGCTGCCGCGTTCCTGCAGGGCTGCAGTGGCTTAGGCGGGCCCTGTTCGCAGCCACAAAGCTACCTGCGTCCGTTTCTGGAAACCGGGCTCGACTGAGGGATCGGTTGGCTCTAGGGAACGGCGCTCCGCCCTCCCAAACCATCCTGGATTGTGGACGCTCCTCCCTCACCGTCTCCGTGCTCCCGCTAATGCACTGTCATTGTGTACCAACGGACAGTGGCCGGGACTCTGAATGTGTCAACTCGACACTCCAAACAAATCTCTCGCGGGCGTGCTCACGATGGATGGCTAAGAATAAATCGCTACCCCGGCTTCCGTCATCCGCGGCGCGCCCTACGGGGTCCGCAAGCTGTGTTGCGTCGAAGGATCGGGGAAGGGTTTGGTGCGTCGAGGGCGGACGTTCGAGGTTGATACTGACTGCAAGCACCCTCAGAAAGCTATATAATAGCCCGGGCTTCGGTGCAATCGAGCTCAAACGATCAACAGTCTCGACAGCAAGCCTCCAGTGCCTTCCTAGAAGCCTCATTACTCTCTTTGAAAGCTTTCATACTCATACCTTCATACCCGATCGTTGTTACGCAATCAAACAGACAAACAAACACAATGGAAGCTCGTATCATCTCCATTGAACACCAGCTCTCGAAGCTGGTGCACATCCAAAAGGTCCTCGTTTCCGTGCTCGGAAGCACTGGGCTCTCGTCTCTGCCGTTTGGCTCTGACATCAAGAAACTGCTGTCGGAATGGGATGGGCAAGCCTCTCAGATCCAGTCCTCCATCTTGAACACTCAAGAGGAGAGCTTTGAGAAGGAGAAGAGCCTCGAGGTCACTGTCGAGGAGATCCATGACTCTGGTGAGTGGACCAAACGGGATAAACAAAGCTGCCGGACCATCACTGATGCATTGCAAAGGCATCGCCACGCCAGAGGAAGTGCCCACGCCCGAAGAGCTCGAGAAACTCGCCAACGAGATCCTCGACGTCCTCGGCCGCTACGGGAAGCACCTCGCGCCCAAGGAGGGCGAAGAGCACGCCTCCGGCTGGATCGGCAAGCCGATGTTCGTGGAGAAAGTCGTCAAGCAGCTCGAGCAAGGCCAAGCAATCAAGATGATCCTGCCCGCCTTCCCCTGGAAGAGCGTACGTCTGCACGCGCGTACCCAAAAAAAGCCAAACCAAAATCACCACTAACAGCAAGCCCCGCAGATCAACAAAGTCGAAAAAGTCACCGGCGCCCTCCCCGACCTCGGCGAGGAGCTCGCCCTCGCCCGCATGAACCAGCTCTGCGACGACATCAAGGCCGTCTACCCACCCGGCGGCGAAATCCACATCGCAACGGACGGCGCCGTCTTCGACGACGTCGTCGGCATCCCGGACGAGGACACGTGGGCCTACAGCGAGGGGCTGATGGACATTGTGCGCGCGCGCGGCTACGCCCAGAACATCAAGATGCTGCGGATCATGGACATCCTGGGGCACACGGCGGGCAAACAGCTTGATAAGGCGACCTACCTCAGCCTCACGAAGCAGTGCCGCGAGGAGCTGCTGGCGTCCTATGGGCGCTCCGAGGAGGAGGTCCGTGCCATGATGCGCGAGGATAGTGATACCCTGCTGACGTACTGCGGGTTCATCCGCTTCCTCGAGTCGGACTTGCGCCATAGCGAGGTGGCGAAGACGGCGACCAGCGGGCAGAAGTTCCGCAAGTGCGTCAAGAAGGTGGCGATCAACATGATGATCCGCGCGGAGGTAAGCCAGCACACCACCCCACCCGCTCACGCTATCACTGACTGACTGACTTATGTGCGTCGCAGTCCTTCACCAAGCTCCTCCAGTCCGCATGCCCGGACTACGTGCGCCTGTCCATCCACCCCTCCACCGGCGCCGTCAAGCTCTCCGTCCCCCTCATCGTCACCGGCGCCGGCGACTTCCCGCGCACGCCCTGGCACAGCTGCGTCGCGCTCTCTGTCGACGGCAACTACAGCACCGTGCACAGCAAGAGCGTGCGCGACACGCACGTACTCGTTTGCCGCGACGACGAAGGCGCCCGCCCTTATTACTTCCGCGAGAAGTCGCCGCTCTGGGACTGGGAGGATGAGGAGGTCGTTTTCGAGCCCCGCTACCCGAATCGCCTTGTTGTGAGGCCGAGTAGGTCCGTTAGGGGCGCGAAGACGCTGAGTATGCAGCAGTTGGAGTTGTTGGCTAGCTTGAGGGAGAAGCATGTTGCTGGTGAGGTCGAGGTCGTTGGGTTTGTGAATGCGGCGGCGGCGGCAGCAGCAGCGGCAGCAGCAGCGTCTTGATTCCGGAAGGGGCTATAGTTTTCGTTTTTCCTTTGTCGTCGTTTTTCTTTGCATCGTTTACTCTCTTTTACTGTTTTATTCGTCTTCATTGTCTAAAGTCATTTGCATAGCTACATAGACCTGCTGGTTTTTTTTTTGCGCGTCGATGAGAACGTAGCCAAGGTTATCCCTTGAGTAGATTAGAAAGAGATTTGCTTTTGTTTTCAACTTCTACTGTTTTGTTAACGTGGGTATTGTAGTGATTGCTGGCTGCTGGAGCAATCAGTGACTTCAATGAGCCGTTGTTGGCTGGCATATTTTATAAAGTTTCACAGGACGTATACAGCGACGATATGAGTGTATGCACATAAGAAGCTCCATCTGTTTTATTCTCTCCATCTACTTCTTGCTTTTATAATGGTGGGGAAAGGAGGAAAGAGGCTTGGTTGATACAAAATTTCGTAAAATAAGATACGAGGTCTCCGGGTAGCAAAGCGGTGAAATGTTTTCGAAGTGTTTCGAGCCGCATATTTTGAACAAGTATATGATTGAATGAGTATATGGCTCAAGCGAGGTAGGTTTGAAAGGAGCATAACAGCTGAAACATTCTTTATAAACAGAAAACTGAGAGATCTAAAGCTATCCACACCAATGCACCTAAACCATGCTGTTATGCCAACGCTCATATGCAAGAACCCACTCAAAGCGACAAAACAAAGCCAAAACACCAAACAAACCCCTAACCACAAGCCGGCATCTCAAATACCCGCATCGATCTGGTTGACGACATTCTTGCTCGTCCACTCCTTCCAGTCCGTACACGTCTGCTCCATAACCATGGGAATCGCGCCTTGGGTCAACGCCAAGTCGTCGCCCCGCTCCATGATCATGATGTTGTACCCCATGCTCGCGTGCCACGCAATATGGCAGTGGTAGCTCCACGCGCCGGGGTTGTCGGCCTCGAACTGGATCACCAGGTGGCCGTACCGCCGCTGCATGTGCGTGTCCCGGCGAGCGGGGTTGGCGGGGTTCACGATCGTCGTGCCGTCCCATGCGCCGGGGCCTTCGGAGAGGACTTGCTGTGGCGGACGTTAGCAGGGGTTTTGTTTTGTATGGATATGGGGAGGGGCTTACGAAAGAGTGCCCGTGCAGGTGCATCGGGTGCGCCGACTGGTAGACGGTGTTGAGCACGATGCGGATGGTCCTGTTGGCGCCGAAGTCGTACACGTTCCAATCGGAGGGGAAGGACGAGTTGCCCTGGTCCGCGAGCAGCAGCACCGGCTCGTTGTAGTTCGTGCGCTGGGTGCGGTTATTCATGATCCAGACGTGGTGGCCCGTCTCGTTCGTAAACAAGTCGACCTCGATCGTCTCCGTGACATCGGGCTCCGCGACGGGCTTGGGGAAAAACGGCACCGTGCGATGCAGCTCGTCGTTCCTGCACAAAAAGTCCTTTGCGTTAGCCGCGGCGGCGGCGGCGCTGATCCTGCTGCGCGGCTCCTCTTGCACGGCCTCGTTGCCTTCGTACGACAGCACGGCCAGCGCCTCCGTCGTCCGCGCTTCCGAACAGTTCGCCGAGATCGTCGACCGCATCCAATACGTCTGGTTGGGGTCCGCGTCGGCCGTGACGAGGATGTCGGTGCGCTGCGCGGCGCCCAGCGTGATGAAGTCGGCTTCGTACGGCACCACGGGCTCGAAGTCGTGCGCGATGACCTGCATCTTGTGCCCGTCGATGCTGAAGTGCAGCAGCGCCGCGGCGCCGATGTTCATCAGCCGCAGGCGGTGCACCTTGCCTGGCTGGAAGCGGAATTGCGCGCGGCCGGCGTTGGACACGCACGTCGCGTTCCCCGTCGTCGCCATCGAGCAGTTGTAGTTGTTTTTGCCGTTGATCAGGTTGTTGTCCGATGCTGGGACGTAGACGTGGAAGTCTTCTGTTGCTCTGGCCGCGTCCTCTACGACTTCAAAGTAGTCGCGGTGATAGTGGTCGCCGAGGAGGAGAGGCCCCACGTCAACATCATATGGGGCATGCTTCGGCCCATAGATAATCATAGGCCCAAATGCGCCTGCTGTGTACTGGGCGGAAAAATGCGAATGCCACCAGGAAGTGCCGTAAACGTCGGCGCGGAACCGGTAAGTGAAAGACGATCCGGGAGCAATGGGACACTGCGAAACACCAGGAACACCGTCGAACCACTGGGTTCCCTTCATGGTGAGGCCGTGCCAGTGGAAAGCAGTGCCCTCCCCAGGGCCGTCAATGTTGTTATGAACTCGCACCTCGATCATATCACCCCAGTTGGCCTCAATGGCCGGACCAGGAAACTCGCCGTTGACGAAAATGCCGCTCTTGTTGTAGCCATCCGGGGAAAGATAGCCGCGAGCAACATTGAAGTCGTAGTATCTTGTGACTCCTGTGTTCGGAACATCGCCATATGGATCGTTGCTAAGCCCGCTCCTGTCTCCCCACGGGAAGCCAGCCGGTAGCGGATTGGACGTGAGGAAATCAGGGAAGGTCTGACACCCCAAGGTTCCCCATTTCGATGCTCCGTTTGTCCTATGCTGAGGCAAAGATTGGTTGAAACCCCTGTAGCAGACTTGTCAGCGGATCGGCAAATGATACATGTATTAGATAGACACCTACGTGGCCGAGACACCAACGGTGAGGACAGAGGCAAGGTAGCTCCAGAGCGTTGTACACTTCATTATGGCGATGACTGTTGATACTGTTGTGCTACTGACAAGCCGCATCCTCTAAGGGCATATTTAAACCACAGAAGTCATTATACGGCTTCCAAGCTCACGCGATACTCTATTCTCAGTACCTTTCACCGGCAGCGCTTGAGGCGTTGCACCTAGCAACGACCTCTCTAGACCGCAACCACACAATCCTACGTGTTGTAGCCAAGCGCTTGGATACGAGAGAAGAATGCTCACGGATGGATGACAGTGAGTTGGTACATGGGAATAACTCGGGCCAAGAACAGCCACTTGCTGCGGACTAAACAGCCACCAGGCGCGCTCTCCGGCGCTGGCGCGAAGGAGGCGGAGTCCTTCGTTCTGCGCATGGAGGAGCATAGAAGCGTCGGCGCATAATTGATTTGCCGGTAGAAAGATCGAAGGATTCAAAGGAACAGAAAGCTGACGAGCAGCTCTGGCCAAAATACCGAAAGAGGCTCTAGTCATGGCTGGCTGAACGTGCCGAACACCCCTGTACCGAGCCACGCTTACCTGCAAGATCTCGCATCTACCGGTGACCGGTGTAAGATCCGTAAGATGCTCGAGTACTCGCCTGCGTAGGAGCCTCTCCCCTGACAAGGCTGACTCAGATGCTTTGCCCTAACCAGACAGGAAACTCTCGGTAAATCTTTACCGCTGTTGTACGACTAAGCCCGTGCCTAGCAATGAGGCTCTTCGCGGCTATTATCTCACGTACAGGTTCCAGATCTTGTGCCTCCTGCAGGGTCCACAGATCCATGCGTGAGATCCATTGCCCTAATTAGGCGAAAACTTCTCGGAGCTTCCTTACCGCTGGTGTGTGAGCTTGGCCTTGCTTAGCGCCTCCAGCGGCTTGCACCCGTGGGGGCTGTTACCCGTTCCTGTACGACATGCCCTGCGGCATCCATTGCTGAAATTCTCAGCGCCACACATAATGTGGGAGCCAAGCTGCACAGCCTTCAGCTGAAGCCACGGAACAACCCCCGGGAAGCTTCAATCCTACTTAGGCAATTTTGCAGCTCCTATCCAGGCCTGTCAGCTCCTTTGAATCCAACATCTCATGATAGAGCTCCATTTTCAGCCACAACTGGGCGAAGCAAAAGCTGCAAAGCCGGTCATCTCCAAGAATACCTGGGCTGTTGCCGTGTTGGCTCCCAAACGGTAAACCTTGAATCTATTGATGGCGCAAGCGCTGTTGGTGAGGACGCTTAAGCCCAACACTGACCCTACAGTCTGAAAGTGAAAGAATGTATATAGAACCATGTGTTTGTAGGATAGTGAGGCCCCAATCACCATCCACTCAAACTTATCTCATTACACTCTCACTCACCTCATTATCATCACCCTCACCGATATGTTCGCCAGGATTCTAGCGGCGCCATTGCTTTGCGCTGCTCTGGTGCAGTCTGCCCCGCTTACCGCGCGCAACGAGCTGTTTGCGCGAAAACTTCTTGGTTCTTCCTTCGGCGTCCCGCAGGATGCGACATTCGATTACGTCGTCGTTGGCGCCGGCAACGCTGGACTGACAGTGGCTGCACGGCTTGCCGAGGACCCTAGCGTGTCTGTTGCAGTCATCGAAGCTGGCAGCTTCTACGAAATCGAGAACGGAAACTTGAGCCAGATCCCCGCTTACGATACCAAGTGGACTGGTAAAGATGCTGGTGATGTGAACCGCGTTGACTGGGGATTTGTGACGACTCCGCAAGAGGTAAGCTGCTCAAAGGAAATTTTGTATCGGTCTTGCGTTTTAACAGTGCTCTAGGAGCTGTTGGACAAGAAGGTCCACTACGCCCGCGGAAAGACGCTGGGCGGCAGCACAGCGCGAAACTACATGGCGTACCACCGCGGGACGGAGGGCACGTACAAGAAATGGGCCGAGCAGGTGGGGGATTCGAGCTACACCTTCGAGAACTTTGCGCCATTCTTCGAGAAGAGCTTGAACTTCACTGCACCCAAAGACAGCCGTGCCTCGAATGCCACGCCCGAGTACGACTCGGATACACTCGGCAAGGGCGACGGTCCACTGTCGTTGACTTTCTCCAACTACGCGAATGCCATGGCCTCGTGGGTGCAGAAGGGGTTTTCTGAGATAGGCATTCTGCCTCAGAAGGGCTTTACGAGCGGTCAACTGAACGGATCTTCCTATGTTCTCGAGAACATCGACGCTACTCTACAGACCCGCGAGTCGTCCGAAACTGCCTTCCTTGAGCCCGCTCTGGATAAGACGTCGCTGATGGTGTACCAATCGACATTGGCCAAGAAGATTCTCTTCGACTCTGAAAAGAAGGCAATCGGCGTTCTTGTGGATTCCGATGGGCTTCAATACACCCTGTCCGCCAACAAAGAAGTCATTGTCTCGGCCGGCGCATTCCAATCTCCGCAGCTCTTGATGGTGTCCGGTGTAGGCCCCAAGGCCACTCTCGACAAGCACAACATCCCCATCGTCGCCGACAGGCCTGGCGTCGGGCAAAACATGTGGGACCACGTGCTGATGGGCCCAAGCTACCGAGTCAACGTAATCACGTCGTCGGCGCTTTCGGACCCGGCGTTCCTGGCCGAGGCCGAGCAGCTGTACAACGAGCGACAGGAAGGCATTCTGACGAACTCGGGCGGCGACTTCCTAGCCTGGGAGAAGATCCCGGCGCAGATGCGCGTGGCGTTCGACAACGACACGCTCGGGGCCCTGGCGTCGCAGTTCCCGGCCGACTGGCCCGAGGTCGAGTACCTGAGCATGAGCGGGCACTTGGGGTACCAGGAGAACTACGCACGCGACGCCCCCAACGACGGGTATAACTATGCGACCGTGTCGACGGCGTTGGTTGCGCCGCTCTCGCGCGGTACCGTTGATATTGCGTCGGACGACATGGCTGACGCGCCTGTTATCGACCCGCGCTGGCTCTCGCATCCCGCTGATAGGGCTGTTGTCGTTGCTGGCTACAAGCGCGTGCGCGAGATGTTTTCCTCCAAGGCCATGGCGCCCGTCCTGATCGGCTCAGAGTACTTCCCGGGCGAGGAAGTCAAGTCCGACGACGAGATCCTCGACATTATCCGCAAGACGGTGAGCACCGTGTACCATGCCGCGTGCACGTGTAAGATGGGTCGCGAGTCGGATAAAAACGCCGTGGTGGACACGAAGGCGCGTGTTTTTGGTGTGGAGGGCTTGCGCGTTGTCGACGCGTCGGCCTTCCCGATTCTCCCTCCCGGCCATCCTGTTGGCACTATTTGTAAGCGACCTGAATGCACCGTGAAAAGAGCCTGAAACTAACATGTCTCGCAGACGCCTTGGCTGAGAAGATTTCCGACGACATTTTGAACAAAAAGGAATAAAGTGACTGGGCTGTAATCCGTAGATATGAACAAAGACTCGTAGAATGTTTCTATAGATTTCCTTGCATAGAACAAAGAATAAAGCGCCTTACAAATCCGTGCGACACAACACAAAATTCCCGTGCGTAACAGAATCCCCACATCCATGTCCTTGACGGCGTAGCGCCGCACGCGCCACCTTAAAATGTCTTACATGCATACGGACTAGTAACTAGCGCGTGGGGGATTTACCAACGCCTGCGATGCATCATCTCGCCAGCTCGCGCCGCCCCGTTGGTGCCCGCAAGGCGTAAGCACTAGCTAGCCATTTCAAGCCCGTGACGGGAGCGGCAGCCTAGCCGACAGCGAAGAAGGTACACCTTCCTGTTCCAGACATCGCTCCGCCATCAGCCCTAAATCAGCCCTGCATTCCTTCGACTGCAACACACATGCATGCTGACCAATGTTCTTGGGGTCCAAAACCTCAGCTGCGCCTCATGTTGCTCTTATAAAATGCTGGAGAGTGTGCCTGCTTCACTGCTATCCATCTTCTCACAGCTTTCTCATCTCTCTTCCACTTGCATAACACTTCCGCACCTTTCTCTACTCTGCAAACCGCTTTCCCACCTCTACCTATCACTCTATAAATCACTCCCTCGTCTCTCTCCCACTGCAAACCATTTCTCCACCCCACTCCCGCACAATGACTACCTACCTCGTCACCGGCGCCTCCCGCGGCCTCGGCCTCGCCATAGCCGAGATCCTCGTCAACAAGACGGACACCAGCAAAGTGTTCGCCGCGGCGCGCAGCGAATCCGCCGGCATCAAGAAGCTAGCCAGCGAGACCAGCGGCCGCGTCGAGTTCGTCCAGCTCGACATCACGTCCGAGGAGAGCGCGAAGAACGCTGCCAGCCAGGTGGAGCAGTCTTTGAACGGCAAGGGCCTGGACGTGCTCGTCAACAACGCCGGCATCATGAACTACACGCCCAACGGCATCGACACGATGTAGGTCCCCAGACTCTGTGTACGTATTTTTCTTGGCTAACGCAAGCGAAAAGGAACGATCTCGACGAGACGTTCAAGATCAACGTCACCGGCGTGCACTACGTTACCAGCGCCCTGTTGCCGCTCTTGAGGAAGGGCAGCTTGAAGAAGGTCATCAACATGTACGCTGCCCGCTGCCAGGCACCCACTCACTCACTGTCCTATGAAAAGCTAACACATCGCTCCAGCTCCACGACGCTGGGCTCCATCGCCATGGCTCCCACCTACAGCGTCTTCCCCGTCCCGGCCTACAAAGTCTCGAAAGCGGCGCTCAACATGCTCACCGTGCAATACGCGCAGTCACTCGCCGACGAGGGCTTCGTTATCGTCGCTATTGCGCCCGGCGTAAGTGCCCCTATCAAATACAAGTTTCCATAACTCTATGGACGTCCCTTGCCCGTTTCGCCTTTTGGGGGGTTTGAGAGATCAAGGCTAATGTCTTCGCACAGTGGGTGCAGACAGACCTGGGCGGCGAGGCCGCCGACCTCACGATCGAGCAGAGCACCAAGTCCATCACGGACATCCTCGCCCGCGTGGATGCAAAGGACAACGCCAAGTTCTTTAACGTCCATGTTCCGGGCTGGGAGCACGCAGACGGCTTGAACCAGTACGATGGCGCTTGCCCTCCGTGGTAGGTGCGCGGCTGATGGTGCTTTTGTCTGTGTCCCTCTTTTACGTAGAATATGCAATAGATTATAGACGCGGTGTTTTGTTGGTGTTTGTCGGGCTGCAAATTGGTACATGTGTTACTATTGCCTAAGGACTTATAAGTGAGATGGAATGGCGTGCGTACGGTTTTAGAAATTGCAGGGTAGTGGATTGTTGACATTTTGTTTTATACACTGCTAGTTTACAAGCCTGCCCAGGCAATCCCAGCATCACAATATAACCATTATTCATTATAACCCATGACCCAAGAGCAACCACTCTTCGTCCCTTCTTCCACTTAGTCAACAAAAAGATCCTCAGCGGTAGCCACCGCCTCACGCTTATCGTTTGCGCCGCAGCGGTTGACATCGCAGTTGACGCAGCAGCGCTTAGCAAGCTTGGCGGCGTCGTCGGCGGCGGGAACGTCCCCAGCAGTACGCTCCGCCTCATGGTTTTCTTTGGTGCCGCACCGGAGCCTCGGGTTCATGCTGTTGACCGTGCAGCGCTTGCTGAGCATGGAGTCCTCGATGAAAATGTCCTCCACCGTACGTACAGCCTCACGCTTGTCATTGGCGCCGCACCGGAGCCGAGGGTTCATGCTGTTGACCGTGCAGCGCTTGCTGAGCTGTGGCTGCTCGACGCCCGAAAACGCGTCGTCCAGCGTGCCGAAGACGGCGCGCTTCTCTGCCGCGCTCGCGCCGCACCTAGCGTAGGGGTTGTCGCAGGTGATGCAGCAGCGCTTCTGGAAGTGCGGGTGGTCGGCTCCGGCGAGCGCGTCTTCGAGCGTCGGCACGGCCTCACGCTTGTCGTTGCTGCCGCAGCGGTTGACATCACACAGGATGCAGCAGCGCTTGCTGAGGGAGGGGTGCTGGGGGAGGGTTAGTGCGGGTTTTTGTGAAGTGGTTGGGCTGGAGGACGTGCGTTGTTGCTCTCGATGGGGGTGGCTTGGCCGAGCATGGCGGTGCCGAGCATGATGCTGGCGCTGATGATGGAGGTATAGCGCATGGTGGCTTTGGATGTGTGTGTTTGAGTGGTGGGTTTGGTGAGTGACGAGACAGTTGCTGATGTAGGTAAATCGACATTGTGTTCAATGTTCTTATATCCAAGCAGTGTTGTACCGATATCGGTGAGCGCGTGAGTTCGTATTTGCTTGATAGCAACTCGATCCCCATCCTCTATAACGTAAGAGCATCTGCTGCCGAACGCCTTGCAGCATTTTCTCCGATTAATATATTAACTTTGACTGAGGGAAAGTGCGCATGGGTATAGTCATTGCTCTAATAGAGACAACAACGCAACAGCAAGAGACGGAACAAGATACGCCACACAGACATACAACGAGAGGAGGGAATTGTACTCACAGCAAGCAACTTCAGAGCCAATCCCTAAACCGCTGAACTTACACTTACAGCGGGGAAACACGGCACTCGTTGGATCCGCCCTGCCTAGGTACAGACACGAGACGGCCCGAGAGAGCAGGCCATGATCGGCCATCTGATAACCCAATCTCAACGTTGTCCGACTGGCATCCGGCCCGATTATTTTTATCTGATGCTCGGGGGACGCCGCCCGTCGGACGACGTCAGGCCCGAATATCCGGGGAAATGCGGAAGGTGTAAGCGCTTGCGAGGTGTTACTCGTACGTACTCGTAGGTTGGTGGTTGTCGTGTCTGGGCTCTGCTGTAAAGGGCTCTGCTGCAAAAAAATGTCATCGTCATCGTCACATGTTTAAGCGAGGTGCCACAACGCGCGATCGTGGGCGCGACGCGGCGACCCATCTCTCCCCCGCCGTAACACTGCACCACCGCCCTCCAGGCATGATGCTTTTGCACCTACAAACACGCCACCCAGTGAGGCAGCGGCAACCTCTATCGAAACATGGCTGAGCGGTGTCGCCGACGCCCACCATGGTCTTCACTGGCCCTTGACCCGCGCCCGCGTCAAGACGCACCCGGAGCCTGTCTCGCCACCAGGAACTGCAACGTTAACCATGGGCTCGGCGGCCAGCCTTGAACACCCTACACAGACCTGAGGACTACCGCCTATGCCGTCGCAATTCTCATCTATCGCGCGAACAGCCTGACGCGTATCAATCGCGCGACGTGCGCATACGCTTGACCGCTTCTGCGGACGACGCGACTGGATTACAGGATGGCATAGAGGGCGTTGGATTATACGGGAGCTGCTATACTCAGGCACCGGGATCATGCTGGGAACTCTCCAGGTAAGCGGTCATTGGACTGTGATTGACAAGGCCTTTGGACAGGAAACCATCACGGCAGCTTTGCCCTTGGGCTTGACTCCGGAGTACGCCTGGCTCCCACAGGCCGGGCAAGCCAGAATGTGACGGATATTTGTGGGAGACGGAAAGAAGGCTTCCCGACAAGGCCCAATCTTTTACAATTTTGACAGATGCGCGCGGCGCGCCCTGAGCTCCTCCCGACTGTCGAGAGCCGCGAGGACACAACCGTGGAAGCAGATCTGGCCATCTCTATCGCTGTCGATGCACCCAGCACCGCGCTAATCTACGATGCGTTATACCTGTCACATCCCGTCGTGTCACAAAGCCAGATGTCGGACGAACGCGTACGACAACTGGGGAGTTCAAGATGAGGACTTGGACATACAGCTCATGGGTTGGATAATCATTGGCATGAATTGGAAACTCCACATCTCGTACCGGGACACGACCACCGAAGGTGTTGCCGTGCCTCGGCAGGTTCATGTGGGTAGTTTTAGAGACTTGTTAGGATCTCAAGCTGCTCAGGACTGTGGCTGCGGTGGAAATGGGCAAGGGACGAGTATCTGCATGCGTTCCAGGACATCATGGGTTCCCGGGTGACTGGTATCGTATCTCGGGTTTTTCAACGAACGCCACATTTGATTGGAGCTTCAGAGGCGACTGCGCACGTCTGTGCCTGTCTCCGAGTAAGTTTGAAAAAGTCCTTATCCCTGTCTTGTATAAAATCAAGCTCCATAACGTAGAGCTAGCTGGGAACCGCGGCCTTTACGCCTCGCAGGCGCCGATCGAATTACCCAATGCGGATTAAGATCTAGTCCGTTGCTTGCCGGCGCGGTACTAGTCAGGAACGGGCCGATTGGTGCTTTGCAGCAGGATGATGCGGATCAAAAGGTGAGAGATATTGTACATAACGTTGTGTTGCGATGCTGTAGACGCGCGCGCACGATGGCAAACTGTGATTGGGGTGGCTAGGCGAAGTGTTATTTTTCCTTTTTGTGTCGCTGTTGCTATTGCTCGAATGCGGAGGGAATGCTTCCGGAGCATTCTATCTCAACTTGTTGGATCTCTGGCTGCTCCTCTTTCTCCTGAGATAAGTATTTTGGTGTCAACTTGTCCTTACTATACGTAACCCCTCTGAGGGACTGGTCCTCTTTCGGCAATCCGGAATATTCGTCCCGCCTAACATTGTCATCATCGTGGCCGTCCACGTCTTTTATCACTTTTCAAGTCCTCTGCTAAGTCATCGGCTTTTAAGATAGTCTTTTACTTGCCTTTGGTCTCTTCCCCGCTGTCATGTTTACACGAGTCGGGTCATTTGTTTTGCTATTCTCAAGCCCCATATCGTTGACATGTCTATTATAAACTATTGCTAGGACCCTTGGGTATTAGCTAGGTGAAAGCGATTTTAAATCCTTTATGCTCGATGCGAACAATTTCCCCCTCACATCTACCGGGTGGTACAAACTGAATTCGAGACTCCATGAAAAACAGGCCACAGACTACAGCGACAAACGTAAACGCCATCCCAAAGGACATCAAGTAATTCATATCCTCCTTATAAAACTCCAGCGCCGCGCAATGCTCCCCAAGGACAGCAAGCAAACCAGACAGGCAAGTAATAATTCCTTTTAGGCCAATTAGCGCTGATAACAGCACAACTTAAAAGGTCCTACTTACCGAGTTCGCGTGCTTTAGGAAGGCTGAAAATGATCAAACGAAGGAACAGAAGGAGCAACAAGACTCCACAAACCACAGGGATCCCTGTATCGCAAGTCAGTATACACAACACCAAATATAATGACTAGGTCAAAATACAGTCATTGAACTGCCCGCCAAATGACTCCCGCCACTCCTTCACCGTTCCTCGAGCACGGCCTTGTACAGCACGCCGCTAATGCCGGCGCCGAAAAGGGTCTCGAAGCCATCCGCGCTCGCGTCGCGAAGTGCCTGCCCGCTTCCGATCTGCTAGACGGCGACGCGGCAGGCGGCGAGCTCGGGCACGGCGTCGTAGCGCGTGACGAGGATGTCGCGGAGGTATTCTCGGATTGCGGAGGCGCTGGCGGTGGTGCTTGGGAGCGCCATTGTGGGACTTGAGAGGATGTTGGTGGTTTGGTTTGGTGCGGTGCGTGAGGGATGGGGGTTTTTGTATGGCTAGGGTTGGTGACAGGTGGCGTTCTTGGTTTGCGCTGTGGTACTGGGTAGGCAGAAGTTGGTGGTGCGCAAGAATGATGTGCTAGCGGCATAGGATTTGCGTTTGGATGAAATACAAACCAGGTGTTTTCTGGACTAGCTCAGCGAAGTGAGAATCGTGTTGTTTACCGTCTTTGCAGCTTCGCTACCTTAGACTGAAGTGATTACGAAGATCTGTCATGTCTAAGTATCGACCCGGAGCTGAGCTTCGACAGCAGGAATCTGCAGCGGAAATTGTTCTCCACCGTTTCCTGCATATCTGCTGAAGACTGTAAAACTGTTGTGGATAGTTCCAGGCAAGCATATTTCATACCAACGACTTTGCCTCTAAGTTCTCTGATACGAGCAGCAGTGAAAAACGGTTGTGCTGCTCGTAGTTGCATTATAAGTACTGATATACTTTCTGTAGATGCGCATCTCGTTAAACGGCTTGGTAAGACAAGCAATATGCAGTGTTGGTTAGCCCCACAATTGCTTACAGATCACGATGTGTAGACACGTATGATATTACACGCGCTGAGGTGAGAAAACGATAAAGCGGAAAGGGTCTCGTAAAATGAGAGTGGAGAGACACATTCTATTCAACGGAAATCTCGGAAGTACGAAGAGAGCATTGGAAAAGTTCGAACAGAAGTCCATAGTCATTCCATATGGCCATTCTAGACTTCTCACTTTATAGTTTTTATCGCGTCTAAGGCAGGTCTGTAGCATAATCCTTTTACTCAATTACTTAGGCATAATGAAACGGTTTGGAGTTCAATGAAGTCGGCGACTATGGATCCGCCTTCCCGCGAGCTTCCGCCAAATCCTACATTTTAGCTAAGCAAGGCAGCCATCATCTCAGCTGATATTCCTTTTGAATGGACGGCATCGTGTATAAAGTCTCGTTTGATGCCGGTGTCACCAAAATCTATCAGTTAGCACCGCTAAGCCGCTCTTCTATTATCAGGGTACAAAATGCCTCCGTTTCTAGAAACTGATATTGAAAACTCCACCTCCGTCGAGAGGCCCACCACGGATCCCGATCCGTTGTTTTGGTGGAACACAAGCGGTCATGACCTCACCAAGATGATGCAAGAAGCAAAGTACCCGGAAACCGTCCAGCAAAACTTTCTGGGCTTCTACCGCGACACGATCTGCCCACTGCTGGGAGCTCGACCAAATAGCAGCTCCATCGGAAGTGGACTGTCTCGGGACGGCAATCCATTCGAGTACAGCTTCGAGCTGAAAGATTCCGCTGCAGGCCAAACCGTTCGTTTCTGCGTCGACCTTTCCGAGCTGCGTCCCTCCAACAAGACCAACCCTCTCAGCATCGAAGCGACGCAGAAAGTCGTAGATGTTCTTCAAACAACAACACCCGGCTTCGACAACAAATGGTACCGTCACCTCAGTCAATGGTTCCTGCACCACCACCTCCCCGCCTCGCAGCAACAAGATTTGATCGCCAAAGCCGGGCAGCACACATCACTGATCCTAGGTTTCGACATCCGCCCAAACCCTCATGAGCTGGACAGCCTCCCCGCGCTCGCGAAAATCTACTTCACGCCCTGCGTCGCCGCCGCAGCTAAGGGCATCACGCGCTGGCAAGCCGTGCGCCAGGCAATCCGACACCTGCCAGACGTCGGCGCGCACCCGAATATCTTGGCTTCGCTGGCCAAGATCGAGGACTACCTCGCCGACAAGCCGCAGCATTTCGAGCATACTGCACGGTACCTGGCTACTGACTTTGTGGCGCCGGCGCAGTCGCGCTTGAAGATCTACATGCGCTTCCCCTCTGCTGACTTCGATGCGATTTGGGACTTCTACACGCTCGGCGGACGGATTCCGGGGTTGGCTGATGATAAGCAAAAGCTGAGAGACCTTATGCAGCTCATATCGGGTGGTGAAAACAGCGGCGCTGACAGGGAGATGGAGAACCCGGATAAGTACACCGCTGCGCGCAAGAAGGCGACGGTTTTGTACTTCTCGCTTTCTCCGCGAAGCCCCTTTCCGGGGCCGAAGGTGTATTTTTGCCCTGCCAACACGGCAGCTAATGACGCGGTAATTGCGCGGGGCTTGGACGCTTGGCTGCGCAAGTACCAGTGGAGCGATGGGGATGTCTCGATCCAGGACCGCATCGAGAGTGTTTTGTAAGTCCTTCTCAGCCCAAAACAACTGGCATCCCCGTGCAGCTGCTCACGGAAAATAGCTCGCACAGAAAGCTGGAGGACAAGACGGGCATCTTTACGTTTATCAGTGTTGGAAGAAAGGACGACCCTGCGAAGAAGGGACTCAGTCTGCAGGCATACGTCAGCCCGGAACTCTATGCTGATAGTAGCCGTGTGTCGGGGTATTCGGTATAAGTCTGTGTGTTTACCTCGAAATCCATTTGTGCTTGTTAGGAGCAGGTAAACATTGAAAACACTGATTCAGTAGTTGGAAGAATGCTTTCGTTTGCTCTGAAATTTTGGTATAGTTAAACCTCCTGACTAACTCCATCGCTTCCCGCTATCAAAAACTCCATCCCTTTCCATTTTGTAGCCAATTCCCATTGCCGCTTCAGTGCTCTCTTGTTTATTGGGTAGAATAACGCCCCCGATGAGATTGCCGGCGCTTCTCGACAAACTTTTGTTGATAACGAATCAAGAAGATGAGAATAGCATCATTTAGTGCCTTCTCGTTCGAACTGCGAAGAGATCTAGGACTCCGAATGATCGTATTGCGGAAAATTTTTACAACTTTTTTGAGCATAGTTGTGCCATGCCTCGAGATCGCAGCCGCAAAGAGATCTAGCATGTACAACAGAAGATTCCTGTTCGGCTGCGGTAGCCTGTCGAGAAGCGTGTAGTAAGCTTGGAACAGGCCGTCGGTGTCGAAATCCTGGCCTTTGGTGCTCCCAGAGTGCCCAGAGTGGTGGAGATATGCCTCGCGAAATGCCGGACAAGAGGAGGAGGGGATAACTGTGTCGGGTAGCGTCAGGAGATAGCGTAGGAGTATGTAGGAGGCTTGGTGATCGGCATTTTTCTGATGCTCCCACTTTAGTTGAAGACCGTAGCCTCTGTCTGGGCTGTCGAATTCCTGCTCAAGCTGTTCCAGGAGAGGATTCGACGCAAGGAAGTTCTTTTTCGGATCAACAAGTGAGAAGGCATAAAATTCTGTTCACGCATTAGCATATCCGATAGAATAAACGCATTCGAAGCCTTGTGTATCATGCCAGAACATACCTGTCTTTTTGAGAAACTCTCCGCAGCTGCCGACGACGACCGGAATACGCCCATCGGACAGAGATGCGCCCATTCCGTCTTCCAAATCAAGCTCGACATGCGCGTACTGGATGCTGACGCCGAGTGGCACTCCCATGACACGTCCGTTGCTTTGAGCCAGGTCATTCGACAGCTGGCCTCCGGTTTCGCTGTCATTAGTCCTGACTGGCTTCAGTTTCGTGAGAAACTGCTTGGAAAGAGTTTGGATTGCCAGTTTAGACCGCCGTCTTGATGAATCAGTGTAGCTTGGGTCTGATCCATTGGAGTTTTGGCTTTGTCGGCTTGCCCTCGACCATCGGTTGTGGTTTGACAGAGGTCGAGCGTTTTTAGTAGCATTGCCGCCTTCATGGGCCGGCTCTGGTTTTCCTGGCAGGCCATTTACTGTCCGAGGTTCAGCTGCCGCGGTGGATCTCCTTCCAAATACTTCGTGAGTAGAAGCTGTGTCGTCAATGGCCGCGACATCCCCGAACGGATTTTCAATCTGGGGGCTCGGAGGTGGATAGTCGTAAAAAGAGGTGTTGTCGTTGTCTGTATTGTCCCGAAATGGTCCTTCGTTCCGCGCTGCGGTTGATGGCATGTTGTATAGATGAGGAGTACCCCTAATCAAACTCTGAGTCAGACAGAGACAAGGGTTTCAAAGAAGAGCTCCGGACTCTTACGTTGCTTGCGATTTGTTAATGTCAACTACCAGTATTATGCTGTTACGTGCAATTGTAAAGGATTCGAGGAGTGGGACAAGGTAGGAGGTTGACAAACGAACGATAATTATAGACGGAGAAAGTGGAGCCGGAAGCGCCCTAATTTTAGTTTTCGTGAGCGCTTACATGCTTTCGACTTAGCGTAATCCTTCAGCCGCCGAAATGAAACAACCGAGCCGGCTGAAACTTCCTTACGTTAGCGCAGTTTCTCTGAAAATAGATGATTAGTTTCAGCTTTCAGCTCCAGAGCAGCAGCATCCTCATTGTGCAGGAAACAAAAAGTCCCGCCGGAGCATGAGCAGTAGTGTCGATAGGTGAAAGTAATGGACGTGATTTGGTTCCGCCGTGGAGAGCATGTCATCTTTTCAAACCAAGGTAAAGCATTCCCGGTCTGTACGGAGATCACGGATCTCTTACATTAGAAATAGAGACAGTAGTTTAGAGTAGAGTTAGAGATGATAGTGTTAAAGGGTGACGAAAAATGATGATGATACGTTGCCAGCGCCTCCGGGTCGCGAATAAGTGTTGATATGGCTCGGGCTAGCTTGAATCGAAATGACGAACACGAGAATTAGGAATGAACCCAAAATAGAGCTTGCAATTTGAATGATAGGAGTATACACATATACCTTATTGAAACCGTTCAAATTTCCAATTTTGTACCCTCTTCTCTGACCCTTGCCCTAACTCCTCCCTCTTTTCTTTGCTGCTCCGAGCATTTTACGCTTGCAGCCAATCCAATTCTATGTTACCATGGTTGAAGAACCTCGACGATCTCCTTTTTGACCTTGACATATTCGCTCACAAAATCCAGCAATCGGTTCTCCTCTGTGACACAGGCTTTGTTCAACTCGAGAAGATCTGCGTACCTCAAGACCTCCCGATACAAGTCCTTCAGACCTCGAATTTCGAAGTAGTTTTTACAGCGGAGAAACGCGAAATCAATCGCCACTAGGGTTGGAGCGGCGGTCGCGCTTTCATCGTTCAGGAAAGTTTTGAGCAACCATACAATTGGCCATGCTTGCCCGGCCCGATAGCCTAGAACTGTATCCAGATGCCGAAACTTTTCTCTTTCTTGCTTTAAACCCCGGCTGTCGATGAGCCATGATAGCCTTCGCTCATCGAAGGCATGCCAGAATTCAGTGAAAGTGCACAACGGCGGATGCACTAGATGACTTAAACTCCCCGCCATATCTTCTAGAGGTTTAGAGCCAAAGAGAAGCCGCTTATAGAGGTTACTCAATCTCATTTCTTCGAATTCGTCCTGGCAAGTGCAAAACCCGAAGTCGAAATACGGTCCAGGGATCTCTGGTGGGGGATGGCATCTTCCTCCTGTCATCGAGAAGAATATGAAAGTGTGAAGCTGTACGCGAGGAATTGGACGCCGCTTGTCCTTCTAGATTACTGTTACCTATGGAGGTATATATGCTGCTATCTAAAAGAACACGTTTTCTCTTTAGTAGTGGTAAATGAGTAGTGCAGGGGTAAGGCTGTTGTGTAATAACTAAATAATGAGGCTGATAAACGAGAGTTATCGGAGTGATCCTGGCTGATACACCCCCTTTATAATGGGCAATTTGATGCTTATTATGATAAAAGAAATAAGCTTCTGAGATGAATAAGAAAATCCGAAAGAGTTTGAGAAAACCTAAAGAAAATAATCTAATTTGATGTGGTAAAGGAATATTCGCTATTCCGTACTTAAGAGAAGATGTTTAATATTTCTAAGGTTTAGCTGTTTGATAAACTATTAGAATCTTTACGTTGGTAAGGCCTTTGTTAGGCTATCTGCGACTATCTCGGCTGATAGAGTCTATTAAAGTTTAATATGTTAGTTCTGAATTTCCTAGCGTAACTAATGCTAATAGATATTAATATGTCGAAGCCTTGTAACGAGTTTAGGTATAGACTCCTCGAGTAGACGTATAGTTTGCCTATTGTCGTACTGGATGAAAAGGTGATGGTCTAGACTGAATTGAATTTGTTAGAAGAGACGCTCCTACTAAAGGAGTTCTTTCGTAGTTGTAGATAGTAATAGAAATTCGGCTTCTATACTAGAGGTTATAACTATTCTTTACTTTGTAGCTTTCTAATCGATTAGTCCTTAGAATAGCTGAAAGACGTATCCTTGTAAAGACTTTCTCGTATCTAGGTCGTTTGTAAATAAAGTATCGCTGTATACGAGGAATACGCTTTATTAGTTATTATAGATTCTACTAAACTCGATTGCTAGATGTTTAGTCCTAACGAGATATTAAATTACGCGGTTAGCTAGCTATAGGTATCTTTAAGACAGATTTTTTAGGTATTCTACGAGCTTGCTAGAGGCCTAGGCGATATCTAGCCTAGTAATAACTATAGCGAAGTTGATCGATCTAATTCTTTATTAATAGGTATAGATCTCCTAGTCTGAAGCTTGAGAAGTCGAAGCTTAAATATCTTCTACGGGTAATAGTATTTACGGATATTTCTCTAAGTTAGCGTTGAATTTGCTTACTAGCTTGTTAATATAGGAATCTTAATAGAGCTAAAGCTTTCTCTAAGACCTATCTCGAATAATCCTAATTGCGAGAAACTATTCGAGTTCTCCTAGAATTCGAAGATTATAGATATTGAGAATCTTCTGCTAGAATTATAGGACGTGGGATTTATTTTCTTAAGAATAGATAACTGTAATGTTATTAATGAAGAAGAATAGTAGTATAAAATTATTTTAGAAGAGATAGTTAACTCCTAGAACCTGAGAGAGCCTAAGATTATGTAGAGTTACTAAGAGATAGTTGTGCTAAAGTGCCGGCGATTATTTAAGTCGGTATAGAGCTTTTAGTAATTAAAGGATAAGACCTAGTTAAATGTCTTAGTATTCTTCGAGTAGATAGATTCCTTCTAGGAGTTCGTAGTAGGTGTCTTCGTCGATAGGACTATTAATAAAAGCGTTAACTACGTTATACTACCTTGTCTCTAAATCGAAAGCGGCTGTAATTACTATAAGATATCTAAAGGTACGTGCTACTAAGGTTACTGCGTAGGTATCTTATTCTATAATCTATAAATTACCTCTAACGTAGAGTCTTACTTTATATTTAATGAGATATCCTTTAGTGTCGAATTTATACTTAAATACCTATATGAGCGGAATAACTTTCTTGTTTGCTTAGGTAGCTGTGCTGCGATTAATATATTTCTATATGTTAAGTTTTATGAGACTGCGAAGTTCGAACTTAAGAGCTATAATAAAGCCTTAAGCTTTAGGATGCTTAAGTATTTATTTAAAGGTAGTTAGTTTAGGCGGTAGTTAATCTCTATAAATTCTGTTCGAGTTTAAAAGATCTTTAGAGATATTAAGTCCTGCTGTAAAAGCGGTAAAGAATAGAGTATTTAGAGTTTCCTAGATTTCTATAAGTGCTGCGGAATAAGCCTATTTTCTGTTAGATCTTCGTCTTCCGTCGTTTACCCCCTTAGGTAGGATATTGTCTGTAGTTATCCTGCCTAAAATCTAATTTGCGCGAGGTACTCTGTTGCCTTAAGAAGTACCTGCTGGAGCTGGGGTATTATATTATACGGGTAAAAGAGGCGGTAGTGACGATTAAGCTGGTTAGGTTTTAGGCTCTAGTTCTGGAAAGGAGTATTCTTGTAAGGGAATTGAGTCTTCTGTTAGGCTTAGAGTCGGGAATCCTAGATTAGTTTAATCTGATGATTGTTCTTAAGTTTCTAGTATTTGTCCTGAGCTACGAGGTTGTCCTAGGGTAACGGTAGTTTAGCCTAGAATAAGAGGTTCTTTAATATCCTCTTCTTCTTATTATAGAAGTAGCGGAATATCTAGCGTTTGAATTAATTATTACCCTTCTTCCTAAAGTAGTTGAGTAAGATCTGGATCCTCTAGCTTGTAGAGTTCGTCTTTATTAAAAATGATATCTCTAGTTCTAATAACCTTGTGTTGACTAGGGATCTAAATGCGAAAGATATTTGTAGAATTATAGCTAATAAGATATCTAAGGTGAGTATATTCTATAAGCTTCTAGCTTCGTGCTATGTGCTTCTTTAATGTATAGGCTCTATAGCTATAAATACGAAGATATGAGAGATTTAGCTTATTGCTAGTAACTACCTAGAAAGGTATTTTCTAGTCGAGTTTGTTCTGTGGCGTACGATTATAAATGTAGCTAGCTACCTTGATTATTTCTAGCTAGAGCGATTTAGGGAGGTTTGCGCTAATTCTTATAGCTCTTACCTTAGTAAGTAGTATACCCCCTAATCTTTTAGTATATCCGTTTTATTCTAGCGTATTTAGTATAGATAGTTCGAGAGTAATTCCCTTACTTTAAAGAAAAGAATACGTCTCTAGACCTAGAATTCTTTCTCCGTCGGTTCGTAGGAATACTATATTTTACTTATAGCGAGTTTTAATTAGTTTAATAGTAAACTAAAGAATTTCCTAAGTATCTACTTTGTTTAGATAGATAAAAATAAAATAGAAGCCTTTTTACGTATAGGTAAAGTAGGATATCTACTTATCTCCGTT